ATTTTTAATTGTACTGTATATTGAAAGACAAGTCCAATTACCTTTTTTTTAGGTAAAAGCTCTGATTGATCACAATTCATGCAAGTTAGGTATCTCACCCGCTTCAGTTTTACACCTGTTGCAGTGAAATAGCAGTTCTTGCCTGGTGAACTTTTTAAACTTGCATATTACAGATGAAAAGCTCCCATGTGGTCTACTTGGAGGAATTTGACTTTTCAGTGCATGATAAACAGCAAATCTCTGCGCAGCATCAAAACTAGCTGTACTTCCTCCTGCAGTAGTGGAAGCATTTTTATGACTTGTTTAAGTATCGAGTTCATTGCTAATTAAGCCATCTGATTTGAAGCAGTGAGTGACAATCATTTTTATTTGCATTCCCAATGGAGATTTCATACTCAAAAGATTGAGTGGAGTCTGCCATTTATTTTGATTGGCAGTTGCTATTTTCCATTATTCCAAGTCTAATTTCTGTTTAAAAGTATATTTTTAAATGAAATTGTCTGCAATTGTTTTCTGTAATTCCACATTTTATAGGCATAGGATTTTAGTTTTGATGTTACGTACAATTTAAACTGATTTTGATTTTTAGGTGCAGTCTTTGAAGCTGGTACAGTGCTTCATTCTCCTATGTCTTGCAAGAATTCAGGCTCACTTTTATTATGTTTGTCTTTTAGGCAGGAAAGATAAAATTAACTATGTTCTTTGTAACAATTCTGCAAGTAACACTTTGAACTACAAAGTAACTGCAAGTAACTACTTCGAAATTACAGATGCACCATAAGCTCTAGTTATGCTTCACAATAAACTTTACACAGAGCATAAAATGTGCGACTTTATTCCAGAACCAGAAGAAAAACATAAGAAAAATTGTTGAAGATTCAATTTTATTAAAATGTACTCTCCTATTACTTTTCACTAGCTGGAGAAAAACAGCTAAAATACAGGAACTGATGACTACAGTTTCTAAAATGTACACTGAGGCTAATAAATTTGAAGTCTGGAAAAAAAATGGTGTACAGACCTAAGATTGGATTCTAGTTAACTGACTGATTCACGCCCATTAAATTCTTGTGATCCTTGAAGTTTATTGTAACGTAGCTAGAGAACATATTTTGGGGAAGTCTAGAAACTTTGCCCAACTCACAAGCTTCCAAATAATCCTTTCTATCACAATTGATGCATATACTTTGTTTTAACTGGTATTTTGCTGACAAAATATACAGTCAATTGACTTTACAGTATATTCTGTGAAGCACTTTGAGACATCTCGAAGACATGACAAGGTGCTATATCAAATGCAAGGATTATTATTATCACAGCAAACATCGACATGTTCAAATTTAAAACGCCTATTGAAAAATGGTTAATCTTTCTGAGAGATATCTATCATTCTTGCAACCCTCAACTCACAGGTACCCCTTGTGTTTTGCCATCACAGTAGCTGATCTTCCCTTAGTTGGTAATAATAATAATAAAAATAATAATCCTTGCGCTTGATACATGTCTTCGAGATGTTTCAAAGGTAATCTACTTTCATGGAATATTTATCACAAAACGAATTGAGCCAACCCACTTGAGTCACCCAACTGTTAATCAGGTATAATTCCCTGCCATGACTTGATTGACATAATTAGAGCAGATACTTTGAGTGCCGTTCCTTATAGGCTTTATTGCCATCATTACTGCTTCTTATGACCCAGCTTTAGCCATCTGCTGTCTGGGCTAGTAATAGCTAACTATTGCCGTTGTGCGTTTGAATAAATTGTTCGATTTTTAAAAAAAAAAGATTTTCCTCTTCGTAAGCAGTATTGCAGAACTTGAGCAGACTTGAGGCCAAGAAGCACAGAAAGAAAGAAAAAACTGTGAGATGTGGTATTTCTCCTGGTGTGATGCAAGTATTTTCTGGTGTGGTGCCAGAGCATCATGGCGGCTGACAAAGCTGTTTCTATAGAAACCAGAAGCCCAGCTCTTCAGAATGCCACAGGAATGCTAATCTTCATGAGATGAGGACATCCAGCTGCACTGGAAGGTGGAGGAGTAGAAACATTTAAAAATCCACAAAAAACAGGAGGTGGAGTATGGGGTGGGGAAGTTATAAGCGAGGAAAGCAAATCAGAGGGTAATTTGGGGCATTTATACACAAGATGTACGTGGTGTGTTTTCATTAATATACGCTAATTGCTATTTTGCTAAACAGAATTGAAAAGAATAAGATGATGACCCTATTCTAAATGTGGGCTAAATTCGTTGTCCGAGCCGAAGTGTAAACGTGCCTGTGATAACTGTCCGATTGCTGACTTTTTGCTGATCGGAGTTTATGTTTAATTACAATATTCTAACTTGAATGTGGTGCACCCTAAGATGAAACTTTAAATTAATTTAGAATTATCAGAGTTGGGCTTGCCTCCAAGGTCTCGTTAAAATAACTGACAGAACTAATGAATTGGGTTTTATATAACTGTTGAGGTTTAATTTGAACTGAAACTAAATACAGTATAACACTCCAAAATAGTTAGAGAAACTATTACTTCTGATCAAATTACACAGAAAACTCAATAGAGTATGTCCGTGGGCTTATCACTGACAAATTAAGTTCGACACAAATAAATGCAAGGTCCTCAACTTTGGAAGTAAAAATAGAAGGTTCATATACTTCCATGGATGGGATCAAATTTAACAAGGAAAAGTTGAAAGAGACCCAGGAGCATTTGTTGACGTGTTACCACATCCAAATAAACAAGGCAAACTGGATACTGGGCTATATTTATTTTAAACAGAAAAAAAATGTAACTGTCCCAATTGGCTTGCTTCAAAAAAAAATTGTTAATTTAGTTCAGATCTTCAGAAGTCATGCTCCAGCTATACTCCTCTTAAGCTTTAGCTGAAGTACTGTATGCAGTTCATTTTGAACTTGATGTGAGGGCCACAGGTGTTTGAGTCGCAGCAAAGGCAAGTAAAAAGACTGATCCCCAGATTTAGATGAATGAGCAAAGAGGAACCCCGAGATTAACTCGGGCTCTTCAGCTTTGAAAAGAGATGTCTCAGTGGATATCTTATAGAGGAATATAAGATGCTAAATGGGACAGAGAAAGTAAGCCCATTTTATTATATTATAAATGGGATATAGAAAGTAAACCCAAAATAATTGTTTGATACCCGAGATAGCAGGACAAGAGGGCACATGTTTAGGATTATGAAGGGCAATTTTAGGACAGGCAGCAAGAATTATTTTTTTTGCCAATTTGGAATGTGTTTTTGGAAGGGTTTGTTAGAGGCCAGGTGCTGGACATATTAAGAAACCACTTGATACTGTGATAGGATAACTGGATTGATGAAATCAAAGGGCTTTCTTCATTGTTTCCTTTCTGAAACGGCCATTATCTCTGAGGTTCCCAGTATTTTAGGACTCTACTATGTTGATTCTATCCTTTTTTCCCTTCTTTTCTGCAGCATGCTGTTGGTATTCCTTTTGCTTTCTATTCCTATTCCTCTAAGATTGTATTTTTGGCGTACTGATTTTTAATGAAGGTTGGAATTAACATTTTCCCTAAAAACTGGCAGCATCTTTCGTTTGTAAAAAAAATGACTTTCTGTTTGTATTGTTTGTAGCCATTGAGAATTCATATCTGCTCTTTTCAGTTCTGATTCTTAATTCATTCAGACGTTTCTTTGGGGAGGATGGAGTTCAATTAAAATTGTCGTGGGAGTAGAAAGGCACCCTGCTGAAAAATGTGACTGTGTCAAGCTTTTGCTTAAGATCAAAATTGTTGCTGTTCAACTTGAGTGGGAGAGTTTAAGATTCAAGATCTCTGTTTATTGCATGCTATGTTATTGATTTTTAAGGCTTGTAAACTACTGAAAGAGAGCCATGTCATTTTGTATCGGTATCACAATGGATTTACCTATACCGCATGATGACTTTACTTTTTAAAAGACCAATTTCTGATGTGCTGGTAGTTCTTGGAATGTAATCTATATCTGCAAGCTGTTTGCATTTTCGGTTAAACATCAAAAAATGTAGTAGCATTTATTTTTGATTGAAATCAGCCATCTGCCCGCCAGACCAGATGTGTTCTTAAAAATCAAAACATTGATCAATTCACCCAATCTTGTCCTTGAAGATTAGAGGCAGGATTGTGGCAGAAAGATCCAATAATTTGCATGATCAGCCTTTGACATTTTATTGTGTATTTTATTGTGACAGATCTAAAATTGTTGATACAGATTGCAAAAGTGTTAATTTCTACTTTATGGGGTGCTTGGGTGAGAGGGTCAGCCTGGCCTAATGGTATATTTTCATATTCAGTAGCTGATTTTTATAAATGAGTTTGCAAATCATTGATATTGTATTTTGGAATGGTGCAACATATTTGTTATATTTTTATAACAGCTAGTTTCTAACTGCTGCCACATAAATATTTCCATCTTTATGTGTAACATTTTATATTTTTATTTATCCTTCCTTTATCCCTTTCTTTCTATTCCCCACCTGTTTACCTCCCACCCCCTCACTCACCCGCACACACACATGCATGCAAAGCACAAATCATAAGTGCTCTTAGGCAATCCTTGATGATTAATCTGAATGCTGCATTTCCTGGGGTAACAAGGCCCCTTCTAAGGGTTTCCCTTCCCTCTTCTCTGCACCCAGCATAGTATCTTATCTGGCATCTTGTTTCAACAATGTGGCTGCTGGCATCTCACGCAATCTGGTGGGTTAGTGTAATGTGGACGCATATTAATACTCCGCTACGGAGTTAGCAGGGTATAGGTTTGTGACTCAAGAAATTTGATGTCTTTCTATTCTCATCAGCTATTTGGAAGGGAAACAAGTGGAGACTAGGTACTTCTCCACAGAGAGGGTAAACTGTCATGATTGTCAAACCCAATCACTTATTCTGAGAATAAATACCTTAAAAGCAAAGTTTGGAATCAATGACTTTATCTTTCAGTATTTAAGGGAACATTCACTCTAATAAGATTTTTATTTGAATTTCCAGGCAAGTCTCCATTGAAGTGACCTTATCAAGTTTGAATGCACGGCCATGTGAACTTCGTGAAAAGAAACAACCGCACCAGTCACGTGGATCTCGAGAAATGGAAGCACAATTAATCAAATAAGATACGTTAAAGTTTTCAGCTGTCGTCATGACTACCTCACACATGAATGGGCACGTCACAGAAGATTCTGATGGTGAGGCTAAGAACATGGACCTCTCATCCCGTGATGAACCACCAAGACACAGGGAAATGGCTGTGGATTGTCCTGGTGACCTGGGTTCCAGGACTTTGCCAATCCGTCGGAGTACACAGTTGGAAAGGATTCGTCAACAACAGGATGATATCCGACGCAGGCGAGAAGAGGAGGGAAAGAACCAAGAACTTGATCTTAATGCTTCTATTCGATTGAAGAAACTGGCACAAGTTCAGCCCAAAGTGGGCATTGATAATCCTACATTTGATAAAGAGGAAGACTTTGTACTAGAGGGACCGAGCAGTGCAGTTAAAGTTCTAGGTATGTAGTTGAGCAAAATTCATCAAGTGGTTCCTTGGCGTTTAAATAAAATATGCAGTAACTTTTTAAAATAAATTGAAGCCACAAATTTGTTTCCTGTAGTGTGTTCTTAAGATTTGAAAGATTTGTGTGGTTAAAGTACTGTAGTTAGTATACTTCATTGCAACTTGTGACAATTGTATACAATTATAATTTCCTGAATCTTGAGCATTGTCTTTCTTAAATTAAGTTATGAAGTGCTTTTAGAATGATTCTGCTGACAAAGCACCTTTTTAAAACTATAGAAGTGGAAGAGCTGCTGTCTTCTCTAAAGCACATACAACAAAGCTTGGTTGATCCTCAGAGTGAGGAAGATGTGAAGCTCGTTTTGCAGTTGGTTCAAAACCAGGACTTCCAGAATGCTTTTAATATCCACAATGCCGTGGCTGTACACATGAACAAGATGAGCCCACCTTACCCTGTTAATTCCACTGCTCAGGAGCTGTCTCAAGAGGTATGTTTCAGCTAATTTGGAATAATGAATGGCAGGATATGATAATGATTTTCAGATAAAGACTCTCTTGGCTCAATATTCACATTGGAGATTCTCTTTCAAATAGAATACTCTTTTTTCAATTTTTAAAGATTCTCTTTTGGGAATAGTATGATATGAAAGAACTGCAGTGTAGTGTGTATCTGAGCAATGAATACATCACTTTGAAATCTGAAAGCTAGTCCCCATCTTAAGCCTGAAGTGATTCTGTACCAAAAATAATGTTTTTTTAAGGCAAAATTGCATAATGATCCCATCTTGTCAAAAATTGGCAGGAAATTACAAGTCAGATTTTTTTTAATATGGGAAGCCTGCTAGATACCTTCAGCTGCTGTGTATCCTGTTCTTCCAATTAGCCCACATTCATACTAGACCAATGCTATAGGCAAGAAAGTGCTTTATTGAGGGATGCTATAACTAGGTTTCCCTGTAATAGATCCATAGAAATTGTATATTTGCTGCCTTCTAGTCAGTACCAGGGGATATTTTGGAATTCTTCAGAGAATATTCAGTTTAAGGATTCACTTTAACAGACCCCTTTCCTCATAATAGTACCCCTTAAACTGACAGAGCTCAATTCCAAGACACGCAGTATCATGTTATGAAGAAAATTATAGTAACAATGCTGCCTAATGTCCCAAACAAACAAGAAGTTAATGTTAATATGTTGCCAATCGTGATGCACTTTTTATTATAAGTTGAATGGAACATTAGAACCTGGTTTTAGACAAGTTATAAGTTTCAGTTTCGCAACTTAACACTGTAAACGTGCAACAAATATCACCAGTTACAAATTTAGATATCTTAGTATATAGAAGTCATTGCTGTTGTAAACTACATTAACATACAATTTGTTTTCCAACCTCTAGCACCAGTTTGCATTATTGTCCACACACAATGCAATTAAAGCTTGCTGGAAGGATCCAGAACATTGCTGTAGTTGTTTATTGGAACGTCATGTTTTTGTCAGAATGCCAGCTGTTGTGTTTTCATAGCCTCCAAAAGAGCTTCTTTTTCTGTCATTTAAAAGCTCGTCAAGAATAATCAAGATTTATGATGCTTGGTTAAATGCTTTGAATTACTATTTGAGGGTGCTAAAAGTAAAAACCAAAGGTTGCATTCAGCTATTAACTGCTCTACAATAATAATAGAATACTTCTCAATTGCTAAAATAAAACAACGGAGCCAACTATTCTCCTAGCAATTATGAATGTATAACACCAGAACATTGCTGATATAAAACTGGATCATCATTTGTCTTTATTGTTGGATAAAGGTTTAGAAAAGGACTTGTCTTATTTAGTGCCAACATTACGGCAGGCATTTTTGAAACCAAATCCCTATTGTGAAAATACTAATGAAGATATATCTGAAATAAACTCATCTGCAGTGTGTCCATTGTAATATATGAAATATTTCTGTATATTTCCAATTAGTTTGATGTGGTAATGTTTTCAATGTCATGGTGTAAATTTATATCTGTAAATGATAGCTAAGCATTTTGAGCATAGAGTTTCAATCCCGATCCCTGCACTGATGTTTTCACACAGATACATACCAGAAAGGGATGTGGAAATGATGTCTAGTGTTGAACTATTGAGGCTTTTGAAAAGTAAGATCTCAGTAGGATGGTAAATTTTAAGTGATTATCCCTGCCTGCTAAGCATAAAATTATATTTCGCCCACAAATATACAGTCAATTCACTTTACAGCATATTCTGTGAAGCGCTTTGAGACGTCTAGAAGACGTGAAAAGCGCTATATCAAATGCAGGGATTATTATTATATTGTATCACCCTTTTCTATTGCCAGATGTCCTTGTGTACTGACAGCACTTCTTCAATTTCACAGCGATTTCCAATTATCTTGGTGATTAGTGTCATGTTTTATAGGTCCATGATCTCACAAAGATCACAAATCCAAAAGTTTTTGCTAAATTTAAACTTCATAGAGCAAACTGTATAGTAAAAAAAAAGTATGACATGAAAAATGCAATGGTCAACATTTCTGTGGAACTGCAAGCTTGTGCACATGTAGAACGGCAGTCTATTAATGGTCCCTTTTCTCTTTTAAGGTTCAAAAGGTTTTGACACTCAGTCACCAGAAGGATGGACAAGAACTTACTGCTCTTCTTGCTTCTCCGCACTTTGAAGTATGTCCTTGAATTTGTTTTTGCTAGTAATTTGGTACAGTGTGTCATCTATGTTGCTTTTTTTATATAAATCCTGTTTAACCTACACTAAGTTCAAATGGGTAAATCAAGTTAAATGTTTATTAACTATTCCATTCCTAGTTACTAGTTTGGAAGATGTTCTGTTTGAGGAATGGTAATGTTGTACAGATTTGTTTTATTTGAGATTATCAGAGATGAATAATTGTAGGAAGTTGCCTCTTAATTGCTTTTCAAGTATCTTGGTAAAATGAATAAGTTTTTTCATTTAAAATTTCACCAATTGAAAACCAATTCTACTTGTCTGTTTAGAAAATATATATGTTGCAGAAAGGAAAATTATTTTATCAGATGTGGAAATTGAGCTTCACTTCCTACTGATATGAACTTGTTGTTGACATGAACTGTGATTGTGCAATAATGATTGCTTGCGAAATAATAAATTGCTGCCGAAGACATGTTGGCATCATTTGATTCATAATAGTATACCAAGCATACAAATGTGTTCTTTCAGAGCAATGTAGGTTTTCAATTGTTAATTAGGAAGAAAATATGAACCTGAGCAACAGGTTATTTCATACAAAATATAACTTGATGAAAACTGATATTAAACTTTTAAAAAGTACAATCCAAGAGATATAGATTTTATCTATTACCAATGCTGATTATCTGAGACAGTTTGCTGAGCACTGATAATTGTGTAATGGGTAGTGAATTGGTTGATAACACAGCATAAATGAATTTGAACGTTTGATATTTCAACTTGTTTGATCTCTGCTCACTCTAGGCGTTGCTTCTGGCCCACGATGGAGTAGCACAGCAGGAAATGCTACTGGAACCAGCGGTAGAAGATCATGTTTATGAGAGAGTAGCACAGTATGGAGGAGAGACTGTGAAAATTGTTCGAATTGATAAAGCTCGTGATATTCCCCTTGTGAGTATCAAGCACTGCTTATGTTTTTTACACACACTTTTAAATTGTATGAGATGAAAAATAATACTGAAAATATCTTTCCACTATTTTAGTCAAACCATTTTACTTTGACTAACTTCAATAGATGGATCAACTCTTAAAACTGTTAATGTGGTTGTCAGGCTAATCAAACTATCATTGCTTGAAAATCAAAGGCTTACAAATCAGAATTGTAGGATGTAAATTGTTGAGTTGCTCCATCAGGACCCCAGTCTGAAAATTAAACCATGAATAAAACTTATTCTTTTGGAATTCTTTAAAAATATTAGTTCAGATACAGTACTGATATTTCAGCTGTATTCCTGGTTTCAAAGATATGTTGAGCTGATAATGTGACATGCAGTGGGCTGTTGAATTGGTATACACATTGATGCTGAGTCATCTCTTGGTCTGTTCATATTAACAATCATTAATTCAGCTTCCTCAGTTCTTCAATCCACAAATGTTCTGTTAAAAATACTAAAAAAAAAACAGAAAATAAAGTGCAGTATGTTGGTTTTGGACTATGGTATATATGTCATTACATTGCTTGTATTATGCAATTGGAAGTAAAGTTGCATGCAAAAATGAAGCAAGAGTTCTGACCTGAAATATTTGAACCCGCCCATGAAAATCTAGTCTTGACATGCTGATTTTTCTCAATCCATTTCACCAAATACAATGTAACCGAATAAGCCAAACAAAAATATTATGTGTACTTGTGTATTTGTTTGTGTACTTTCTAGGCATGGATGTTATTTTGGTCAGCTAGGTGTCTTGACACGCACAGAAACTCATTGTCATGTTAACTGTATCTAAACCAGACTGAGAAACATGTATGCATGAACATTCCTCTGTGTCTGGAATGGACATGCTAGGCTTGTTACTTCCCCCAAAGCATTTATATCTCTGTTTAATACACAAGTATTTTCCAATTGTAAATTTAGTCAACTCATGACAATTTTTTTATTTTTAAGATTTATCATTTGACTGTTAAGGGGGAGTGTAATCTCCTGAAGTCCTACATAACTCTGAATGTTCTAAAGGAAACACCTTTTACATACTTTTAGTCGTATCAAGGAAGGTTCTGTTACAGGCTTCTGCATCAAAATGCTGAACCAAAGCAATTGGCAGCAGACATTTTGTGCAGGTCTCATTGCCAACGGACAGCACACAAAACATCTTGTTTTCCATTTCTCCTGGCTGCCTTGGCAACAGTTTTAGGGTTTTGTGGCAGTTCAGTTTACTACCATCCCCTTTTAAAGTTATTCCCAACCACGAACTCTTAAACTTTAGTTTTAAAGTTCTTCTTGAATCTCGTGATAACCGATTTCCAAGGCCAAATGGTAGTCACGGGCTTGTGCTTCTCCTTTTCTACATTAAATGATGAACATCACAAATACAATTTTTATTTGTTCAACCCGTGATATCATTAAGTGGCTTTTGAGTTCACACACAATGAAGAAATTGGGCACACAAATTTCCATGAAGTAGTACAGAATAGGCATTTCACAAATGCAACCTCTTTTCTAAGGCATTTATTCATAACCATTGTTTGTAAGTTACAAAAATGATTGTATCATCGGGAATAAGTTGGCCCTCTTCAAGTTTATGAATGGCACTGGTAAATTTGCATGTAAAAGCAGTGCAGCATGAAGTAAAGAATGGGCTGTAATGTCACTTTCAATTTTATCCCCAAATTTAAAGTAGACTGCAGGGTCTTTTAATCATGAATATCTAAATATAGAAAAAAACACGGGGCCTACCACTGACTTGTACTTTTGAATTTTGTTGGTTCATGTTTTGATGTTAATTTTGTAATCATTGAAATTCATTAAAATGATCAATCAGCAAACCCAAATTAACTTTTAATAATTGGAACCCCTCCTTGGGCATAAAGTTATTGAGCAATCTTTTTAGCTTCAAAGTTCAGTCTTTATTTGTCTTGTTTTTCTGTTTGAAAGATGTGGGAGGGGGGCAGCTGGAGGGGGGGCTATTTTGGTTTCAGTAGTAAAGAATGTGGGGATGAAAGCCTGATTTATACTGCTGCTCCTCATCACATTGATCTGAACTGTTAAAATGCTAACACCTGATTTTAGACTTCTGCTCGTTTATGATAGTTTGTATGCAGAAATCTGCAATCGGATACCATTTTAATACCATTGGAAGCTCAGTTGACTTTTTTTTAAAAAAGTTCTGCAATTGCAACAAATGCACTGAAATAAAGATTTACTGGCTCACAAAATGCTTATCCATCCACTTCAACCTAAGCAACCCCAAATCATTTTTTCACAAAGCTTAAAGAAGTGACCCTATAAAAAATGATTAACTAATCAAAGTAGGACAATCTTATCTTCAGAGTTGATCCTTGGCCTTAAATACTTATTTGTGATGGTGTTTGCCTGGAGTCACCTTTTCTCTTTGAGAGAATAAAATAAAGCAGTTCGATTTTTTTTCGTGAGCCATTTTAGCAACGTACAACTCAAAGTAGGAAGTAAATGCAGTTTCAGTGAAATAGTTTACAGACAGTTGATGTAGAAGGCTACCAATTGTTTACATTAGAAACCCAACTAGTTTGACCTCATTTTTATGCAGGATTCTTTCAAACCATGACTGTTAACAGTAAATCTGAAACTGAAATATGGTCTCATTGCACCAGGAATTTAGTACATATATTCAATCTAAATAGTTACTTCACATTTTTTCATTTGCAATCTTGAGCTCAGAATCTTTGCTGTGAAGCCCATTCACTGTTCAATACTGACAAAAGTTCTGATACTAAACACATACCAACTGTGTTTGGGGCTCTTTAAAACAGTGTTGCAACACATTCCTGGAGCTCAAGACTTGACACTTTATGCATAGCTCTGCTCATTTGTTACCAGTGCCAATGTTCTGCCAAACACTTGGTTTCACTAAGGCGAGGCCGATGTGCAGTTTCTGTCTGTTACTACATGTTTTCTGCACAGGTCAACATATTTGGTTCACCCTAGCAATGCTTAATCAAATGATTTGATCAAATCAATTAAAATCAGTTCTTTAGGACAAACAATGAATGTGTTCAATCTAAAATTTAGTTTTCATTCTTTCTGTTTGCACTATAAATGGCATTAAAAAGAACTTTAACAACAACTTGCATGTATACAAAGCACTCCACTGCCTAAAACTCCACAGGAAGTTGACAGAAAATTATCTGTAGGTTGATGCTTTAACACAAAGGCTTGATGTGGAAATATAATCAAGAAGTCACATTCATATGGAGCACTCACACACAATTTTATTGGTAAAATGCCGTTCTTTTCTCATCATGTCAAATGTTAGATGTGGTGATTGTCTTTGGAGTGAAAATTCTTGAACATTTTGTAATTGGTGTTGCAGCTACCTGTCTATGTAGGTTGAAAATCTTTGCAATTCTCTTAAACATACATCTTGCTAAAATTATTTCAATTGCTACAAGAAGTATCTGATCATATAGTCCTGTAGCTTAGTAGCTAGAGCACTCGCCTCGCAAGCGAGAGACCCGGGTTCGATTCCTAGAAGGGCGAAACCTTGGGCAAGTGTCCTTACTCCACATGCCTGTTAATAATCCTTCAAGAAAAACAAAACAGTAATAATTTGGTCTCTCAATCCATGACTGTTTGTGGACACTGCTATGGCAATTGGCTGCTGCGTTTTGTCCACAAAATATACAGTCAATTCACTTTACAGTATATTCTGTGAAGCATTTTGAGACATCTAGAAGATGTGAAAAGCACTATATCAAATGCAAGGATTATTATTTATTATTATGTAAACTCCATTGTGTTTTTCCTTCTCATCTTTTTATATGATGTTTAGAAAGTCTTGATTTTAGATTTTCTCTCATTTTACATTCTCTTGCTTGGCTGTTCTCTTCCTCATCCATATGTCAACCACTGGTCAGTCTGTCCTAGAATCTCTTTTATAAATAATTAACTATGATGGTATATGTGTGAGTGCTCTGTATGAATGTGATGTCTTGATTAGTTTTCCACACCAAACCTTTGTGATAAAGCACCAACTGACAGATGATTTTCTATCAACTTCCTGTGGAGTTTTAGACAGTACTTTTTTTTTAAAAAAAACAGTTTTTGCTATTGCAACTTTATTTAATTTCTTCTATACCTACTGTCAGAAGGTGGGATAAATTGCCAGTGCCACTTTCAAAAATCGGCATCTGTGGTAATCCCAAGATAAGCTAATAGTATACAACAATTCATGAGCAACAGCTGGATAATGTCTGTTCTTTCCTGCATGCTTATTCATCTCTTAAAAGCCTCAGTTTCTGTATGGTCCGCCATCTCCATCTAGTGGCTGCCCCAAAAAGGATCACTTTTGCACATACAGGACAATATCTCTTCCCCTTTCCTCCAACCAAGTTTCCAATCTTAGTTGATGTGAGCAAATGTCAGACACATTCCCTGTGAAGGAGAGTTTTTGACCATTTGGTATTGGCAGAGGACTGTGAGCAGTTAGCCAGACATTTTGCAATTCTCTGGGAGAAAACAAATGCTTTCATAATGCTATGGTGATTAATATCACTTTGGGTTTACGTAATATATTTGCAATTTATGTTCCTTTGTATTAATATACAGGGTGCAACCGTACGAAATGATGTGGAATCTGTAATTATCAGTCGTATAGTGAAGGGAGGTGCTGCAGAGAAGAGTGGCTTATTGCATGAAGGAGATGAAGTCCTTGAAATAAATGGAATTGAAATTCGTGGAAAAGATGTCAATGAGGTTTTTGATTTGCTGGTATGTGCTTTGATTTTGTTCTAGACATTTTGGCCACAGTGAAAATTATTTCTGCAATGGAGTTTAAAAACTCAAAACAATGCTTAAGAATGCTTTAAATTTTTATTTTGTGCTTGATCTATAGACTTTCAATTGAAGAATAATGGTGTTTAATACAATCAGATTAATGTTTTTTTACTACAGGCTGATATGCATGGAACTCTCACCTTTGTACTGATTCCCTGTCAACAGATGAGGAATCCTCCTGCTAAGGAGATGGTGGTAAGCAAACTGCGTGAAAAATAGCTGTGAGACTTTTTTTTTAAATGAGCAAACTCCCGTTTGTCTGCTTTAGAGATTAGATTTCATAATTTCCTGACATCAGTTCTGCCTTACTAGAGCAATTTTACTTTTTTCTTGCAAGAAGGGGGGAAAAAAACTGGCGCCAGTGCCATCACTGTCTATGCATCCACATTGCTTGTATTTGATGGCCATATCCACTCACAGTGGTGCTTTTTGGTGGTGGGAGATTAAATTAAAAGATGAAAAAATGTTTTTTTAAGTGTGTGTGTATATATATATATATAACTTGACTATTAAAACTCTGTGACTGGTTATTTCTTCAGGTGCATGTGAAAGCTCATTTTGATTATGATCCCTCGGATGATCCCTATATTCCTTGTCGTGAGCTGGGACTGTCTTTCCAAAAAGGAGACATACTTCATGTAATCAGTCAAGAAGATCCTAACTGGTGGCAGGCTTACCGAGATGGAGATGAAGACAATCAACCTTTAGCTGGACTTATCCCAGGTATGAAATTAAAGTCACCGTACTCACTGTTTATTATGCTCCCACCATCATCCCCACCACCTATCATTTTGTTTGTATTTGAATTGCATTGTGGTGAGCGATTTGTAGGACGTGGCTTAGTGTTATCAAATCACACAAGAAAGTTCTGCTATGATTTTGTAAATGCATTCTTTTTTACCCACTCCCAGTCCAGATTGTAACATTCCTTGGGTAATAATCTCTAATGATCCTTGTTTTTAATTTAGAGCATTATCACGGCATTGAAATGTCACAGAGGACATCATACAACTTAAGTGTAGCTACGGTGTATTTTAGACAAAGTTGGAACAGCAGTGTCCCACAGACAGGAGGTGAATAATTAATTTATGTGGCGGATTGTGGCCCTTCTCTTTTCGAATAGTATCATGGGTTCTTTAACATCTACCTAAACAGACCTCTGTTTAATGTCTCCTCTGAAGGATGCACTTCCCTGAAACTGGAGTGTCACCCTAAACAATGTACTAAAGTCCGTGACACAGAGGCACGAGTACAACTAACTGAGCCAGGCTGACACCTGTAACAGTTGAAGGTGCACTGTTCTTGAAGCTGTTCATCTTAAAGATGAATGTCTTTAGCTTTAATTTCCCTTATTACAAAAATATCTGTCATTGAAAGTAATCTTTTTATTTTGCATGATGAACAGGGAAAAGCTTTCAGCAACAAAGAGAAGCAATGAAACAAACCATTGAGGAAGACAAGGAGCCAGAGAAATCGGGTTAGTCACAAACTAATAGTTCAAACTGTTGTAAGATTTTGAAGGTAAAATTTCAAGAAAGTTCAACCAATATCTTGCATTGCTACCTTGAAACATGCCTTATCTTGTATAATTTTACATATTTACATTGTTCATAAAAACAGTTGTACAATAAAACTTTGAATTCCAGATTTGACTGCCAGACGTGAGTACCACAGGAATTGCACTTAAATGACAGTCTTTATTCCTCTAAATTCATAGATACGTTTACTTGTAATCCCCAATTTAGCTATGAAATATTGTTCATTACTAAACTTGAGTAGAATTGTTTGCAAGAGCATTTTCAAATTTATGCTGAAAATTTGGGTGTTCACGATTGTGAACACAATTAACAAATCAATTATAACCTTGTCTTATTGACCACAATTTGTAGTTTATTGGTTTACTGCTCATCATCAATTATTACTTCAAATTGATATACAATTGTGCTCCGGGATCCGAAGTGGGACCAGGACCCAAAACAGAAATAATTAAAAAAAAGATTCTGTGAACTTGAACGTGGACTCCTGGCAGCCCATTCTCCTATCACATGCTCCCACCTCACTGTCCTTGCTGGCCTCAGGTAGCCAGGGATATCGACTTTGACTTGGTTTGAATCCCGTGAGTGGAAGATGGCTTATTCACTATATTCTGCTTACAGGATTCAAACAATTACAATGCCAGAAATTCTGGCTCGCTGGACTGGATGGTCTGGAGCTAGCTGGAGTTTTCGCACACTTTATATTAATTTTTTTTAATGTAACTATTTTTCTGCTCTAGGTAAACTTTGGTGTGCTAAGAAAAATAAGAAGAAGCGGAAGAAGGTTTTATACAATGCTAATCGGAATGATGGTAAGTATAACTTGGATTATGTCCAGTTAGTCTTATATGGTTTGGTTTATTAAAATATGGACATTATGTTATTATGTTAGTGTTAGTTAGTTAGTTAGTGAAACTATGTTAGTTTCAGCAAACTTTATAATAATGTAACTAAAACTTTCTTTGCGAAATATTGGATTATTCTTGAGTATAGTTTTTGGACCTGATTAGCATGATTAGAATTTTATACATAGGGTCTCCATTTGAAATTACCCTTTACTGAATTTGGACAGTCTTGACAAAATTCACAATTTCACAAAGTATAAGTTAACACTGGGCCAAAGGATAAGCATTTTGTTTGTGCAGTCAGTGTTCTCTAGAGGTTAATAATAATATTACTTGAATTTGTAGCTATATTACATGCAAACAACTCAGAGCACTTCACAAAGCCTTCTGTAAAGTGTAGTGACTGTATTTAAAGGCAAACATTTAATGGCTTGAATATTTACAGTTCTTGGCTGACGATTGTATGTTATCTCCCATTGCCACTGTTGCACATTTACCAACAATTGTAGAATCTATTTTCTGCTTTCCCCCACTCTTTAATTTTGATAAGAGAGGAGTCGTATCTGACCTGGGAACTCCAGATTTCTGAGGAGGGCAAGTTGCAAAATCTAGAAGAAACAGTTCCTTCAAGAATAATTGTCAGCTTTTGGTAACCATGATAAATTGGTCAATTCAATTGAATCAAGAAAAATCCATATATGGAACAAATCTGGAGTTAATCAAACTATATTCTCGTCAGATAACTTTAAGAATATACAGTATCTGAAGCAATTCAATGTGTGGATCAATTAAGTTAGGAGCAGATGGCACAATTGATTTGCTGTACGAGTGACTCTTTGCAATTTTCTCAAAAGACTACGACAATGATGAGATCCTGACGTATGAGGAAATGTCACTCTATCACCAGCCTGCGAGCAGGAAACGGCCAATTGTTTTGATTGCCCCACCCAACTGTGGCCAGATCGAACTCCGACAAAAACTCATGGAAAGTGAGGCTGATCGATTTGCTGCTGCCTTACCTCGTAAGTTTGTTTTGCTTTTAATGGCTAACTCATTTTTAACTGTTATTGTACAATTTCTACATCTAACCTGTGTGTATTTGTAGATACAACTCGTCCTACGAGAGATCGTGAAGTAAATGGACGTGATTACCTTTTTGTAACACGCCAGTTTTTTGAAGCTGACATATTATCCAACAAGTTCATTGAACACGGGGAATATGAGAAAAATCTTTATGGCACCAGCATCGATTCAGTACGGCAAGTGATCAACTCTGCGAAGATCTGTCTATTGAGTTTGCACACACAGGTAAGAGTGCTAAATGCTACAATGCAACAAGGAATTGTGTGTATTGCATGGACTAATTGGAGGATATTCAGCATTTACCCCTGCAAAGAAGCAACTGTGGTTCAGAACATGAATGTGGAAGGAGAAACATTGTTTGCTTTAAGTCCATTCCTTCCATAAATTATCTAAAACTTTACTCCAGTATTCTAGTTCCTCTGCTTCTATCAGGATTCCTAAATCCATCTTATAACATAACATGTAGGAGCAGGAATAGGCCATTCAGCCCTTCGAGCTTGCCCCGCCATTCAATCATGACTGATCTTCTAATCTAACTTCAGCTAATACCATAACCCTGCCTTATCCCCATATCCCTTAATCCCTTTTGCAATAAGAAACATATCTATCTCAGTCTTGAATATGTTCAACGACTGAGCGTCAACAGCCCTATGGGGTAGCGAGTTCCATACATTCACCCTTTGAAATAGTGTGTGAAAATACATTGATTTAATATATATGACTCTTCTCTATTTCCCTGTCCATTATGAAAGATTGTACAACACATTGTCTTATTTAAATTTAGACTCATCTCAACTGAAATGGAAAATCTTATCATTCAATTTCACACAAACCTCTCCTCATGGAGTCCATCATTATGAAAAGGAATAAATTATTATCAATAAAATATAGGATCACAAATATATATCAGCAGTTAGTTCTCATTACAGTATTTTTGTTCTCAAACTGTTGTACATTAATCCCTACAGTCTCTGAAGATTCTCCGCAATTCAGATTTAAAACCTTACATAATATTCATTGCGCCACCTTCCCAGGAGAGATTACGTGCGATGTTGACCAAAGAGGGGAAAAATCCTAAGGTAATTTCTTTTACATAGTTTTTTTTCTGAGAATCACTGACATCTGAAAACATTACTTCAAACAGTACATGGTCTACAATTATTTAAAGAATGTTTAAAAGTCACACTTCAATCCAAAAAGTATTATCCTTAACAGCTTATGGATTTTTNAAATCTTGTTGTGAGTTGATTAAATGTAACCTTGGGCTTCAGTTGAATGTTGTGACATAAAGAACAGTTTGCAAAGTTCAGCAGACCCTGCAGATTAGTCCCCTGTAAGCACTTTCAAATGCCAGTTACTCTCCATGTATAATTTTCACTGGTTGTATATTGAAATTCAAACTCTGATGATGCAAACAAGGAGTTGTAGTTCAGATGTACTTGTGCATCCCACAAGCATGTTTCCAAATTTTCCATTTGAGATGTGCTATCGGAAATTTCAGTCTCATCGTTGCATGCCACTTTAAAATGTAAATAAGGGAGCACTATTTCTTCTGAAAAGCCATTAATCAACTTAGAGCCTCGTGAGACGCCATGTGCAAGGCAACTTTCAGGGAACTGGGGAGTATTAGAATTTTCTTTTGGCTTTACAGAGAACCATTAATATTTTTATGAAATGTTTCAAGGCAGAATCTTCTGTAGTTAGGGTTTGACATGGTCTTTGCTAATTTTAATTCCAGTACTTTTGGCATTTTATTACCTTTACAGAGGGATTGGCAAATCCCCTACTTTCAGAAAAGGCATTCATGTTGTCGATTGCCCTATCGAGGATGAGTGTAGGGCAGGGGCTCTTACACAAATTGTTTTTTTTAGAAGAGCTTAACGTGTAAAAAATGGCTGAATGAAACAACAACTTGCATTTATATATTATTTATAAACAATTCATATTAAAATACAAATTGATTTTTTTCCTCTTTACTTCCTACCCTTTCACCACCTCCATCGTGGTTATTTAAAATTTTATGTTGCAGCCAGAAGATCTGCGAGATATCATAGAAAAAGCGCGAGAGATGGAACAGAACTACGGCCACTATTTTGATTCGGCTATTGTCAATACAGACTTGGAAAAGGCATACCAGGAGCTAATCCGTCTCATAAACAAACTTGACACAGAGCCTCAGTGGGTTCCATCTACATGGCTTCGGTGAAAAAAAACGGTCAAGTCACAGATTTGCTGTGGAGCAGTCTGCCCGAAAGATCATTGCTTTTTTTAAAATGAAAGGCAGTGCTACAAATTAAATTTCAACTATTGAAAAAAAAGTGACATTCCATTTCGTACCAGCACTTGGTGGTAGCAATATTCATATAATTACTATAATGCTAACTATTTATAATGTAAATATAGATTCACTTCTAGCAGTAGCTGTCTCTGAATCACACTGCACATAATCCAGCCTATACTGATTTAACCTTTAGCTGTGGTATTTTTATACGCGATTTGTGAAATGTAAGCCTTTCTTGAGGGGAAAGGGGAAGAGATGGGAGTCATCTTGTGTCAAGCATTGTGTCTTAAAGACTTTTGTAGGGATTATGTATGTAGATGACAGAGTATATTTTTATGACCTAAAACTGAAATTCACAAATTCCATCATTTTAGATTTTTGTATTATGATAGATTTGTTCGCTCATTCATGTAAGCAGAAAAACATCAGTTTTGAGGCTAGTGAAAATGGAAGGCTTTGATGGTACATCTTTTAAGAATGTTTGTGTGAAGCTGAGTGATGAAGACCTAATAGGTTGTCTTTTATGAAATCCGTAATGTTCAATCAAAGACTGGAATAGAATTATTGAATGTAACTACTGTACAGTAAGGCAATAATTGGCGCAACAGGCAACACAAACTGCCTTTTTAAAAACTAATGATCCTTAAATGTGAATGTTTTTATTTAATATATGTATGTACTTGAGTCCTTAAATTGAAGTCCAGTCATACGCAACCTTGTTTAGTAACATTATTTTGTGTTTTCCTTTGAGAGTTGCAATGTTTTTAAACACTGGAATTTCATGATTCTGTTCATTCATTGCTGGAATAGGCTGAACAGTCCCTAATGAATGATGTATGTTTCTTAATTTTGTCTATACTGTATTTTGTATAAATAATTGTTTCAGTATTAAAAGGCACTGGAAATTGTGTGCTTTTGTGGCTTTGCCGCTTATCTGCTTGTACTAAAGCAAGAAAGGCCTTGGAATGGTTGACGTCATGTGGGCAATGGGAAATATCTATTGATATCAGTGAGCAATAACAACACATCAGGACTTGTTGACCTGGCAGATATCATATCCAGCTTTGGGTTCCAATCAAGCTCAGTGAGACAGTCATTAGTTTGGATTAGGCATGTGTGAAATACTGTATACTAATTTTAACATGCATATCAATGAACGGTGATATATTTGAGGAAGTTTGGAGAAGAATCAAGATGAAATACAGATATATTATGAGGGTATAATGAAAGCTTACAATGTACCTGCACTCGCTCTGTATTTACGGGAACTTTTATCAGTCATGAACTGCACATGGAATATTGTAAAATTGTATTTGTAGATTTTCAATAAAATGAATCACTCCAGGCTGATGTCAATTGCATCATCATTTGCGTAACTCATTGAAGTGAGATGCAGCTTCATGTTCTACAAAAGCCATGAAGGGCAGAAAGGTAAATACGGATCTCCAGTGCTTCAAAATAATTATTGGAAATTGATCAAATAGAACAAATGCCTGAACTTCAGCAATGGAATGAGGGTTTATGAATATGAATTGCATTTCTGCTACTAAAAATGTGGAAAATATTTATAGAAACCTTGGTTTAACTAAAAAATAAACTTTTTTTAAAAAGAACATTGAATTTAATCCATGCAATTCCAGAATATTAATTACAGTACTTTCGTATTTAATCAGATTTAATATGCAATTATTTCCATTTATGATCAAGCATTTATTTGAGGTTTGTCTTTGAATGGTTGTATTTCATTACATAGGTTTAAAACCATACTGTATTCCTCATCTGAACTTCCTATTGCCATTTAGATGTAATTTGATAAAACCTCACGACAATGTGTTGATGTATACATTCTGTTTAATGTTGCAAAGTACTTTGATAATTGTCTTCCCCATTTAAAAATCCCTGTTGTCATTTTAAAAATGCTTGATGCAGTGATGGTGGGGGGGAGTGGCTTGAGTGTTCTGAAGGGATGAGAACTGAGAGGCCCTTTTCATCCAGACCAATCTTGTGAAGTTGCCACAGGTAAGAACGGAACCTAATGCAACAGAACAAGAGATTTATTGGGAATAGAGAAAGATGTGGAGAAACTGCATTTGAGTGCCAGTCAACAATTTCCCAGTGCCTTGAATGAATTATTTGGCTTTGTGCAAGATTTGAGCTCCAGATTGACTGCAGGCTGTTACAGAAGAAAAATAATTTGATTTCCACTGCCAAATGTAGCATCACTGATGAAAGCAATAAGAGGTGATCTCACACAGCAAGCACTTCTTAGCAAGTCTTTTAAAACTTGATTGTTAATTCTGACAACCCCTCACCTTCCACTTGTGGTAAAAGATTGTTACAGTGAAATGCTGCCAGTTCCCTCAAGCAAAATATAAGTTTTAAATGCATAACAAACATCATCTGTCTAACACTTTGATTTTAGAAATAATTTAATTATTAATCCAAACAAACACTTGGTACAGCCTCAAAACTGCACACAGGAATGTTATTATTTGGCTCTTGATAAATCCTTCTTGAATAATAGTAACTGAATATTAGAAAACATTCATAATACAATTTACTGACAACCACACAAAGTACTTCAAGAATTGAAATGTTTCATTTATATGTAAAATGAGATGCCTGTTAACTCCTAATCCGGCTAGTATTCAGGTCTGGATTGATAGATTAATATCTTGCATTGAAGTCAACCAACATACATCAAACACCAATACAAATGGCAAGAACAAAACATTTGCTTTTTGAAGGAAAAGCAGCTAATTGAAAAGCCTCCAGGTGAAGTTAGTCAAATAACAGATCTGCATCCCTTTCTTCTTCCAGCAGGTTGGCCGGTTCATGCCCATGGATTGTCCTATAACTCTCCTGCTCTTTTTCTTGCTTCTCTTTCAAGTTCTTTTTCTTCTCCTGGATTTTTTTCAACCTGTAGATGTACAAAATACCACTTACTCATTCATTTTCCTATAAATGTTGATGCCACTACTTGACCAAGGCAAACCTGAAGTTAATTGTTGGTACAGTTGGTACCAAATACTGGTTAAATCTACTCTACCGGCACCTCTTGATACTCCCAAAGTGATGAAAAATGTTAATGGTTTAATCAAATCATGTTCATGCAAGCATGAAGTACTTGATGCAGAACTGAATTTATAACCGGATTATACTGTACTACTGTAGTTTATTTTCGAGGCTATTAAACCTTAAGTCCTGGGTATTTCACATCAGCAGCAACAACTTGCATTTATATCATGCCTTTTATATATAAGTGCTTGACAAATATTGTAGTGAAAAAAACTAATGTAGGGCTATATTAGAACATGTACCTCATAATGCAAAAAATGTTGTCCTTGAACAGTATTCAAGCAATGATACAGTATTTAGAACCATCCTGTCAATTGAATTTTACAGCAGCAACCTGCTGAGAGCAATCCACAATCTCTTTGATTTGCTGGTGCCTTTCTAAGAAATGTGTTAATTTGAAAGCCAGCATTGCTATTTATATTACTGCAACGTGTTGCTGGTTTAACATAGCATGCAAAGGCAAGCCTGGGAATAAGACCTTTGACCAATGAGTGAAATGGTTTCAAATTTGAGCTTGATGATTTCACACTGCAGTAATTAAGCTTTGTACACATTGCTTACCTATAAAATTCCTCCCTTTCTCTCTCGTCCAGTTCAGTTATGATGTACGATAAGGTACGCTCAATGCGAGGAATGATCACTGGGAAGTGAAACAACATAAGGAATACTTCTGTGCAGATTGAATATCTATATGTCAACAATTGTTCAATAGATGTCTCCCAATTCCCCCACAGTCCATATTTGGCTTGTTCCATTTAAACACCTCTGATTTTAGCTAGATTTAAAAATCTCAGATCAAGCAATCCCAGGATAGCCAGATGTAGAGTAATATTTATACATTCTTCCCAAACGTAACCCCAACTTCAGTACACCCCTAACTAGACCAGTACCACCCATCATCCTCTAAGGAGGTAAAGTAATAAGGTAAATCTGTTTTTTGCAAAGCGGCGTAACATATTTAAGCTCTGTGCAATAAAGTTACATCAAAGTGCAAAACTTACCATGTTCAATGGCATTTACACGTCTATTTGTGATCTTTATAGCTTCATCCAATGTCACAAATGAAGTCTGAAACAAAACAATTTAGTACATTTTACATTTGATAATATTTTCAATGTTTTTCACTACATTAATGATCTCTCATTCCGTACATTGTGTGTTGACACATATTCTGATAACAAATGTGGAGCTAGTGAAATGGGGTTTCTGAACTGTACATTCTATACTACAATTTTTTTAAAAAAAGATATAATCTTGTTGAGCACTCATTGTTTGTGGTATACAGCATCATGGTATAGTGGTACATCATCATAATATTGTGTAGTCAATCTTGCAAAGTGGCTTGGGATTAGTCCTGCACAATCAACAAGCTATGACGGCCACATGTCGTATGTGTGCTGGTATTTTGTCTTATCATAATCTTGCTTGCTTCCATTTTTTTTTCTTCCATCGATTTCGGAACATTTCAAGATAGTTTTCAAATCCCTTCATGCACCTGCCTATCTCACCGACCTGCTTACTCCCCAACTCACTCCCGCTACCTCCGCTCGACAGGCTCCAACCTCCTGAATGTTGCTTGTGCCTTCTGTTCCACAATCGGTGGCTGTGCCTTCATGCAATGTATACATCAGGTACTGACTATTGCTGATTTTGAAAACTTAATGAACGATTGTATAAGTTTATAATCTTGTTTGTTTTATATGCAAGGTAGGTCTTTGAATGTGGTCAAAAAAGTCAAATCACCCAAAGCTAAAGAGAAAGTCCTTCATTTTTTGGCCGCTCCTTAGTTTAAGTTGATTTATTTGGCATTTTTTACTGAACAGGTGCTTTTTCCTTTTTGTGTAATAGGTAGAGGCTCCACTTCACCACAATACTCACCAACAGATTTGTGGAATTTAACTGCGATAGCACAATTCAAACCATGTCCAGATTATTTTATTTTCCAAATTTTGTTCAAGAAATAAGACTAGGTGCACATTCCTAGTATAGTTAAAACAGGTGGCACCTTAATGTGGTAATTATTTTTAAAAATATGCAACTCGTATTATTTTTGTGGCGTAGATTGAATTTTTGTAGTGAAAAAGTTATTATAATCACCTCTCTGTGCCTCTTACCTGCAGTGACGCCAGTTCAACCAAAAGCTCTACTGCTTTTGCATAATTTCTCTTGAGTTTAGCCAACTGTTCTCCGCCTCTGGCAAGTCCAGTCAGCTCATAACCTGACGAGAATCAGAAAATGAAGAACCCGTCTCTCAGGTCATATTTGCTTGAAATGGTAAGTACTGTACCTTCATGTTTAATCACTAGCTTTAACAAGTGCAGAGAAGTGCAGAAAAATAGTAATAATTTGGTCACTCAATCCACAATTGTTTGTGGGACACTGCTGTGCACAATTGGCTGCCACTTTTTGCCCACCAATATACAGTTATTCTCCTTTGCAGTATATTCTGTGAAGCGCTTTGAGACTTCTAGAAGACCTGAAAAGTGCTGCATCGAATGCAAGGATTATTATTATTATTGTTAGAACAGAATGATTGGGACAGCCAAGGGCGGGTTTGAGAGTTATGGAAATGGGGAATTGTGTACAAGTGTTGATCTATCTGAAGAGGATTTTTAACTGCCTCTATAGAACTGTCTCTCAGGATATTGGAAAGTTAAGTGTGAAAATTATACTTTATGATTGTTTTGGGGATTGAGGGAATTGGTGTATAGAATGTCTTATCCAGAAGATGGCAGCAAATGATGCCTGGTGCTCAAATACAATGTGCAATGTATTCAATCCTCTTCCTTGTTCTGCTGCATGCATTCTCTACTCTCTTTCCACATATATCACTTTTTCTGGAACATTTCCCACAAGCACTGTAAAAATAATCATTCAAAAGTACAAATTCATTGTTTAAATCAATATTCATTCTATCTTCTATTTAGGGAAACAACTTTGGTAACAGAATAAACTGTTATTTCTGGTAAGTAAATAAATGTATACTTACTATCTCCTCCTTCATGGTAGTGTTCAAACACTGGCAGAGTAACACCTATCAAGAGAGTTGATTTATTCATTAACGCCGCTTCCAACAAATGAGTTAACAGCAAATCATCTGTTACCAAAACCTTGAGCTGCCTCATTAAGCGCTCTGAGATGCTACCCTATGTGAGGGGCACTATATAAATGTAAGTTGTTGTTGATCAATCTTAAGCTCTTGTTTTATGTATTGTGAAGTAAATAGTTTGTGTGCTGATCATTTTATTCGTCACTGATAAGACAATTGGCAGAAATAATACCATGTTTCATAAAAAGACCAAGATTCAAACATACTTCGTAAAGCATACCTGCTACGTTGTCTCGCTTAGCTCGGACCTTGACTTGTGCCTTGTTCACATTCTGGATCACAGTGGTACTGCAAAAAATGAAACAAGGATATCAGCCACAAATATCAAGAGTAGTTACATGATGTACTCTGTTATTTCATTTTCTTGATGTAGTTCTTGAACATCAGCTGAATAGATAATCACTCTATTGATATTACTTAGTTCTGTGCAAACATATTTCTCCACACAGAGGAAAAACAATGAAACATTGCTTTTATTGGAACCTGGCCCAAATAGTCAATTACATTATTAGCACAAAGCCTTTGCAAAAGGGCAGAGGGAAAAACTGAGAGAGGATTATTGTTCCATGTACATTGCTGGAGCTAGTTTTATCCTCCCTTGAAGATGTTATCTTACCTGAAGTCTCCAGCAGTAAACTTAGCTTCCGCCAAGGAAAAGGCTGCCTCCCTCATTACTTCACCCATCAGAGTCTTAGTCTGGAGGAATGAAATGCCAGTTAATTCAAATCAAGCAATAAGAAGTCAGTCCAATTTTTTTTGTCAGACAATCACAATGTTTGAATATTCAAATCACCCACCCATCCACCTAACTATGCATGAAGATTTCCCATTTGTCTGGACTGGAGTGTGCATTGTCTCCTCAGATGACTGCACCCTGCATACCTAATGCCAGAAAGTATTGGGCTGGTCAGCGTAGCAGGAGCCATGTTTTGGGGTCACCAGAGTGTATTTTGACTTGCTGCTTAAACCACATTTTAGCATAGTTTGCCATTTTAAACATGGTCTGGAAGCTTCCAACTGCTTGTCCAGATTGCACTTTCTTACCAGTTAGAACTTTGGCTTGCAGGAGCTGAATGGGATGAATCCCTCACCCAAGTATCTAGTCTGCCCCTTCATGTCCTGCCAAAGAGCCAGGCTGGCTTTTCAACAATGGTTTGGTGTGCTGGTAACTCACCTGTCTCAGGAACCAGACCACCAAGCCCACAACAGAGGATCACCTTGATTTTGATATTTTAATGTCAAGTATGTCACTTTGAAGGCAGCACAGCATTGAAGAGACCCCATTTATCTCTCTCCCACCAGGATAGTCATTGCTTAGTTATCATTAGACATCTGAGAAGTGTAGGTTTGAGCCCACTGTGTGGATAGCAATTACCAGCTCCTCCTGGTGAACTGCTGAACTCCACCATTCCAACTAGTGGAACCATCACTCAATAGGAAGGGGTAGGGATGTCTGTCCATGCTGTGGGCAGGGGTTGGTGGTAGTGCATGCTCTCTCTCTATTAGGTTGTACTTAAACGAGAACAAGTCAGTCAGAAGCTTTCCTGACAAACTTGCTACTGTTCCAAAAGGACAATTTATAAATTGGAGGCAAAATGAATGAATAGTTTTGGTAACTCAAATTCTTCTGATGGAATTTTCACCTCAATAATCTTTTTCAAGATTTGTCTGAAGCGAAGAGTAAGGGCATCAGACTTCTTCTTTAGTAAATTACGACCAGTCTGAGCACCTTTCAAACGTGCCTTCATTATCGTCTGTACCCTGAAAGAAAAAATAAAGCATTCAAACAGCTTACTTTGGGGACTGTCTGTTGAAAAGAATGAAAGTAGCTTTAAAATAAATAAGATTTGTCTTTTAACATTGAGTGGTAACCCGAGATCTTCTCACAACTATATGAGCTGTAAAGCCCCCAGTAACAGAAATACTAATTTACCAATGAGTCATGTTGGACAATCTGTTGTCAACAGTGCTGTGAAGCTCTGTGGATCTAACTGGCCCAAGTACCAGAATACTGAGACCGCCTGATTTTGATATTGATTTGCCAAGCACATCACCTTGGAACCAGCTCAGCCCCAAGGAGACTTGATGTACCTCACTTCTCTCCCACCCCCAGAAGATGGTCACTAGTTGTTCACCTGACAACCACTTGTTTGGGATGTCCTCCTGATGTGAAAGGCGCTTTATAAATGGAATCTTGTTGTTGTTGTTTGAGCTATTGCTAGGTTGATAGCAGATACCAGGAACCCCTTGCGTGTCTCTTGGGTGAGCAGCACAACTCAACATGAAATGTTAGGAACTTTGTTACTGTTAACAACAACTTGCATTTATATAGCACCCCTCACGTAGGGTAGCATCTCATCGGTGATTCTCGTAATCACAGCTCAGACACTGTGATTCCTATCCATTGAGTAGTGGTTCCCCCCCACTTGGAAGTGCAGAGCTGCAGAAGCCACTATTCTGTACACTGTGTACTAAGTGACAATACAAGCTGTCAATCTATCTCTTCCTCACTCCCAAGAATAAGAACCTGATAAAAGCAGTGCTTTAAATGCCAGCAGTACATTTCAAAGCACGTCACCTGATTCACTGCGATGCTTAGTGACTGTGTATTTGGGGAATTTGCAGAGCGAACGAGACGGAAGGGGTCATCATATGGATCAAAGTGATGATGTGTGACTGATGGCAAGATGCAACATTGCGTCTTTGCATTTCATATATGTATATATATATAAATAAAAAAAAGGTTCGACTTGAGCAATAGTGGATTGCAACATCTTGGGTTCAGTTACTGGTGCCGGGTTGCGGAATGACATTGTATCATCCCTCAGCAGTTTTAGTTCCTTTTCTCTTCCTCTCTTCCTTCCCGGGCGCCGGGTTCTTCCGAGGCCTCTCAACGTCCATAATTTGCAAAACAGGGCTAACTGATTGCTATTTGATCGCGATTCGGATAAACTGACAAATGTTACATCCCCTTCCCCCCCTCCCCCCCTCCTCCTCCTCCCCCCCCCCTCCTCCTCCTCCCCCCTCCTCCCTCCCCCCCCCCCCCTTGAACATCTCGCAGATGTATTTTTTCCCCCTCCTTTTTAAAAACAGCGCAATTATTCCAAGAAGCACGACCTCGAGCAGGAGCGCCCGATACTTACATCCGAGAGGGAAAGACCTCAATCCTCTCCTTCCCCGACATCTTTGCTCCGGGAGTGGGGGGGGAGGGGTCGCAGGAGCCGCAACAACAGAGAAGGATCGAGGAACGCTCGTCGATGGACCCGGACAGAGGTCGTGAGGATTTTTCGGATAGACCGACCACACGAGTGTGGCCAGAGAGCTGCCTCAGCCCAGGGAAGGGTCTGTGTGTGTGTGTTTGCTGTAATGTCTCAGCTCCCCGCCCTGGGGTTGGCAACCAGCTGAGCAATGGTCACGTGAGGACCGGAAGTGACCCTCTCCTGCTCCCTCCTCCTTCCCACTTTGGCGGCTAAACGCGCGCGCACCAACACGAAACCCTCAATCGGTCAATATTCAACACTCCCCCGGGAGGGAGGCACACCTACATATAAATACATATAGTTTTAAAAATGAAATAAAGCAAGAAGGGTAATGAGTCTTCACGGTTACACCGTGAGGCGCACGTCCGCCTGGGCGCTCGCCTCTTCTTTTACCAATATGGCGGCGGTTCCGGTGGCCCTGACCGGTTTGCTGCCCACTGCCCGCCCACCTCCCGTGAGCTCAACATTCAAATCAACCGGGAGGGGAGGGGGGGGCTTCACAGAGAAAGCGGCCGCCGGAGCAGCCACACTTTAGTTTAAAAACAACGCGATTTTTAATTTCATAAGCGATGGATCGGGGGAGGAGGGGGGGTGAAAGAGAGGTGACCTTTGACCTCCGACTTCCCTCTTCCTCCCTGCCACCGCGGTGGGCGCAGGCGCACTGAGTGTCTCGGGAGGGTGGGGGGCGGTGCACGCGCTGAGGAACCAGGCGGAAACGGCGGAGGCGGCGCGCAGACCGGTTTCTAACGGACGCTCGTTCCATTCAACCTCGTGCGGCGGCGGCGCTTCGTCCTCCTCCTCCTCCTCCTCTCACAGACTCCTTCCAGGTAATGGAGCCGGGCGGCGGGGGTGCGGAAAAAATATAGGGCAAGGCCGGGTGAGAGGTGGCGTGGGGCCTACCGGCCGACCGGCCTGCCTGCCGGCCGGCGGGAGGGGAGGGGAGGGGAGGGAAGCGAGGCCTGGGGACTGGCTGCGTTTCAGACTCCATCCCACAGAGAGGAGATGCGGTCTCTCTCTCGCTCGCTCGCACGTTTTTTTTTTGGGGGGTGTGCGTGTGTTGTTCGCGGGGAAAACGTGTTCCTTGGCGATGGAGCAATAAAATCGAAGCGAAGGCGAACGTGTTCATCCGACTGATTTTTCTGTTAGCGTTTCGTCGTTTGAAACGAGTTCCGTCGCTGATGAAACCACTGGATGGTTTTGTGTATTGGTCCTATTGACCCTGCGACCACCGCTTTCACCCCCCCCCACCCCCCATCGTTTGCACCCGCACCTACCCAGAGTCTATCATTTGGGGTTTTTATTAATGAAAAGTATCAATAGGAAGGAAGGCTTATTGATGGGATCAAGGTGAGGAATAGCAATGTTAGCAGATGTGCGGGTACACGCCTGTATTTTGCCCCAAGTGGTGTTGCGCTGCCTAACCTCACAAGGCAGTTGATATTATGTACTTATGGATGTTTTCCACGTGCAGGTGGCATATATAATAATTGGCATTTGCTATAGTGTTCCCGGGCACTGCTGATGACAGCACGGCCTGGTTCAGCGGCAGGAGTTGGAAGGTCTTGCCACCATCCAGCAGCAGGACCTGTTGGGTTCATCCAAGCTGACAGGACATCAGCTGACTGGGAGTCCCAGGTGGAGGAGGAGAAGTAGATTTGGGTGTTATCCACATACATGTAGAAATTGACCCCATGTCTGCGGATTACATCGCCGAGAGGGAACATGTAGATAAGGAAAAGAAGGGGGGCAAGAATGGAGCCTTGGGGTATTCTGCAATTGCCCAGGCAGGAGCGGGAAGAAAAACTACTTGCCGAGATGTATTGTTGGTGGTTTATTAAGTAAGACTTAAACCATGCGCGTGCAGTCCCACTAAGGATAATTCTTAACTCCTAATGAAGCCTTTATTTGTTACAAAACTTGAATACTACTCCCATTTCTGGAGAGGCTCTTCTAGCACATCTCTTAGATTCTTGAATTGGCTACAAAAACAAATGACTTTTTCTCTCTTTCAATTCTTCACTGTTAAAAACTAGAATAATACATTCTGGCAAAACCGTCCAAAGGGTTAAGTTCAATTGACAAACTGAGGTAAAAATATACTGATGGGTGCAATTCTGTTGCAAAGAAAATGGTAGAATGGTTAACAAAGCCAATTCACGTTTTTGTTTCCACTCATTTCTGTAATAATTTGAAGTGCCTTTGCATTATTGTAGATGGGTTTCAATGCAAAAGTGCAATTATTTGTCTAATCGTAGTTCAGAGAGAGAATCTCTAGATTTGAAATCTGCACCCAAGGGAATTTGCATCAAGTGTGGTGTAAATTTGTGTGATCTGTAGTTCTGTAATAGTGTTTGGAACATGAATGAAATTGTGGACACATGTGAATGCAAATTTTGCCTGAGAGTATTAAGCTCAGGTTCGTGATGATCAAAATAGTTGATAGTTTAGTAGTGTAATGCTATATTAAAGTTTGAAAATGTAAGAAAAGTCTTGAGTCAAATTAACGTATACTTTTGAGAAAGATATGACTTATTTAAAATGTCATTTACCTGTCTTCTTCCAAGTTAATCTGAGGGATGGCCAGAAGTGCTTGAGGGAAATGGGTAAAATAAAGACAAAGTTTTGAGACAGAGTAGACTATTAGAGTAATTAATGAGAGATTTGGGTGCAGGTTATTGTAGCAAATGTTTTATCCTCTTAATGCTTGACATGCAGCTACTGAAAGGATCTGAAACCTTTAGACTGTCATGAAGACATGATCTTTTGTTTTTACTTCTACATTTTATATTTGCTTTTGAGGTATTTTATATAATACCTAGTTGGACCTCTGTCGATTCCTCAGCAAATATACAAGGAGTACAGACTGGTTGGATTTTTACTTGAGTCACCTTTCGTTCCCTTTTTCAAGTGGTTGGTGTTCAATGCATTTTTATAAATTTTAGTGTAAGAGATTTAACTGTTCCCAGAATATTTCCATTGTGACTTTCTTGTTTTGCATTAGATTATTTCCTTAGCTTGTACATGACAGTGTCCAATTGTTGAGCTGTTGTGTACAGTCATCTGCACAGTTTTCACCAATGCTATTTTATGTACTGAAGTTTGGCCCCAGTAGATTGACTTCAATGTGGTGAACAGTCATAGTCAGGAATTTAATTTGAAGGTTGCTGTTCTTGATAAAGCTCATACATTAATTCTACCACCCAGTTTTGTCCTATTGTATGATCTACAACAAAAATGTTTCAAATTGTTTTTGTTCCAGAATGCCAGGCCTTAGTTGTCGGTTTTACCTACACAAATTTCCTGAGGTGGAAGATGTAGTGATGGTTAACGTTCGCTCCATTGCGGAGATGGGTGCCTATGTCAGCCTATTAGAGTACAACAACATCGAAGGCATGATTCTCCTCAGTGAGCTATCCAGGAGACGAATCCGATCCATCAACAAACTCATCCGCATCGGAAGAAATGAATGTGTAGTTGTAATTCGAGTTGACAAAGAAAAAGGTAATGTAGAAGGACAGACTGCATTAACTAGAGGTTGAGTCTTTCTGGTCTGGATTTTAAAGTTCTGAATCCTTGCATTGCTACAACTGAAGTCTTTCTGCAACCAAGCCATTTGCTTCTGAAATGTATGCACTTTCTGTAAACTTTCTTGTAGCTGGTGGTGTGGCTTAAGCTAATTTCTTTCTGCTAACTAGAAATAAGGTCTAACTTATAACATGTCATAAACTTCTGAACATTTAGCTCCTAGAAATATTAAAATGTCAAATCATTAATTTGATTAGTTCAAAAGTGAGTAGCTGAAAGTGCCTATTGCTATAACTTAGTGTACTATTACTCTCCGTCAGAATGTGGATTTGGCTTCAGGACACAATTGATGAGTTTTATTTCACTTGGACTACCTTGAGGAGATACCAGTTAGAAGAGGGGGTGAAGTTCAATGGCCCAAATATTCTGTAGAATATGGGAAAAAAGGCATTCTAAAAGTTTTTTTTTACTTTTTGAAGTCAGTATGTAAAAGCTTTGAGCAATAAAATGTTTCCTGAGATTGAGGGACGTACAACCGGTAATAATAAAACGCATCCTGTAATTATTCGACGTCTGCTTTGAACAGTGCAAAAACTCATTGCAATTAAACCTGCCAAATCTATAATGATTTAGAAAGCATTTGCTTCATTACTACTGCCAATTCCTCTTATTACCAGCTACTATTTTTAAAAAATCGTAAACCACCAGAAGAAAAAAACATCAGCTGAGCCTGATTCTGTCCTTGCCCAGTGTCTGTATGCTTTCCAGCAGATTCACGGGATACACTCAGGAATTGGAACTGTGGCCAATTTATTTTTCTTCACTTTGCCCACCACTACCCCAGTTCTTGTCTGTATGCTCTGTAGGACACCGGGTAGTACAGTTACTCTGTGATTTAGGGGGCCTGCTTTCATTTCTATAAACTTGCCCTACAACAATGACACAGTAAAATAATGCTCCAGGACAACCTTCTTCATCACATCAACAGTGTCATAAAATGTAGCCATTCTGATTGTGTGTTTATGATTCCAGGTTACATTGATTTGTCTAAGCGCAGAGTTTCTTCAGAAGAAGCAATGAAATGTGAAGACAAGTTTACCAAGTCCAAGACCGTAAGTAATTCTTTGTCTTATTCATAATTTTACCAGTCTATATGAAAACTTTGAAGTATTAAAATCTGAAATTATTAATATTCTGTATTACAAATTTTAAAACTAGTTGAATAAGTTATAGCAAGGTTTTATGTGGAGTATATGAAATTCTTTGAAAAGTTGGAGTATTCCCCAAGTATGAGTACAGACAATTATCCACAATTCGCACTTATATTGCCTTTCACTTATATCTCAAGTGCTTTACGAAGGCTCAGTGGGAGTCCGAGCTCGAAGGAAATGGGGACAAGGAGAGGGGTGGTGGCCAAAGTTGCATTCCTGAGTCTTTAGGTGGGTTGATTTTGAAAGCAAAAAGGCTGAGGGATTTTGGAAAAGATTTCCAGAGAGTCAGGACCTCGCAGTTCATAGCTCACCCATCGATGGTAGGGCCAAATAGATAGAGTGGGTTTTCCGCTGTGTTTTATAATTCCTATTTTCCTCACCTCAATGGGCAAGTTCCCAAGTCTTATCTCATCGTCCTTCATACTGAGGTAGGGAACTTGGTACATGGGTTTCCTACTATTGTTTGCTATGACCATATTACCATACTGTAAAGCAAATTAAAATGCATTTACATTTAATTTAAATTTTGTGTGCTTAAATACGATATAATAATAATAGAAAAATAAGAAGTTTTCTTTGTTTATATATGAAGAAGCAATGCATATCAAGAGTGGTTTGCAGTGGAATTCAGGCTATTGACTATTGCAAGTTCTTTGTTCAAAAAATTGTTATGTTTGGATACAATTTGGAGTCGGCAAAAACATTTTCCAAAACAAAATTGATCGTTTTTAAAAACTTCCTTAGTTATCCTCTTTTTGGAGGTGAAAATTGGTTGAAATATTTTCTATTCAGTAGAACAGACTATTAGTCCAGTAGACTGTGGTCCCCTGAATTTGAAGGAACAGTATTTCACCATGGGGTCTGTTTTTATTAGGTTTACAGCATCTTGAGACATGTGGCAGAAGTGCTTGAATACACTAAGGATGAACAGCTGGATAGTCTCTTTCAGCGGACAGCCTGGGTCTTTGATGAGAAGTACAGAAGGCCTGGATATGGAGCATATGATGCATTTAAACAGGCAGTTTCGTAAGAATTATTTATTTTCTACTTCAGGGGTGGGTTGCAAGTTATCATCTGACCTTAAAATGTTCTCTTTTGTACATGTTTTTAAAGAGTTAGTCTGGTATCTTGGAAACATTGCAATTCAGGTGCAGTAGTTTCCAAATCAATTTCAGTTTGATATCAGAAGTGGCTGGGAACACTCAGCTGGTTATGCAGCATCTATGGAGAGGGTAAAGTGAGTTAAAGTTTCAGTTTGATGACCTTTTGGCAGAACTGGGAGATATTGGAAGAGATCCAACATCTCCCAGTTCTGACGAAAGGTCATTGACCTGAAACGTTAACTCACTTTCCTCTCTCCATAGATGCTGCTTGACCCGGTGAGTGTTCCCAGCCACTTCTGTATTTATTTCAGATTTCCAGCATCTGCAGTATTTTGCCTTCAGTTCAATATCAGCCTGGTTACCACTTGATGGCAGTAGATGTTAATGTTGTTATTAGCAAATTAGAATTGTTCATTGCTTGCTGAGTCAGTAAAGGTAAGATAACAACAATTGTCTTAAATTACTTTTTACTGCATAATAAATGCAATATTTTGTAATATTTAAAAAGTCCTATGAACTACTGCTGGATATTGATTTTAAAATCATTCCATCACTGATTTACTTCAGTCATTGAGTTCCATTATCATAGCCTACTCTATTAGATAGTTTCTTGCTTTTTAGTGACATAATACTACAGGATTGTAACCAATCCTTAGGTGTGTTGACTATTTATCAATGTTATTTTTTTCCTATTGTAGGGGTTGCCCTGCACAATCAATATAATAATAAAGTGCAGTGACTGTTTATTTGTAGGTGAATACAGCAGTTAACTTTTTGCTCACAGCAATATTCCCACGAACATCTGATGTCAGTAATCCCTGCAAGTGCTGTATTGTAAATAATTACAAGAAATCTGCAGACATTCAGTCTTAATTTCTGTGTTTTCTGTTTTGATTCCACTGATACTGAATGTTACTGTTAGTTTTTCACTAGTGTCTAGATTGCACTAGAAATTATACAATTTCTGTATAAATTGTTTTATTTTTGCTAGAGACCCTACCATCCTGGATAGTCTTGAGTTGACTGAAGAGGAGAGGGGTGTGCTGCTTGAAAATATCAAAAGACGTCTTACTCCACAAGCTGTTAAAATCCGAGCAGGTGGGGGTTCAAAGCTTTAGTATTGTTAGTAGATTGTAAATAAGTTTTGTGTGGCTATCACCATTAACGACCTCTTTGATTTAAGAGGAATGAATTTTTAAGCTTCTGTGTCTCTCAAGTTCTATGTTTGTTTCTTTGAACAGATATTGAAGTGGCGTGTTATGGATATGAAGGTATAGATGCAGTGAAAGATGCACTTAGAGCTGGTCTAGATTGTGCCACGGAAAGCATGGCCATCAAGGTAGATATCTGGGAATTATTCAAACCTAAGAGTGGTTTCAAGTTTTTGTAGTTGTAACCATAAATTATACAAATTATGTAGAATTTAATGCTCTGATAAAAGGATGGTGAAATAGAAATTAAACTACATTAATATTTTTACAAAGTGGCAGCAATTGCATAAAGCTATTGGTAAAAAGTGAGTAAAGGAAAATCTGGGTCAGTTCCTCTAGGGAATGTGCGTTGAATGTTTGATAGTTAACTTTAACAAGTAATTCAAGTTTGGACATTGACATAGTGAAACCAACATCACAACCATATAAACAGCGAGAAGTTGTGGGTGCTGCTGTGAGGCCCACAGAAACTCTGAGCATTTACCTGTTTCCCATGCGGAGTGGGGACCTGCTTCCCATACTGAACACAGCAAAGAATCCCAGAGACATCCTAATGGAAGTCAGTTTCAATACAGATATCCATCACCCACTCCTGAGATTATTCCACAAGTCAACTCATTGAAGCTTTCACCTGAGCTGCTGAAATGTCAATTTCATATCTCACCCAATCGAGTTCAACACAAGACTGATTATGCTTTTAACAACCACCATTGATGAACTTCCACCACTTGTGTTCAGCTTGAAGTGCTATCATGGGACAGTATTGCTAATGTGACACCGTAGCAGTATTTGGGGGCGGAAGGGTGCAAGGAACTCATTTTACAGCCCCTATCACCGAGTTCTCAAGTTTGTATTGTATTAAGAGACCATAAGACGTAGGAACAGGAGTAGGCCATTCGGCCCCTCGAGCCTGCCCCGCCAATTAATAATAATAAGATCATGGCTCCTCTTCTAATCTAATTTCATTTACCCGCCCTATCCCCATATCCCTTAATCCCTCTAACCTTTAGAAATCGATCAACCTCAGTCTTGAATATGTTCAAGGACTGAGCATCCACAATTCCACAAATAAGTGGGTGAATACACACAGCGGAAGAGAGAATCTAAGGACCAGCCCCCTTCACAGACTGGAGTCAATGGTTTGGTCTCAAAAAGCATCTGAGGTTAAACAAAAGTTTAAGGAGTTTGAGCAGTTTCAAATAATTCTCAAAATAATTGGAAAGATGTAAGATAATGTTGGGAGAGTCCGGAAGGTGTGGTATCTTTGTCTGTCTGCCTCAACCAGCATCTGTAGCTATTGGTTCCAGTAACAAAACCTATTACAAGACCATCACATGCAAATTTTTTGTTGGTCCATATCAGCCTGTCTATATATAGTGGAAGACTAATATCTAGTTGATTGGTGGGACACTGCTGTGCGAAATAGGCAATCGCGTTTCGTCCACAAAATATAGTCAGTTCACTTTATAATATATTCTGTGAAGCACTTTAAGACATCTCGAAGACATAAGGAGCTACATTATTATATCAAATGCAAGGATTATTATTAACTTGCAACTTTCTATAACTGGTTATTGTTGAAAGAACTGGACAGTGGCCTTTAGTTTTAAACAAAAAGTGCTTAAATGTGGTGCGTAGTTGTCGGGTGTAAATTGAAAAGAAATATCAGAATATACAATGCTTTTTCACGCTGCATAATTAATATTGGCCAAAATCTCTGTGGCAGTTTTAAACTCATGTGGATTCAAAAAAATATTTACATGCAGAGCCTCATCATTGGCCAAAGTTCTTTTTCAGCTCTAACATGTTGGTTATTGAAGCATGATGGTATTTAATCTTATTTTTTTTCTTGCTTGTCTAGATAAATCTAATTGCTCCACCAAGGTACGTTATGACCACTACAACGCTTGAGCGTACAGAAGGTCTTTCTGTCTTGAATCAGGCCATGGCTGCAATTAAGGAGAGGATTGAGGAGAAGAGGGGAGTTTTCAATGTCCAGATGGAGGTCAGTGCTACCTTTTCTCCACTTTACGTTTAAAGTTTTATTCCATTCCCTTGTGGAGTATGAGCACACAACCTGCCCCTACCATCGACTTTTGATCCAGTTACCTTGATCTAAGTGAAACAGGCTGTGGCAATTAGTTTGTATTTTGGTCACATGGGGGAAGCAGGTGGCTTGCTTTTAGATGTCTCTTGTGATCTAGTTGACTGCTGTGGATATATAAATCCAAGTTGTTGTTGTTGTCTGTGTGTTCTGCCACTTATGGGAAGTGCATTCGAGGATGTGTGCCGTTTGCTCCTTCCCTCTCAAAGCTAATCCCCAAACTGATTTCACTTTCAGTCATCTTTCTTCTCACCCCCCTCAGCTTGCACACCAAGCTATTCGGCACTTTGAGACATCCTCCTGACTAGATAGGTGCTATACAAATATAAATTGTACACTGCATCAGTGAGTACAATATGCAAAATGGAGTGAGAATTTGAAACAGTGCTTTGAAGAAAAGAATAAAGTTCTATAAAAAGAAAGCTAGCATATGTCTAAATTTAGCAGGCTGAACCAGATAAATGTTAATGTGGCATGTTTAAAGGGAAAATAAAATGTTAGATTTCTATCTTTATATCTTTAGTTGTTCCACCACTTTATCCTATGTGAAGGATCTATCTAAATGTAAGTTGTTGTTGCTACCTTTATCCTTGCATTCTGTACAAAATTAGTCTACTTACTATCTTCTGTCTAGGTGTGTTGTAGTTCATTTTTTTTGTGTTTCATTGCAGGAAAAAAACTAATACAAATTGAGTGTGAGACATGTTTGCGAAGTGATTTGCATTGGAATCCAAATGCTGAGACTGGCTGAAAAAGGTGGTTTCAGCAGGACATGGATTTGATTGTTGTAGTGTAAATGCAGACCACATTGAGCATTTTGCCTCTATGTAATAAGTAAACACTGGCTAGAAGAGTTCTGCACATCTACTTAATTGTATTTGCAAAGCTCTCCTCAGCCTCAGAAGTGCTCTACTGCTTCTAGCAGACTATATCTGGTATTAGTGTGAGTGGATGGGTACAAATGGAATATTTCTGTGTCTATTAGCATACTTAAATAAGCCTAAGGATGAGAAGGCTTAATTTTTATAATCACCCAAATCTAGATTTTTGTGTTCTCTGCCTTTAACAGTTGTTCTGAGAAGCGTTTTAATGCTATTTTCTGATGCTTTTTTTAAACTTTTCTCAGCTCGTATAAGTCTTCCATCAAGGAAATTTGATAAATCTTCACAATGTGAGATTGAATGCATTAAAATTATTCTTTTTCTGGCTTTCACAGCCCAAGGTAGTTACAGACACAGACGAGACCGAGCTGGCTAGGCAGCTTGAACGACTGGAGCGGGAAAATGCTGAGGTTGATGGAGACGATGATGCTGATGAAATGGAAGCAAAACCTGAGGATTAATGCTGTGGGAAGGTTATGTACACAAGAAGTGGATCAGGGAAACGTAAACTCCAATCAAAATACAGACTCCAAAACCATCAGTATTGGATGTATCCAAACAATTTCATTCAAGAGTATTTTATTTCCCATTTATACAGGTTACAATCAGGGATTGTTTTTTACCATTTGGAATTATTTTTCAAAGTATCCGTTCCTATTGAAAATGTTCACAGTTGTCTTAACTCTGAGAAGCTGTAACTGTTCTCCAAAAATAGTGAAATCTTGATGGAGGGAGTGGAGTTAGGCTTGTATCTTAAACAGAAAACTTCAAAATTATATTGAGACGCTTGTAAATCACTGATTGTGTAACACTTAACCTCACAGTGGAGTTTTACAAGAATATGGCTCTGCAAGAGGGACAGAACATTTCTTTCTAGCAGAATTGTATTCAGACCTGAAACAATAAATATTTGGAAAATTTAAAATGACTTGTGAATCTCAAGCCTTTAACGTTTTTTTTACACATCCACATCTTTACACTTTTGCTATATATTCATAAATGTAACATAGTATACATAGTATAATGAGCATCATTAATAGCAACCTGGAAAGCAATGAAGATTGCTTGATTGCTTGTTCAACTCAGAAACCACTTAACTGCTGCACATAGCCTTAGTTCTATGTAGTATGAGATGCCATTGCGTAACATTAAGTAACATTAAACAATTTTATCTCATGATATTGTGAAGTTTTGATTTACTTATTTTAAAGATCTATGTAAATATGATTTTGCAGCTTTGACAAATTTTAAAATTTGATAATGGGTGGCGTTCGGTATCTACAGGTTCCTATTGCATTTTCTTCATTAAAAGATGGAATGATATACACTAATTACAATGTACAACAGTTGGATTTGAATATTTTCATAGTTAACTGTGACTACTTGTTTAGGTCTTCTGCGATTCAATAATTTCTGCCTAGATTAAATTGAATACAATATGGTGCCTCATTTCAAAAGAAAAGGCATTGCTTTGTGCCAGCCACACCACCTATTACCAAAATGAAGGTGAACAGAAATCGCTGACATTTTTGACTTGGGTCACAAATCTTTGAACACAAAACATTTAATGGACAAAGAAACCACCAGTATCCCTGTTGAGCAGAAGGGATCCTGTGGTTTAAACCTTTGATAACTGATCTTCTGATGTGGGAAGCTTCAGAAAATCACACAAACTTGTAGTAACAACAAATTACCTTATATAACGCCTGTCACGTCGGGAGGACTTCCCAAGGCGCTGGACAATCAGTGCTTCGGACCATGATTAAGTTTTCTAAAGGTTGACCAGTCATAACAGCACAGCAAAGATCTGGTTTCATTCAGACACGTTGCATCTCGTACAATCGAGGAAAGAATCTGATGAGATGTATTACTTAAAACTAAATTAATTTTAAAAATACAACCAATAGGAAATGACTAAATATACTACTGTTGAATTCAAAATAAATACTACCATCATTTAATTCCGCTGCATAAAGGCAAATAAGTCAATACACAATTGATGAAATCAGAAGTTTTTTTTCCAAGTGATTGGTTTTGACCTACCCTCCCCTAATTTTTGAACTTCAAATTTCCAGTCAAATAATTATGACTAAAGTAATTTAACAAGAATTTTATATGCCGATTATTAGACTGAGCTTGTTGCAAGACGTTATTTGGATATTTACGGCCTTAGTTTGCCTACCTAAAGTCGACCCCTACTCTGGAAATAAATGAACCTTTCAGCATCTTCTTGGCAGTGCAGGTATTATCTTGGATCAATACATTTTGCCACTAGGTATTAAAATGTATATTGGAACAAATGATACCCCACACACAATTCTGGATCTTAGCCATACTGCACTATTCTGCACTGTTAGTCAAGTTCATAGAATTATACAGCACGGAAGGAGGCCACTCGACCCATCGTGTCTGTCCGGGCTCTTTGAAAAGAGGTATCCAATTCAATCCCACTCCCCCGCGCTCTCCCCATAGCCCTACAAGCTTATCCTCCCCAAATAATTACTCTCTTGAAAGTTGTTATCGAATCGGCTTCCACCATCCAATGCATTCCAGATCCGAACAACTTGCTGTGAAAATATTTCTCCTCACCTACCCTCTGTTTCTTTTAACAACTACTTTAAATCGGTGTCCTCGGGTTTCTGACCCACCCGCCAGTGGAAATATTTTCACCTTGTTCACCCTATCAAATCCCCTCATAATTTTGAAAACTTGTATTAAGTCTCCTCTTAACCTCTGCTCCAAGGAGAATAATCCTAGCTTCTCTAGCCTCTCCTGATAACTGAAGTCCTTCATTTCTGGAACCATCCTGGTAAATCTCCTTTGCACCCTCTCCAATGCCTTGACATCCTTCCTAAAGTGTGGGCCCCTGAACGCAGTACTCCAGCTGCGGTCTAACCAACGTTTTATAAAGGTTCATCATAACCAAAAGTTGTATGGGATTTGATGAAAGCTTAGGAATGGGTCAGCTCTGTGTAGCAAACAAACCAAGGGTGTTTGACTCGGAATATATTTTTTATATTACTATAAGTTAATCTCAACCATAAAGTTGCATGAAGCAATTTTCATCCAATTTTCAAGGGTTGCACAATACAGGATTTGTTTTGTTTCTCATTTAATGTGTAAGCATAACTCCACCCACAGTCATAACATTCAGACAAACAACTTAACTAATTGGGAGCACATTTTTTAGCTTGTTTATCTTAATTACTGGGTTTGGCAAGTGCTTTAAACTGATAGGAGCCATAAATATGAGTAAGAAAGTTTGACGTGCAAATTATTCATAATTGAGGAGAACCAATTATTTCTGTTCCAAGGTCATTTTCATTGAGGAAAAATCATTCCTGTGGTTAATTTAAGTGTAGAGTTTGATACAACTTTTTAAATCTAACTTTGCCAGATTAGTTTTGCAGGTTCTATCCACAGTTACTTAGTACATATTTAAAATGAGTTAATATACAAATTCAAAATGAATTAATACTATGCGTTATTGTAATGTGTACTAACTATTCATATTAGAAGTTTTAAGTGTACAACTATATTTTTTGAGTCTTGAATCTATTTACCTTACGTGTTATCAAATGCTTGGAATTTACCTCATACTGATTGACTGAGGTCACCTTCACCTAAACCACAACTGGCTGTTTAGCCACCTCAACAATTTTTTTGGAGAATTACTTAATAAAGAATTGCCTGTGCTGTGAATAAATGATTCAATCATGTCTGAAATTGTAAACTGGAAAGAAATGTGCTGCTTGTTTTGACGAGCCAGTCTTGGTCCTTGACTGTGGAAAGGTGCATGACCATACATGATCATGGGTTGTTTTTCAGACATGTACAGCAATGAAGTAGGCTGGCAGTTTCGGAATTACCTAGCTATGGTGATGCTTACCTTAACAACCTGGTGTTTTTGAAATGTCCACATTTCCAAACAGTATATTCAGGACAGAGATGTACTTTTAAATAAATTGTCCGAGTCAGTGAGGGTTTCTTTGGAGGTTTGTGGAGAGTTTTAAACATTTAACCCAGTTCTCAAAGGTGATGGGGAATATTCCTACCTATTGTGCCAGAATTCCCCCTTTTAACCTTTAATGTATTGAAAAATATTACATTGGAGTCTATTGTTTACTGATTCCTGCCCCAAGTGAGTCCTGTAGCCTATTGGATAGAGCTAACAACTTCCTGGTAACCTATTCAGCTGTTCATATCCCTAGGGCACTATATTGGCTTTAGGTGTAAGGAGGAAACAATCAGCCTGGAATAGGGCTAACCCTAATTCCAAATCCTGGTTGATATCTAGAATCCCCTGACTGGAAAGTGCATGTGTGTTGTGTCCAATGAGTACTCAATCGGATTCTTTTGATATCTTGGTCACATATGAAAAATAGTCTCTTTTTATTTCTATTCCTTTTGCGAACATGCTCATTAAATCTCAATGTTCATGATTAGTAATTGTATGTAGGTGTGAGAGGTTGCAGTTTGTTTCTTATCTGTTTATCTCCAGACGGATGCAGTTTTTTTTATTTAAAATATTCGTCAGTCAAATTATACCAATAAAGACAGTGCCAACAGGGATTACTCAGACTACTCATACTGACTGCACCCATTTAAGGTGTGTATAAGGCTGGGGAAGTGTAGACACGTCATGGTGTGGTCTCTCCTGAGGTATTTAAAGTTCAGCCTTCAGAAGTCTGCACACTTTGAAACCGGATGTTTCACAACAATATGCAGGGAATGACTACCACAATAAGGGAAGGATTCTTAATCAAAAGGGTAAGAGAAACTTATTCATTGTAAGCTTTATTCTTTTCTTTCTAAGAGCTGGGAAAATGTATTTGCACCAGTCATTGTTGAAGTGGTTCATAATAGTTTACTTGAACATAAATCAGTGAAGATTAGAAGTATTCCAAACAAGTAGCTTGTTTTAAAACACTGGAACTGCATTTCATATGTTTTCTAAATGTACAATTCATTGTGTTCTCATATTCAAAGTTCAGAACTGAGCGTTTTAATTCTGTTCCCTCCCTCATCATTTTATAAACTTTCCACACAGTTTCTTTCTACCCCTTTCCCTCCTATTATTCAACCAAAAGCAGCCAATGCATGTCTTTTATGAAATGTGTAATTTTGTTCAAGCTTCAATTTTCTGCTTTACTCAGCACAAACACACACAAACTTTCCAGTAGATTTCACTGGTAATCCTGAATAGGAAACCTGGGTGAGTTTTTTTTTTCTCTTGTCCATGACCCTGATGCCCATACTCCAGTTGAGATTAGCAAACACATAGAATAGGAATCAAACCTGGGATTTTTCCAACTTGGATCACTCAATGGCAGATTTGACAGTGCACTGGGCCATAAATTAGAATAAATCGCTTTTTTTAAATGTAAAAACAGGAATGCGAAATTCTCTAACATAATATTCTACTCTTGAGTGACATTTAGAATCTTCTTGCTGTTTACTATTCATTCCTTTTAAGGTTGACATTCAATTGTTTGTATTTTAGGGTCACATTGTTCAGAACTGGAAAGCAAGATGGTTTGTTTTGTTCAAAGATCAACTTCTTTACTATAAAATTGAAGAAGGAAAGAAGGAATCTCAACCCAGAGGCCAGATTCCGCTCCAAAGTTGCACTCTTATCTGTCCCTGTGTCGATTATGAAAACCGGCCGGTAAGAATTATGAGGAGTGTATCTTTATGTAGATGCCAGCGCCTATTACATTTTTCTCTGATTTATAGTTGCTTTATTAAAGATCACTTAATTAAGGATCTTATTTAATTTGCTTGTCATCTGCTTGTGCTGATTACTTTTACTTTTAGTTTGAGGCTAATTTTAACAAAAAACAGACTGGCATCTGAGGCATTGCACATCTTATAAAAGCTGTTGTCAAATTTCAAGTAAACCTTCCTAGCTATTAAATCATAGGAATAAGGGTAACTCTTTAAGAGTTAACTGATGTCAGGCAGGCAAGAGAAGACGTGCTATATTTTTCTTAGCATCCCTGGACTGAGGAACGGGAAATCTAGTTAGAAAAAGTCCGGCTCTGTTGTCAGATCACCTGGGATTAAATAACGACATGTATCAGTACTCACTTGTCTATGAAACCTTCTCCCAACATTAATTAATGCCTTCACGAGAAGGGGAACACACACAAAAAGCCGCGTTAGATAATATGACATTTACTTTCCATTTACTTTGTTTGATGGATGGCGGGGGTGGATGTAATCTAAATTTTCCTATAAGAAGCAGGTAAGCGTGTGTGGTGTATTTGTGTACCTTGCTTATTCCTTAGATAATGCATGTTTTTTTTCTGCTGTGTTGTCCTCGGTGTTTTCAACAAACGTGGCTGTGGAATATAAATTCAAGAATTGTTCCAGACAGTGTAAAAGCTCAGCCAGCAGGGGACCCAGCGAGCTCTGCTGGGAGTTGGTAACACATATACAGTACTCAGTGTATGCATTGCCTCACTTCCAACATTGCATATTCATTCCTTTTAATATTACTGGCCTCAGAGACCAAAAGGAACATGTACCAGATATAGTGCCGTATATAAAGTAGGATTCTGATAAGGAGCAAAGGGTTTTGTGGAACAGTAAGTTTGGATGCATGAACCTGATGTTCCATCTGCCTTCTCTACACAGGATGTTAGTGTTCAGACTGACAGTACGTTGCTAAGTGATTATTGGCATTTGCAATAAGGTACCAACCTTTGAATCATGTACAAACTGTCAAAACAGAATAGGATTTGGTCAAAACAAGACAAGAACCGAAGTTGAGGACAAAGTCTGAGCATGTGCATTTTTTTTAACAGCTGATGATTAAATTGAAGACTCAGCAATCTATTGAGTATTTCCTTCAAGCTTGTTCCCGTGAAGAACGTGATTCCTGGGCTGCTGATATTAATAAAGTGATCAAAGCTGTTAATCCAAAACAAACACAACAGCTGGGGACATCCTTTAACTCAACATCAGACATCAGTCTCAAGTATGTGTTCATGACCCTTTTCATAATGTGTTGCACTCCTCTCCACCAGAGTTTTCTCCTTTTTCATCCTTTCTCACTCTGGAGTAGGGGTTCAAGGCTGACAGAGAGCCCTCTGATATCTTACTCAATTTAAAATTCTTAATATATGAACCAAGTTGTACTGCACTCACATTGTCTTTATTAAATTAGCCATTGAGGAGAAGTGGATATCTTGAAATGTGCATCACTGTCAGCTGGTTTTCTCATCAAAAAGGCATTGATAACCAAATTCATTTCATATCATAATATATGGTTCAGATTACATACCCCTTCTTATCCCATCCAAATAATGCAACGTTCACCCATTTTCAGTGTACAATATATTTCTCCATTGATCCAGAACATCAAAACGAATGCTATTCGTTATTGTTGCTCTTTGTAACAATTAGTTATATTATAGTGGTTATTAATGGCTGTCTTAATGATTCTTTACCTTTTTAATCTGCAGTCACTTGATTGATGCCATGCACGATAGTCACGGTGGGATAAAGGAAATGGCAAACACAGAATGTGGGAACACCTACAAGATGACTTTCACTGGTAAGGAAAGGAACCAGAGGAACATGTACATAACCAAAACGCAAATCACTGGTTCTCCATTTCCTAGGATGGTTTGCAGTTGCTTAGCCTAGTATGAATGTTGCATAAAAGTTGCCTTTTGAGTACTTACTAGTGATACCTACAGGATTGTGTAACCTGACAGCTGCAGGTTCTCTTTGATCTCAATTGGTGCGAGTGAGCCAGGTGTAATTTCTTAACTCTGCCTTCAGCAGTAACCTAAATCTCCATTTCATGCTTTCATCCTGTAATTATTCTTTGTGATGTTGGTAGAGTTGCCAGGAAACCAGTTTAAATGCCCCTCCTCCTCCCATTCCCTGGTGCACTGAGATAACATTTCTGTGCAAGAAACGATCACAGTGACTAACATAAACTGATGCTTGAAAGCTGCTGAACGTGTCCAGACGAAACAAATTAATTGTAGCTGATCACACTTGGTATGATACCTTTAATTATTTCTGTACCCCACTCCAATATTCTACGATCCTTTTAAAGGTGCTTTGAAGCCTGCGTTTTTTTTAACATCCGCTGGAGTAATAGTTTTATGTACATTGGCCACCCTCCAATATCATTCCATAGTGCCTCCTTAAAGAGACTATTATTCACCTCTGAGCTTCGTCAGAGTTGATGTACTATTTGACTGAAGAGCACTGCAGCCAAGCCCAAGCCTACCCTGGCTTGTTGTTTCCTTTCAAACACGCACATCTTCCAGAAGACGTTGTCGGAAATTCAGCTGATTAACCCCTCCCAAGCCTCTAGAGATCTACTGACTTAGCAAACACAGGGATGGCTCCTGGGGCCTTGCAGATCTGTATGGCTCGGTTACTCAATTAATACAATTTCTGAGCTATTGAGGGAACGGTGTTTAATTGTTCCAATGAATGTGAATATTTATTTTATTAAACAGTAATTGCTTATTGCAGTCAAGCCAGAAATACTGATAACATACCATTGGAAAAAAGAACTTCTCATTTCTATTTTGTTCATTGTGAATGGAGTCAACCATTTTCCTGCTTCCCATGTGTTTATCTCTGAAGGTTCATCAGTGGTCGACTGGGTGATGTCCTGGAATTTTGCCCACTCCCGTCTGGACGCTGTCACGTTAGCTTCCATCCTGGTCGAAGAAAATCTCATCACGCCAGTGGGTCCGAAAAGTACAAAAAGCGTGCGCAGCATGCCACTTGGAGAGCAGTTAATGGATGATTCAACAGTACTTTATTGTTTCGTAAGTACGCTGTCTGTGTTCAATTAGCTGGTGTTTACTCCTACGGTTCATTGTTTTTCAAAGATTTTAAAATGCATTATTGAAAGTAATTTATTGAACTTGTAACTGGGGGGGAAAATCTCAGGACTGTTCATTCTATTATGACCTAGTGGGATCACACTGTCATGAAATTAAAGTAATGAATCATCACATCAGTACCATCTAGGACGTAAAATTTGTTTTTTTTTACACTGTGGTATGGGTGTGAGTGCCTTGGGTTTTGACTCCACATGTGGAGGAAGAGTCTAAAGCACAAATCTGTTCCTGTTTGCCTACTGTACCAATGCTGGATATGAACCTCCCCTTTAATGCATGTATTTTCTCCTGCAGATCGAAAACAAGAACAAAATTGACAACTCCAATGACATCATAGATATAAACCCCTTAGAGATGAGCGGCAAAATTGTGAAGCAAGGATATTTAATGAAGCAGGTACTTGATCTCCCATTGACTTAGCAGATGATCTCAGCCATTCATTACCTTGGAAATATGAATATTCTGGAAATTAAAATTAGATTGCAGTAAAACTCCCTTCAGCTTTGGAGTTGCCTCCGGTGTTGCCAAACCTTGATTTATTGTCTCAGAAATCTGCACTCACTCAGACTGTTAATCTATGTCCCGGTCCCATTCCCCCCAAACCCCTACCTGCTGTGTTATTGCTCTGCCTGGAGCTAGTAGAGCTCATAGTTAAATTCTACTCCTCTACTGTACATGTCTAATCCATTCTGTATTTGCACTGTACTTAGGGACACACCAGAAAAAACTGGAAAGTGAGAAAATTTGTTCTGAGGGCAGAGCCTGCATACCTGCACTACTATGATCCTTGCAAAGTAAGTGATCTATAATGTATCTTTGTAACTTTCTTTGGTAAGGGATATGTCGCTTTCTCCCTCTGCAAGGGTGCCTCCACACCACCACTGCTTTTGTCATGTTGAGATTAGGTGAGGAGAGATCCAAGTCCATTTTTTTTTCATCCTAAATCACAAACAAGTGCTGCCCTTAGAGCTGGGCCAGCAACAAAGGAAGAATTATCTTTTAAAAATAACTGTAAGCAGTCACGACAGGTTCTTGAGGACACTCAGACCAATTAGGTTTTCTTATAATTATTTGGGGATGACAAGTTTGCAGGGCTATGGGAAAAGAGCAGGGGAGTGGGATTGATTTGGACAGCTCTTTTCAAAGAGCCAGCACAGACACAATGGGCTGAATGGACTCCTTCTGTGCTATATAACTCTATGATTCTATGATCTCACCTCTGTTACTGAGGCAAGAGGCCTAGCACAGAGCTTCAATAGGTAGCACTCACCTCTTCTCAACCACTGTGTGCTCAATGAGTCTAGGTGAAGGGCGAGACAAGTAGCTTGAATGAGGAAACAATCCCTTCACTAAATCAATCTGATTTTTCCCCCCTACTCCCATGTTGTATATTTTTGTTGATCAGCCGGGTGTCTGACACACGCAGAAACCCATGTCAGCTTGGAGCCAATTCAGCTCTCAGGAGACCTCAATTAGAGCCCAAACTAATACATGAGACAACCAGAAAGCATGCTTCTAATTAATAATAAAAAGGAACATAACTACTCAACTGTAAACTGAGCGTAAACGTAATCTTCATAAACCAGTCCAATTAGTTTAAACACATTGTACAAAAGCTGACCGTGGTTTTCAATTCAAATTCCACAGCATACAATTCCTGAGCAGATTCTAAGAGCACATGGTAACGGAATGCCAATCAGGTTTTAAACTAGGAATGGAGGTGCGGTTGCTAGCAGTTTGATTTCTGCATGTTGTTTTTCCACATATGTGGAGTTTGAAACTTTACTGAAAAACTTCTAATCTCTAAACGGCTGACTTCAAATTCCTGTTTTCTGTGTGTAGGAAAAGGAAGACCATGCTGCTGGTGGGTTTGCTCTCCGAGGCTGTTTAGTTTCTGCTGTGGAAGACAATGGAATTGCACCAGGTGAGACTGAAAGAAATGATTCCACTAATGATCCGACAAGCGGTATCCTTAAACACGTAAAGCACATTGAGTATCTGTGCAATTGAATGTAAACCAAACATCTATCAAGTCAACTGTGCAGTCACTTGTCTGTAAATCATTTTGAAATGTGCCTGTTGCCTTCTTGGGTTTTCTAAATTCCTTGTGTGCTGTGGCTTGTGTCACAAAGCAGGGAAGAGGCGATAGTTTTGTTTTTCTTAAGCCAAGCACACTTTTTTTTAATATGAATTGCACGAACCTTCATTATTTGACTTTCAATCTTGCAGGAATAAAGGGAAAAGTTCAAGGCAATCTCTTTAAGATCATCACAATCCATGACGTCCATTATTACATCCAAACTGGCTCCCCCGCTGAAAGGTCAGCATGGATCAAGGCAATTAAACAGTTAACATAAACCCTCTTAAAAAAAACTGGAGATGAAAAGACTGAAGAAAACAAATGAAAGACATTCCGAAAGTGTATCTGTGTCCTTGCAAAAGATCATTTCCAAAGCAATGATTTGCTTATAACTAACTTTGCATTTGTAGACAATGGACATATGGACATATGGACACAACAAGGAATGTTATTAAGTCTCAAAATGCTGGCAAGTCTGCACGACTCCTGTCTGGGTTGATCTGTTGTAAACATTTTCAACTCACACGCTGTGGCCCTGACAAAATACTAATTACAGTATTAAAGCTACTCAAATATAAAGATTGATGTAATACTACAATACAAACCCTATACTACTACTATAATACACACAAACAAAATACTGTAACTCAAAATTAGAAGTATTAACCTATGCTCTACCTAGACAATTATTTTCATATTCTTACCAACTTTGACTACAAGGGTGTGGAGCACCAAATTAGATTTTTTTAAAAATTCAATCTCTTGGTGTTTCAGCCATGTATAAACTTTTATTAGAGTCCAGGGTGGGGGGGGGGGGGTAGGGTTGGGAGGGGAGACAGCTCAACTCCCGTTGTCACCAGGAATAATGTTTCGGAAGAATCTTTCTGAACAAAAGCATAGAAAACTGTGCTTTGTTGTATATTGTATTTATTTTCAAATTATTTATCTATTTTATTTTTCTAGATATATCAGCGCTAATTTTAAATGGTTTTGATTTTATACATCTTCTGATATGAATAAACATGTACAATAAATGAAAAATCCTTTCTTGTGTTTGGTTTCTGATTCAATTGCAAAATGTTCCACCAACTTCAGAAATAACTTGTTGCTGTAATGGGAAGGCAGTTGGCTCTGTATGCTGAAAGGATGAGATTAGATAGACCAAAGTGTCAAACTTCTCTTGTGACATTACAATAACAACCACAACTTGCACTTATGTAGTAGCACCCACCACGCAGGCTAGCATCTCAGTGCGCTTAATAGAGAAAGTGTGAGAGATATTACACCAATGTTGGTCTGGAATTATGAGTGAAATCAAAAGATTTTTTTTTAAAAGTGTCCTTAAGTAATTATTAAATAAGGTGAAGTGCAGAGCAAATTTTTTACGGCTCGTTTTGTGCTATTTCCTGTTTTCAATTGGATTACTTGTCTATGCGTGAGGGGCGCCATGTAAATGCAAGTTGTTGTTGTTCATTATGCTGAGTCGGCTGATCCAGGTACAAGGAGGAATGCTGCAATTGGCCCCTGTTCCTTTTGATAGGGAGAGAAAAATGAGCCGGGATCAGGATTCCTGCTCTTCATTATTTTTGCAGTGCCCCCTGCTGGAATGTGTCTGTCCGTCGCCCAGGAGACACAAGCGGTCAATGAAAACAGTGACTGTTTTCTGGGAGTCAGTTGACTGGAGGGGATATTTGCAGGTGAGCTGAATTTTTAAATATCATTTAAATTTCCAATCCAAGGTTTTTTGGATGAGGGGTAGGCTGGGCCTCAGGACGGAGTTTTTTTTAATACACAGAATAATAATAATAATCCTTGCATTTGATATAGTGATTTGTCACGTTGTAGGATGTCTCAAAGCGCTTCACAGCATATACTGTAAAGTGAATTGACGACGTATTTTGTTGTGAAATGTGGCAGCCATTTGCACACAGCAGTGCTCCACAAACAGTCGTGGATTGAATGGCCATTTTATTATTTTTTTAAGGAATTGTTACCCCCGGAAAAGCAATCGACTAAAAACCGGGTTCCTACTTACTGCTAGGTAAACAGGCATGTGGAGTAAGGAAACTCACCCAATGTTTCGCTCTGCCGGGAATCGAATCCAGGTGTCTCGCTTGTGACTGGAACCCATTGCCTGAAAGGGTGGTCGAGGCCGATTCGATAACTACTTTTAAAAACGCGTTGGATGGGTATTTGAGGAGCACGGGTTTGCAGGGTTATGGGGAAAGGGCTGGGGAGTGGGATTGACATTAATTGCTCTATTCAAAGAGCCAGCACAAACTCGATGGGCCGAATGGCCTCTTTTTGTGCTGTATAATTCTATGATTCTATGAGGCGAGCGCTCTAACCACTTTGTGTTGTGATGTGGCAGTGTGTGTGTGTGTATGAAAATTAACTTTGTCCAATTGAAAGACCTAGGCGCGAGTAAATATACTAATTCTATGATTGAATCTACAGTGAGAACTAAATGTTGTTTTATGTTTTGACCTCCTGTTCCTTCATTTTTGATCTCCCCATAGCCCAATACCATTTGAGGCCCAAACAGTAGCTAATTTTTCTTCCTAACAGTTAACTGTTCATTCTTCTGTCAGCCCACACACTGAGTGTTTACAGATTATTTAAGCTTCTGCAAGATATCCACAAGAGGGAAGCCAAATCTGTTCATGAAAAATGTTACTGAGATTCTGGTAAGGTCTGTTGAAGCTTGTGAAAAACTCTATTGCTTACAATTGAATAAATCATGGGAATATCTTGATATTGACCCAAGTAAAGCTTTTGCCCTTTTGCTGAAATATAAATGTTGCCTAACGTATGGTTAATTGAATACGTAAAGCTAGCACAAACCATACTTTTCTAATGTATGGTTTGTGCTAGCTTTACGTATTCAATTAACAAGTAATGGTAAGAATGCAGTGCAAAGTCAACAATTAATAATAATAATCCTTGCATTTGATATAGCGCTTTTCACGTCGGGAGGACGTCCCAAAGCGCTTCACAAAACACACTGTAAAGTGAATTGACTGTATATCTGTGGGCGAACGCGGCAGCCAATTGCGCACAGCAATGTCCCACAAACAGTCGTAGATTGAAAATGACTGATTTTTTTTTGGGGGGGGGATTCCATTTTAATTGCAGCACTATTGATATAAGAGTCGGTATGCAAAAGGTGGAAGACAAGGGGCATGAGCAAAATATGAATTTGTACCATGCTTTTGTGGAGGTGACAGGTCTTTCTAACCTTCAGCAGAGATAGCATTTGTAACTTTTCCAGCTTTGGTTATCAGCAAAACTTCATGGAAAAGCAGTCAATTACATAATTAGATGCTATGCACACTGGTGTTTACAGTTACTGATGTATCTCAATCACAGTTTATTTTTGGCATTGTTTTTTCAACACTGGAAGTATTACTTACTAACAATGTGGTGTTGTTAGTTTCATTCAGTAGGGAGTAATAATAATAAATAATAATCCTTGCATTTGATATAGCGCTTTTCACGTCTTCTAGACGTCCCAAAGTGCTTCACAGAACATACTGTAAAGTGAATTGACTGTATATTTGTGGACAAACGTGGCAGCCAATTGCGCACAGCAATGTCCCACAAACAGTCGTAGATTGAAAATGACCAATTTATTATTGTTTTGTTTTCTTGGAGGGATTATTATTAGGCGTGTGGAGTAAGGAAACTTGCCCAAGGTTTCGCCCTGCTAGGAATTGAACCCAGCTCTCGCTTGCAAAGCAAGTGCTCTAACCACTGAGCCACAGGACTCCAATTGGAATCAAATCCAAGACAACAGGTAGTTGGAAACATCAGGAATGTTTAAAGAAAAGAAATCAGGAATGCAAAAGAATTACAATTTAGTCTATATTATTTATGCACTTTTAAGTTTAATTTTGAACAATTGACAGTGCATGGAACCTTCCACAACAAACCCTTCTCGTCGAATCCCATAAATTAAATAGGAAAAATATACTTTTTCAAGACCCAACTATTGAAGATGTTCAGGAAATTGTGTTGCTTCGAAGGCTGGTTATTTGTCATTTTGGTGCAAGATAAAGGAGCTCTAGGGTTTTTTTATACAAAAATTATAAAAAGTTGTCAAAAAATCATCCACATGCTTGTGTTCAGGCTTTTGTTTTCAGCATCAAACCACTTTAGTCAGGCAAACATCACCTACGATTTTTAAGGAGGTTAGTTTTTGAAGTTGCTTTATACGATGTGTAAAATCAAATACCTGCTGCCCGTCAACCTGCACACGGAATTGCTGGTGTTCACACAGGATTTCCATCTGAAAGCAACATTTCAGTTGTTACAAATTGAACATCTATCACAGAATTCAGTCAGACTCCAGCTCTAGTTGGAGCAACAATAAATGCGTTCGCTGAACAAAGTTAAGGAGCAAATTAATTTACTAGCGGTCTTTGTTTTTACACAGATTCATTACTGGGAATAATCAGTTGCGAAAGTGTCTGATGTAAATCAAAAACTCGTCTCACTCCAATGGCTGCACATTCACCCACAAAATACACACAGCTACGCCACAGTATATTCTGTGAAGCGCTTTGAGCTTCTAGAAGACGTGAAAAGCGCTATATCAAATGCAAAGTTTATTATTATTATTATAAAGCGCTGTATCAAACACAAAGATTATTATTTCACCAATTGATCATGCTCCGTTTGAACTGATGAAAAGTTCCATTCACCTTAAAGTCCTGTGAAGGTGTAAATGGAAAATAAGGTAAAATTCTTTCTTCTTTTCCCCATTCGCCAGAAACCTTGGCATTTCGTATAACTGAGCGATCCTGAAAGCTAACGGTCAAGTGAAGGCCAATGTCGGTGTCTGGGTCCGAAGAGTTATTGATGAGACTTACAACAAAACTGTGGGATAACAGCAGATTACAGTGTTAGAATTAAGTGTTTATTGAAGAAAAATAACATTTGAAATCTACGGTCAGGGCAAAAAGTTTCACCTTTTCTTTCTCTATAAAGTGGTAACTTGCACTAGGACAGAGAGCCAAGATCAACATCCCTCAGATTGATACCTCCCCCATCCCAATTCTTCACATGGAGGTTTGGCTGTGAGCTCTGGCAGACTATTGTACAGAATCCGTAAGTCTGACCCTGAGTGGTACCAACACCCAATATTGGCTTAAAACACTTCAAGGTAAGGTACATTTTAACCAGATGTATCGTGAAGCATTTGCCAGGCTCTGCAAACACTGGGCTTTAATCTTAACATCAGAAGAGTACTTCTTCTGAATGACTGAATTTTTTCCAGTTTTTCTCCAAGTTGATGAACCATGGACTTGTCACAATGGTGCACTAAAGAATATAGACAGTGGGTACATTTTTCCTACCATATACAGCTAAACTGTGAAAATGCCAAGCAGTACTAAATGATTTTCTTTCAAACGGCAGTTGTCTTTCGGGTGAGGAAGGATTGGTTGCTGAATGTATTGAGAGCTGAGGAGGGGGAAGGGTGCAATGTTGGAATTCAGTGGGAGATGTGAAGTGTGATGAAGCACTAAATACAAGTTGGGGATTGAGGAAGCAAAACTAAAAAAATGACAATTTGATCTGATCACATTCAGCTGTTTGTTTCTTCTGTTTTAGAACTGTCTTGATCTTGAACTAATTTGCTAAAATTCACTCTTCCCTCAGAGAAGCGAACGGAACCAAACAGTTTTTTTTGCCAATTTCCTCTCCTTTCCTGAAGATGCTGAAAGGTTTTTTTGAATATAGTTCCACAATCCCCACTAACTCTTAAATACCTTGTCCCAGGTGAGGTCTGGTAGCCTAGTTGACTATGGGAAAGGGACATGAAGCTTAATGCCTAACACACCAACACCAACAATCAGATCACAGGAGAAAGATCGAGAACTTTTTCTTTCCCCTCCTTGCTAACTTTTTTTTAAGATTTATTATCAATATTGCAGGATTTGTTTGACAAAAATACAACACTCCAAATTTCTGCATTTCAATCATTGGTGCACTGATCATATATTTCATAGTTAGCATGAACCTGCTGATATACTGTACAAGAAAAACAGATAAACAAGAGATTTGGTAATGATCCCTACACAGACAACAGTTTAGTGGATGAATTCAGTGCCAAGTGTGATAATAATCAACGTAGACCAAAATAGCCCCAGCTTTAATGTCTGGTATGTACTCAGTGTAGCTGATCTCATCAAGGCCACAGTGGTACCACAACAATTGGCCTCAGTACTCATGGCCTAGGGAATTTGAATGGGATGGGGAAATCAGTCAGGTTTCCTGTTTCCTATCTCTGCCCAGTGATCTTCTGATGCTGGAGATATTGGAGAGTCACTGGTGCCTGTAAAATTGTACTCTACTTTGTGTGAATACCTTCAGGACAGTGAAACGGGAGAAAAGTAAAGCAAAATGGAAGATATGATCTGACTTAGTTTCTCTTGAAGATGGAATAAAAGATAGTGGAAGGTTGGAGGCCTTGGACCACACTTCCTTTAAAGCATTGGGTTTGTCTGTTCAGATGGGAAATGGTGGAGATGGAAAATAGGAGGAAACATAATTGAAAAAAATGAAGAGAAGGGAAAAAAGGATTCTATTATATCTTTTTATAGTTAAGATGTAATAGAATCTTTTTATATCTTGATACAGTTCAAGATCCTGGTCCTCACTTTCAAAGGACTACATGGCTTGCTCCCCCCTGCCTCTGCAACCTCCTAACTCCCTACCAACCTGCCCGCTCCCTCCATTCAGCAGGCTCTGGCATGCTTCACATCCCCTGCCTCACCTGCCCCACCACTGATGCATGGGCCTTCAGCCACTCTGCCCCCACCCTTTGGAACTCCATCCTGCAGTCCCTCTGACTCACCTCTCCCTTGCCTCCTTTAAGACCCATCTCAAGACCCTCCTCTTTGACCAGCCTTCGGTCACCCTCCTTCCCCTCCCACCCTGCCCTCTACCCTCCCTCTTATCCCAACCCTTAGCTTGGGTCCGAAACAGCGCCTTGGGACGTCCTCCCAATGTGAAAGGCGCTATGCAAATGTAATTTTGTTTTTGTTGTTTATACCACAGTAAAACAAAGTTGGATTATTAAACCTTGGAAATACAAGAGTGTTTTTCTTTTTGCCGTAAACTATCTTTTTCCCTCAGGGAGAATAGAAATTAAACTATGCACAGTATGTATTCCAGAAAGCAGTAAATGCTAACTCTTCCTGTACCAGGAAATCCAGCTTCACATTATGAACTCTCTCTCCTGCTTAAGTAATAATTTTCATAAAAGAATAACAGATACAGAATTGTCATCTGCCTGGCCTTCTCCTTTCCCTTCCCCCACATCGAGATGTTCCATTCTCAACCTTGTCAGCTGAATAATGTGCTTTTGAACCTGGCAAACCTTGAACCAATCTTTCAATTCTGTTTACTCATTGAGATGTCCACTGATATCCTCCACCTGCATCAAAGTGATCAATGAGCCAACAAGCTGATCTGTGACATTATTGACTTATTTAACAAAAGATTCGAGTGTCCCCTTCCCATTACACATGTCATCCCTCCAGAATGGGGCAATGCAGGGGCGAGGAAGCTGTGGTCAAATGTATCTCCAGGTTCCCTACAATGGCAGGCATCTAGTTCCAAATAACCTAATATTTACTTCTTTGTCTTGCTTTTATCTCACTGGTGTTCTATCAAACTAAGGGCTTGTAATCCCAGACGTCTGTGGGTTTGTGAGTATTGTGTGAAGTTATGGGACAGATGCCTTTTCAAACGCTGCAATGGAGCAATGTTTGGTGCTTCCAAAAGTCGAGGATAATGTGTCCCAGCAAAAATGCCTGTTAAGCAAAACCATTGAACGTCACAGTTCAGTTTACTTATGGTTTGCCGAATTGCAGCTGAACCGACCTTGCAGTAAAGGGCACAAGTGTTGTTCTACTCAGGATTTTCCACTGTTTTGTTCCCCTTTCCATCTCGTATTAGCACATTTCCCTTGTGAATGCCCTCCATCAATGTTGACTGCTTGTAGCGCTCTGCAAGATCGACTCAGTGACTGGTCTCTCTCTCTCTCTCGTGTTTTTTTTATATATTGTTGCTTGTTTTCCTACCTTGCTTGCTCGCCTTTTCATTTGCAAGGGCTCTGGCAACCTTCCAAAACCTTCCCATTGCTTTTACCCAAATCAGCATTCCTTGGGTGGGGCAACATCATTTACTGAGGTATCTATGCCCACTGCACCATATTGTCAATTCATCAGTTTCCCCACTCCTCTCCCCACCACTTTACACACAGGTTGAATTCAGCTCTTAAACGTTAGGGGCGATTGCTGATTTTCATCCCAAACTGATGTTCTTCTGTTCCCTTCTGAAACATTCGGATCTAATTTGTGATCCAATGGCCAGAAACCGAAAGCATTTTCTCTGTTTACATTGCATACATGTTCACCTGTTTTGCTGTATCCAATCTCATCGATGTCCCAGTTGCCCTGTGAACATTCTTACCCAGTTACTCCCAGCTCATGGTGACCTGTGGTATTCCATGTGACTGGATTTGGCTCAAACGCAACTCTCCTTGAAAGTGATGTTTTGCAAGTCAAAGATCAAACAGCCCATTTAAGGGACCATCCAAAACTCGTTTTCACAAGAGAAATTAGCAATAAACTGGGGCAGGACTCAAAAGCCTTATTCGCACTCATATACTCCGAAAAATATTTGCACACACGTGCATCAGTAATTTATTTTTTTAAATGCTTTCTTTTTTTACAGTATAATGTTTGGAAGCCCGTGTACTCTTATGGACTGTGGCTGGTTCCCTAACTCCAGTACTTGCTGTGTGCTGTCGGCACTCTGTCCTGAGCACGTTTGAGTTGTGTTTAATCTTGACATTTTTTTTTAACGAGTTAATCATTTGATGCCCGAGTGGCCCTTTGCCCATCAAGATCTGTCGGCGTGCGGACCTTACAAGGCAGATCTAACACAGGACTGTCGTTATCACTCTTCTTAAACAGAAAATAACCCACCAGGTGTGTGCCAGACAGACAGACAGACAGACACACACACACCCAGTAAAGGTGACACGCACAGGTGTGTGTGTGTGTGTGTGAGCAGAATCGCCCTTCAACTTCGAGAAACTTATCCCAACTCTACCTTTTAGGCTGCGAATGAACGATCCCAATAATAGTAATCCTCATCGATGGTTTCAGCCCATTTCGGATCTCGCCGACAAAGGGCCGAACCTGTGTGAACAATTAAGACGTGACAGTCCATGTGAAGGCAGAAAAAGGCAACACGTTCAGATCGCATTTCCTCCTCCTCCTCCTCCTCCTCCACTCCACCCCCGACTCAATCACTCGGATTATTATTTGATAAGAGTTGCAAAACCGAGGTCTGTTTGGTTTTAAAGTTTTTGCACAAACACAAACACACACACACACATATATATATAATATATATATGCAATGTATAACACAGCGACACTGGTCAAATAACTCCCACCGGGATTTTAAAAGGAACTTGCAACGTGTCACTCGTCTCAGTCGCGAAAAGCGTGGAAAATTGGGGAAATAATTTGAGATCGCCCATCAAACGAGTTTGCAAAATGAAGGAGGTGTGTGTGGGTGAAGGGGGAATAGTAATATTAATACGTAGATACTACCCCTTACCCAAATTATGTTCTGTATTGGAAAAGTTACTTTGATGTTTAAATGAACCCGCTGGTCAGCTGGACTGCTTTGAAGTTGGAATGAGATCCGACACGTGTTAAAGCAATGAGGATAATATAATACAAGTGGGTTTCAGTCACAATAATTTAGTAACCAGGGCTGCAAAAATCTTCAACCTCCGATTGACAATCTCATGCATAACACCAACGGGGTATCTCTGCATTTCAAGGATTGCTTACCAGAGTTTTAAAACAACCCCCCCACACCCCCCAAAAAAAAACAGCGCAGCAACATTTTACTTGATAGGATGATATTTATTTAAACAGTTCGGAAATAATCGAGGCCAAAAAATAAAATAAACCTGTAAACTTGTTTACAATGGATCATACGGGAAAATATCGAAAGGGTGAGTTCAGACTTACAGCTGCTGCTGACTTGTCGTTGTTGGCCATTCTCTCGCTTTCTTTCTGTTGGTTTCTTTCTGCTTTCGCTGCTGATGGTCGGAGTGGGGGTGGAAGTGTGAAGGGTCGATAGTTGCTGTCCATGAAAGAGCGAGTCGGTGCTGGAGGCGGACTGGCTACTGCATCCATCCACCAGGGCAGGGCAAGGCAAGGCAATTCAAGGCAGGGCAATGCAAGACAATGCAATGCAGGGCAGGGCAAGGCAATGCAAGGCAGGGCAATGCAAGGCAATGCAATGCAGGGCAATGCAAGGCAGGGCAAGGCAATGCAATGTAAGGCAGGGCAATGCAATGCAAGGCAATGCAATGCAGGGCAATGCAAGGCAGGGCAAGGCAATGCAATTGCAAGGCAGTAACACTTTCCATAGCAACCACGTTTGGGTGGGAATTCCGAGAGCCTCCGCCTTCACTGTTTCCAGTGAGAGCTCCAGTCTGCAACCTGTGCCCAGAACAGATAAAGCAATCGCCCCGCAGCACGTTGCCGCAAACGGTCGAGATGACTCCCAACTTTATGGGAGGCGAAAAAAAACACACACACACACACACACACACAGACGATGCATTTTCGGCCAGGCTTGTCCGTGGTCACCATTCAAACCCCCCCCCCCCAAAAAAAAACCAACTCGCGATAGTGTTTTGAGTTTGCAGCCAGGATTTTCCCGATGGCTTTCATTCACTTCTTAATGGATACCTTAACAACGCAGGAAGAAAACCAATGTGTGAAGAAGGAGCAGGACTTATCCCCTGGGTCTTTTCACCAGATGGGGAGACTTGTTGGAATGATTAAACTCCATAGACTTGTTTGCATAAGCTCCGATGTGCTGCCTGGGTTTTCTTCAAATGCATTTTTAATAATAATAAATAATAATTTTTGTTCAGAAATATTTGTTAAACTGATATTTCAATAATCAATGCGTGTGCCAAATGCTGCAACGTCTTAAAGTTAAGTTTGCTCGACTGCTCCCCCACCCCACACACACAATCAATATTATATACACTGCCCTGTGAAGTTATTGAAACCAGTGACCAACATTTTAAGGATCCACGTATATAATGTATCTTTGAGAAACACTCAATAACTATCTTTACTGTAGCTAATGGCCCAATTTTACATTGCTGGGAAGGGAATTTATAGTTCAAAAGTGCACGGAAATGTTTGTCAGAATAGCCCAGTAATCGTAATACCCAATTTAGAGATTGTTTAGCGTTTGCTTTGCTCTGTTGAGTCATAGTTATTTACAGTGCAGGATGATTTCACCAGCAGATATTCAGACATGCAGGCAAAACATATGATGGGTAAATATGCAGCTTGTGGTGACAAGCAGTGACTGAACCATATAGACTGGGAATGAATGTCTGAATTTTGTTGGGCTAACTGATTTAGTTGATTTATAGCATCAGTAACCTGAAAATAATAGTTTTTTGGTGCAGCAAACGCACTTGTTACCCTTGCCGAATCATTGGTTCCTTCCCATTCTCTCTCTGAGCAATATGATTAAGACAGAAGCTTGTCACTCAAGAGTCAGTGCCAGAAACAATGTCAAAAGAGGTGAGAGGAACATAACATGGAAACCAAGGCACTGAAAAAAAACACTGAACAAGAAATGTGGTCAAGCACAGAATCCAAACCAAGAGAGCTTATGTATAAAGATAATGAAAATATTAAACAAGGAAAGAACGCATTTACCTTGCTATTGCACCTTATGTTAAATTATCTCAATTTGTTTTATAATAATTACTGTCAAATGTTATTTATTAAATAAGTTATTAAATAAATTGAATGCAATTCATTAGCCCCAGCGATAATAGAAGAACTGGTCTACATCAAGGATCAAATATCTCCTAGAATTGAGGCTGGATCCTGAAGACCAGTCTTCAAGTCCCGGAAGCAATTTAATTCAGGATGTCTTAAATGAAGCATTTGAAGGAAAGGGGATAATGCAAAGGTCAACTGTGAATAACGATATGAAATCCTGAGAAAATGTGTACAAAGTAGACCAATGAAGACCAGGTCTATTCTTTAAAGGATAATTTGGATAGAAATATCATGGGATGAGGAAGTGGCAGATGTGTGAAATTAATTATACACATAAATTCCTAGTTAAACTCTTTGGAATCTAACAATTGTATATATCAGTGAGACATCCACATGAAGAAACTGAAAGCATTACATGTCGTTGGGTAACTGGACCAGATGGTTACATATGAGAATTTGCAAGGAAATAGATGAGGCTCTGGTTAATATTTTCAGCTTGTCCATGAAAACTGGGTCTGTGGATAGCTCATGTAATCCCTGCATTTAAGCAAACAAGGAGATGAACGTAAATTAGGGAATTTACAACCGGTTAATGTAATTTATGCTGGGGGAACTGCTGAGGAGCTAGCTGGCAGGGTTCAGCTGGAGAATGCAGGAGGTAAGGGAAAGTCAACAAGGTTTTAGGAGCAAAAGGTCATGCCTCACAAAATTACAGGAATGTCTGAGAAGGTAAGTGAGTCGCGATGAAAGATATATTGTGATGTACTTGGATTTTTTGAAAGCATTTGAATTTCACATCTGAGGTGCTTTATTTGAATGCAGTGACCTTGGCTGGTTTGGGGATGTTGGGTGAGGACAGGATCAGCTCAGCTTGGTTCCCTCCACAAGCAAATTGCCTGAGCTCATGTAAAGATCCACTAAGTTGGTGAGGTAATGGAGGGCTTACGGTCTCTGTGGTTTTATATCTTACCTTCAGTTAGTACCTACAGAGTCCTGTATGGAGCCCTGTAGCTCAGTGATTAGAGCACTCATCTTGCAAGTGAGAGACCTGGGTTTGATTCCCAGCGGGGCAAAATGTTAGTCAAGTTTCCTTATTCCACAAGCCTCTATTCATCTAGCAGCAAGTAGGAACCCGTTTGTTAATCGATTGGCGGATCGCTTTTCCGGGGGTAATAATTGCTTCAAAAATATATATATAATAATAATAATAAATCGGTCACTCAATCCACGACTGTTTGTGGGATACTGCAGTGCACAATTGGCTGCCGTGTTTGGCCATAAAATGTACAGTCACCACATTTGATAGTATATTCCATAAAGTGCTTTGAGACAGCTCGAAGACATGATAAGGCACTATATCAAATGCAAGGATTATTATTATTATTACTACAGAAGATGAGGAATAGACAAAATTGGTAGAAAGAAAACAGCCACAATCATTCAGAATTCTGGACTGTGACTTAGAATGGGGCTTCGATGGAACTATTTGTTACAAAGAGATGATGATTAACAGAGTCAAATAGAAATACTTGCTTAACAAAATTACATTCGTTGAACGCCTTTCATGTCAGGAGGACATCTCAAGGCACTGGACAATCAGTGTTTCGGACCCGAGCTGAGGGTCAGGATCAGGGAGGGTGGAGGGCAGGGGCGGAAGGAGGGAAACAAAGGAACAGTCGAAGAGGAGGGTCTTGAGATGTGTCTTGAAGGAGGAAAAAGAAAGGTGAGGCAGAGGGACTACAGGATGGAGTTCCAGAGGGTGGTGGCAGAGTGGCTGAAGGCCCATGCACCAATGATGGGGCGGGCAAGTCAGGGGACGTGAAGCAGGCTGGAGCCTGCTGAGCAGAGGGAGCGGGCAGGTTGGTAGGAAGTCAGGAGATCACAGAGGTAGGGGGAGCAAGGCCATGGCGGGCTTTGAAGGTGAGTACCAGGATCTTGAACTGTATCTTCTATGTGATGGGAAGCCAGTGGAGCTGGGCTTAACATGACTTAACAATTAAGTCATGAGCAATTCCTTGTGTTAAAAGGGTTGCTTTACGGGTGGGGCGGGGGCAGGCATTGGAAAATCAGGCTTCTTTTGCACCTCTAAGTAGCTGACTACAGAGCAGAATAAATGGAGGTCTGGTCTATCTTCTCAGTGGGTATACATATTGGGACTGGGTTCATTAGGACAGGGTAGAGAGGGCCAGTATTAAGGTTTCACTGCATGTGTTGCTGGCTGGCTCTAGATGCTTTCAGAATCCAGAAACCAACGACAGAAATGAATCCAATGCTCTGAGTCATTCTTACTTTCAGTCAAGATAGAAATAATAATTTAGGATAAACATTCATGTTTCCCACACTATGTTACACTATGAAATGTTCCTAGTCTGACCAGTTCACTTCCAATTTTGGAATGTGGATGCAATTATACTCTCTGGCATGAAATCAAATGTGTTTAGCTGAACAAATCTCATGACTAAAAATAGTTTTTAGCTCTTGCCAGTTAGGCTTTTCCCAAAGAGCAATTGAGGGAACCAAACTGATCTACATAATCTCAGATGTAACTCTTTCAGTTGTACCTGTATTCAATAAACTGCAAACTGCAGAATTGCTTTATAGACAGTAGGTGCCCTTGCTTACTGGGATTCAACTAAACTACATTATCTTAGAACAAACTCCTAGAAAAAAAATATTGTTCAACATACTTTATGATGGATGTGCAAATAAAGGCAGGACATATTTACAAAACTATAATGGAAACCAAGATTTTAATATTTTTCAATATTTCCTCAATAATCTAAATCACGCAAATGTGGAATCCTTCCAATAATTGAATCAATGGTGGTTGAGCAGGAGGTTGAGATTCCCACAGATTTTGTGAAAAACATGATGCCTTTAAAATGGTCACAAATATATTAATTGCATTGCTCACAAAATAGGTGTGATCCATGCAAAATTCACACAGTAGTGCCCTAGTCAGGGCATCACTGCAAAAAAAAACTTCTAAGGTGTCGCTGTGTGCTCTAGGAAGGCCAATCTCTGTACTCCCAAGTTTTCCATATACGCTACAAGGTTCGCTTCACAGCATCTGTTTTATTGTGTTTCTATTGACTATTACAACCACTTTTGAGGCTAGTTACAAATTGCAACATTATTTTAGTCACATTCTTCCCCAAAGTAGAGATATAAAATCTGCATTGTTGGCCTGTAGATTGCAAAAAAGTGATGGAATTAAAGAGGACTATATTTAAAATTCAAAGATTATTATATTTTTGTCCTAGACATGACTGCTTCAGAGGCGAAAGAGAAAACGACTTCTCATGAGTCGTACTCAAGGTCTCTGGAAGCAGTAGCGTAGCCTTCTTTAGTTTGATGCGGTACCACTCAAGTCAAAGTTGCTCATGGCTGAGTTATAAAGACATAAGTACCCTGAATATTTCAGTTTCAGAAAAAATGAGTGGAGTGCTGCAGGAAACATTTTTTTTCTGATTAAACTTTTTAAATCTTTGAGATTCAGTAAACATTTTTGTTTTAATAATGATTTAAGGAAAATGTAGTTCCTAAGCCTTGCAGTCATTTTTTAATTATTGCAATAATCTTGAGTATTTAGGGGATGTATTAGTCAAGCTGATTGAATTAAGATGTTCTGAATGGTTTGGTTTGGCAGTGATTGTGGAGAAAATTTCTGAGTTCACTTCAAAAGAATGACAAATCTAGGCTTCCTGGTAATATCAAAAAGTAAATAAAACAACAAATGCCAAGTTTGTTATTGATTTCAAAGATCAAAGTCTCGAAAACATGACCACATTGACACGCAGTTGAAAAATGACTGCTTATTTGGCTTTTGAACAAGAATTTATACAGTGAAGGCTATTATTAGTCAATTTTATATTTGGTGGTTTGATTAAAACTCAATGTAGGCCGGTGTTGAAGCTGCTTACTAATTTGTCTCTGTAAATGTTCTCACCTTTCGACTTGTTTTGATTTTTGTTCCACAGACACAGCTGCTTGTGATACGTTGTCCAAGTGTGACCCTTGGCAGTAAGCTGACACTTTATTTGATTGTGCAGAGTATCGTGCAGGGCGAAACCTTGGGCAAGTTTCCTTACTCCACACGCCTAATAATAATCCCTCCAAAATCCAAAACAATAATAAATTGATAATTTTCAATCTACGACTGTTTGTGGGACATTGCTGTGCGCAATTGGCTGCCGCGTTCGCCCACAAATATACGGTCAATTCACTTTACAGTGTGTTCTGTGAAGCGCATTGGGACGTCCTCCCGACGTGAAAAGCGCTATATCAAATGCAAGGATTATTATTATTATTATCACAACCGAGCCCGATCCTGTGCTCACCACACACAGAGCCATCTCTGTAGCAATGTTAAGGGATAACAATCAGAGTGGGAAAAATACTCTTCTTTCTCTCTGTCTGTCTGTGTGTGTGTATGTGTGTGTCTCATTCTCTGTATGTGTGTGTGTGTGTGTCTCTCTCTCTTTCTCTCTATATTTGCATGTGTGTGTGTGTCTCTTTCTCTGTGTATCTCTTTCTCTTATGTCGGTGTGTCTCCCTTTCTCTCTCTATGTCTATGTGTGTGTCTCCCTATGTCTCTCTTTCTCTCTACGTCTGTCTGTGTCTCCCTTTCTCTGTCTGTCTGTGTCTCCTTTTCTGTGTCTCCCTCTCTGTCTGTCTGTCTGTCTGTCTGTCTGTGTGTCTCCCTTTCTCTCTATGTCTGTGTGTATGTGTCTGTCTCCCTTTCCCTCTCTGTGTGTGTCTCCCTTTCTCTCTCTGTGTGTGTGTGTGTGTGTGTATATATACCCGAGTCTCTCCCCGCCTTTCCCCAGGAGACGGGTTCGCCTCTGGTTGCTCTGGAGACGCCTCGCGGGCGGGCGCGGTGCGGGCGGGCGGGCGCGGGCGCGTGTGTGTGGTGGGGGGTGACCTGTGACCCGTGACCCCGGGTGAAGCCGCGGATCAGGTGACGGGCGGGTGTCACGTGACGCGTGTCCATGGCCGAGGGGAAGCGGCGGAGGAGTCGGAGGTGAGCGCTGTGACGGGAGGGGTGGGGTGGGGGCCTGTCCCTGCCGGAGCCGCCGCTGACTGACTGACTGACTGACTGACTGCCAGAGCCAGGAGCCGACCGACCGACCACCCCCCCTCCGTGGCATCAAGTAAGGAACTTTTATTCCAGGTACGTGACCGACCTGAGAGGCGTGAATGTCGGTAACACAGCAGCCCGGGGCCGCCTGCGACTGGAGGACCCCCCCCCAAGGCTCGCTCCGGACTGAGTGAGCCCCAGGAGCTCATAGCATAGGTACAGCACAGGAGGAGGCCATTCGGACCATCGCCCCGCCCTTGGCAGAGCTATCCAATTCAATCCCCACCCCCACTTGCTCTCCCCCCCCTCTCTCCCCCAAACCCCCCTTCCCCCCCCCCACCCCTCCGCGCGCTCCCCCCGCAGCCCTGCAAACTTGCCCTCCGCCAAATAATGATCTGATCATTCGCCGTTGCGCGGAGACCCGATATCTCACCAGAATCTTCAGGAAACCGCCGTCAGAAATTGGGCTCCGCTCAAATGCTCAATTTTATGTTTTATTTATGCGTCCCCGAAGCCTCCCCATTTTTTTTTGGGGGGGGGGAAAAACTGGAAAACCAGATGTACCCGATGGGTTATTTATGCCCCTCGCTTCACGGAGCATAGTTCTCAACATCTGGAAGTGATGATGATCAAGAGGTTTCACTTGTTCTGTGTCGCCTTCTTTCTTCCCTCCCACACACACACACACACACACACACCACCGTCTCGTCAACCAGTGCTTGATCGTGGATTTCGTACTCCAGGTGCCATTCTTTATGTGCATATCCCTGAAGTAACTCATTTTTTGACTGGGCATCATAACTGAGCCTGATTTTTATCTAGACCTATCAACCACACAATGTCTCGCGGATTCTGATCAGTGTTCATTATTTTCACCTCTCCTCAACCCAGGAATGTTGTTGTGGCTTCATTGGTGCTTCAGCTTAGACCACTGATGTTGGACTCATTTAAAGACAAGCTATCTGGGACTTTTATCAGTTTATCTCTTTCCCAGTGATGTGCCAAGGCTACAGGGATACAGATTGTCTAATACCATGTGACAATCTAAGCTCAGTATTTACATCTATATGAGCTGCTCTCCATTTAAAATCTATTGGGGGTGTAATTTACTTTAATTCTTCGCTAGCATTTCTTCAAGTCTTCTGACAGAACATAAGCAGTGTAGTTTACTTTGTGAGACTGGAGGTATTGCAATATTTTAATCAATACTTGAATTAATACTCTAGTAAGTAACTGGGTCTGAAATATTAGGGAACTGATTTGAAACAAAAGCCGAGTAAACACAAAAGAGCAACAAGAGCTGTCAATTTGTGGAAGTGACAATAATCTTGATTGTTCAATATGTTCTTTTGGCTTTCTTTGCTTTTGGACAGCACTCCTCAGGGCTTTATGATACTTTATTGTGTTCTCTGCCACACCTAAATTCAAAAGCTCATTCATTTACCTTTGTTTATCTATCTATGTAGTTAATGACAATCAAAAAGATAATGGATCAAAAGATTAGACAATATATTGTAAATGGTTGATTAGTCTATAATATAAAAAAACTATTTTGCCAAAGGAAACCTTTCTATTGTGCCTGGTCTCTGGAATGGCATCTGACAAAATGCATCCATTTGGGAGAGAGGAAGAGGACTCATTGGAGAGGCTTTTCGTGTTCTTCTGCGAAAGCATACGTCAAGGACAGTGGGACCTGGCACTGGCCTGTATACCTCAACTGAGGCAATGGCAAGGTGATGGAGCAGAGCAAGTGAAGGAAATCCTTCAGGCTATAGTAGCCTGTCCTTACAAGCTAAGGTGAGAGTTTCAATACCATATTCAATTTCATTGCAACATTTCAGTGCTGCCTTGTGCGGGCATATTGTCTCAGCAGCGCTCCTATGACTGACTTTGTGAGGGCAGTGAGTGTTTGTCGACTGTTTGACCTCATGGGTAAAAAACACTGCCTGGTGCAGTACTTGATCATATAGAAGGTTGAAATTCTGTATTTTGCTGACCGAGCTAATCTTAGTATGGTTTGGCTATGGTTTAATGATACTATTATTGAACAAATAACATTAAAACCTTACTCAGAATGATGCCTGAGAGTTATATGTTTGTGTTTTACATGTTTCTGGTACAGGTGGGAGTCCACTTCTAGTCCTCACCATCTTGCCTGGTTGTGGCTACGAGAGGTGGAACGATGGTGGCCACAAGATCAGGTAAAGGCACACCTTGTAATTGAAGTATTTCTGTGAAACGCGTGGACTGTTTGTAATGTTGCTTTTCTATTTCATTGCCAGATACATTATTATTCAGAACTGTGATGCTAATGTACTTAAAATGAATGTTCTATTGCAATAGATGCTGCTTCCGTCATTTGCCAGGGGAAAGATTGAATTTTTTCTTCTTCTGGAACAGTTGCAACCTGAGATTTCACAAGATATAATAAAGGTAAGTGTTTTGACGTTGTGACGCTCTTCACTTCTCATTTTTCTGGAAATGACTTGTTCAAAAACGCAGGGCCTGCATTGATATAGCTAGAGTTCAGCTGGTTCCCTGGCAGTATGCAATTCTGGTGATGGCATTTCTGATGAAGTGCTTTTCCATTTTTGGTGTAGAGTATCATTATTGAGCATGGCCAGGAGCAGAATAAAGCGTGAACCCACAGCTCTGTGACTCAGAGGCTAGAGTGTTACCAACTGAGCTTGGTTGCTATTCCCAAATTGATATGCTTTTGTTCATATAACAGAACAAGATGTTCTCTGAAATGTGATTATTTACTTTCTCTGTACAGGAGCTGTATGGTGCCTTTTTGAATAGTCATAACCTGGAAAAGAAAGGGGATTGCTCTCAACTAAGTCTGGAGGCATTGTCCTTCCTGTGGCACCTATTGCGCAGTCGTCCTCGCCTCATGCAGGCTGTGGTTGCTTACTTACTGATTGAAAACCCAAACAGCGTTGGCGTAGAATACAATTACACACTGCAGAAACAATTTGTTGACTTCTTGAGGGATGCCCTGTGTTCTCTGAAGGAGCCTGAAGGTGGTTCTGCCTCGGGTGGACGTGAATGGACTGTGAAACAAATCTATTCGGTTGTATCTGTGCTTACTTTCAATGTGGAAAAGCAGTTGTGTGAACTCCGACAGTTATGTGAAGAGCTCTATGATGCTGTATGTACAGTAGAGTATGGATTGAGTGAAGAGCGATTACTTGGTTGTATGCTGCGGAACCAAGATCAGGCTCTGATCAGTTTGTACACTACTGTAGCTACTGACAAGAGGAAAGAGAAGTTCCTGACACAGATGCCAACTGAAAAAGGTAATGTGCTACAGTCTATCCCTCAGTTTTAGTCCAACCATTTTTCTCTTTCCTTTCCCCCACCTCATGTTGAATGATAGTAATGGAAGACGATTAGTTAGAGTGAAAATAATATTGCTAGGATTCCTTGAGGGTCAATTGGCACCTGGAAATAAAAATGTGTTAACATTTATGTGTTAACATAATGTGTTAAAATGAAAAATATGTTAACATTTTTGCGGGAGCTTTCATTGGCAATGTTTTGCAGACTGATTCTTTGCAAATCACACATTTAGAAAGCCTTCTGTCAGGTCAATTTTCTTCAATTGTTTTCCCAATCTTCCCCCCATCCCTTGTGTACTTCCTGGTCAGTGACTCATGCGGAAAGTTTGTACCAGTGACCCTCAAGTCCAGTGCAGACAATAGCCAGGATACACAGTGCATCGGGTGGGAGGGTGGTCAGAGGCTTTCAGTAACCCTACTATCTTTGTTTTGTTTGATGTTGAATCACTTTAGGTCTATTTTAACTTTTCCCTCCTTTTTGTTTTCAGTTTCTCTTGAAGTATCAGAAGCTGAAAAGATGACACTGGCATTATTTACAGACTCTGAGGAACTTTCTGCCTGGAAGACAGCTTACTTCTACTGTACAAGCAACAGTAAGCACTTCCTGGAGCAGGTTCTGGTACGTACTGGGACTGGGGGGAATGGAATATGTTGATTTTAGTTTCAGAGTTAAATGTAGTTAATGACAAAATCTGGAGTAAAAGTTCACGTAAAGAATTGTCTGCAAAATACAATGCCTCCTCATTATAACTCTCCCTGGTTTAGCATTACCTTGCTTGTGTTGCACGGACCTGGGCTAATCAGGAGCATGATAAACCCGGTTTCTAGAGCAGAGTAACCTTGTACTTAAAAATGGTTGTAAAGATATTCATAAAAGATAATTATTGGAGGAGGTATTCTGTTTCAGAAGGCATAGAATTTTTTAGACACGAGTTTCTACTGAAATCAGCCTTTGTCATCACTGGGACATTCCAGCAAAATTAACAAAGGGGATGCTGTACATTTCTTCTTTGGTGAGAGGCTGTTGTGTGGGCAATGACACGTGCACTTGTTTCTGATAAACGACCAGGCTTTTCTGTTTCCTGTGGAGATGCTGCACACAATTAACTTTTGTTTTATTAGACCTTCAAATTCAAATTACTTTCATATTTGAGGTGAAATCTGAGAGATCCAGCTGCTGAGACAGTATCACTTCCTTCTTATAAAACGTAGACACTTTCTTAGGTTCTCATTGGTGTAGTAAGTAATGTCCAATCAAAGCTTCATTGCTACAAGTGTTAAGCTCTGGATGCAACGATAGAGTACCTAGCACCGATGCTTAGTTGGCTTTGTGAAGTGCTTTGAGATATTCTCCCGATATCAAAGGTGCTATTTAAATTCAAAGTGGGAAGTATAAATATTTCCCAATGAGCCTGCGTGTAGGACAGTGTAAGTGGTTTTATGCCGGATCTAAATATTACCGAAGCTGCTGTGTGACCAAACAATAACCAGAAGCTGAATTGCAGACCCTCCTCGCCAGTAAATTGATACAGTAGTATAAGTATTATGAAGAATAAAGTGTAGGGCATTAATCTGATCCTGATTAGATATCCTTTAGATAGTTATAGCCTGTTCTGATTTTTATCTTGTGAATTTCTCACAAAGGATACTGCTTTCATATTGACCCCAGGCATCATTATTATTGTGCAGTGATGGTACCCTTCTCTCCACCACTAATCTACACTAACTGTAGGTCCTGTTTGGTAGTCAGAGCCAGTGGGAGTAGCATTGTAATTTGAACAGAAAGCCACTTGTAGAGTGGGCTTCCTGCTCTGCAATAAATTATATTTTAATTTTCCACTGACCAGCTGGCTTGGGACCAGAATGAGAAGCAGATTTAAGCTTTATGAGCATATGGTTGGAAGAATGCACCTATACATTTTCAGTTGCCGTAATTTTTATTTTGATAGATCACTGGTCTGGGATTAATAAAACGTGAGAATTACTGCACTTTAAGCGAACTGCTGAAGCGGACGTTTAAGCCCCTTGCACGTCTGCTGGTGTTGCTGGGATGGACCTGCTGCCGAAGTCTTGAATCGGCACAGTCTCTGCTGCGCACCCTCCATGAAGGCAAGGTAAGCACGACGTTGATGGGTGAAGGCGTGAATTTGCCTAGTTATGCATCAGCTGGGATTTTGTTGTGATTTGATGAAAGCTCATTTACAGTGATGGCATAAATGCTATGAAGAGACTTGTTTACAGAAGGTAAATGAGCACGTCTACAGGCCAGTTTTGCAGCTCGATCCCCGTCCCTCCATCCCACCATTACTGGGCAAGCAACCCGGGTCTTTACCAAAATATGATGGTGAGATCCTGAGCCAGAGGGTCTTGTGTTCACTAAAACATCTTCCTGGTTCCTGGGATAATCACCATTTTATGTTACTGGGCTCCTTCCTTAATGATGGCTTTGTCTCAAATGTATGATTGGGCCATGAAATTACTGTGTTTAATTGCATGTTTGTATATTGCATTACTTTTAGGAAGAGTTTAATGCGCAACTTTGTGAAATTATTGATAACATAGTGTTCATATACAGAGCATTCTTCTTTCTTTAGGAGCTGTGTTATGATGTTGTACTGCAAGACTTCTGTAGTGCACTTTCTACTCACACCGAGGTCCTTGAATGGTGTTTGAAACAGAACAGGTAATCTCCTTGATGTTCTTTCTCTGCCAACCTTTCTATTCACTTTGCCATGCTATATCATTTACATTCATGGCTTAAATGAACTGTGGTTTTTACTTGGTAGTTTACATCCTCGTTTGAATCCATTATTGAAGGAATGGTTATCTGATACTGAGGGACTGTTGCATCGTTGGGAGGACAGCATGTCCCAACAGGGCAGCACTCACTTGTACCACCTTGTTACCATAAATTAACAGCTCAAATCCTGACATAAATCTTATAGGTCTTCAATCTGTAAACTTCTCACCAACAGACATAATGCTGCCAATTGAGCCTGACTGGTTTACACAAAAACATACACATTACGAGGAAGAACATTTGCATTTATTTTTAACAGTAACCTGTGGGTGTAGAAATTCTATTGTTAATGACAAGCCAAAGAAGTTTGGCATGTTTCTGTTCTTGAGGAGATCTTTTCTTTATAAATCCCCAGCAACAGCGTACGTAATGAGGAGTTTATTCAGCACCTGTACAGTGTGGATTGCCATTCTGCTTTGTACAGTTTAAATCGCCTTACCAACCTTCCTGCATTGAAAGTGAAAGATGTCACTGCCCTTCTTCAGAAACAGCCAGCTAATTTCAATGGTGATAATAGTGAGTTTTTCAATTTACTTCAATAATTTACTTATTCTGGGAATACGATATGGATCATGTATTTTAAGGGAGGATTGAAGAAAGAAATTTCCAAAGGCAATGCAGTTTGAATGTGGGTGGTTTAAATATGTAAATCAGCTTAAAATGGTCATCTTGTATTGAACTGAGAGGATAATATTGGGTGAGTTGATGCAGATTTTTAAAAAATCTAATTTATTCATGTTAATTTTACATTGTTGTTCAGGTGCAATAGGGATACATTCTGCTTGGGTCTAGATTTACTCTATTTTAGAGCAGAGTTTTTAATTCAGTTTTAACTTTGAAGTCACTTTCCTGTAGTTCTTAAAATAACTTCTAGAAAATTCTGTAAATTCTGCCAAATTTAGGACACTCTAAAATACGTGAACAGATTAAATCTGGACCCAGGTAAAATTTCTTTCCAATCTTTGTGGTTGAGTGTGATTTGGAGAGTAGAGGCACCTGGGTAGATGTTACTCCTAACTGGACACAAGGAAATACATGAAAGGTGCACTGGACAATATTTCTGTAGTTGTTCTCTTACACGTAGGGGGATGTGGAGATTCTGTTGCCTTTGTGTTTAGTCACTATTAACATGCTGCCTTCTTATTGCAGGATCACTTGCCATGATTCAGAGAAGGAACTTAACGCTCTATCAAGCATTTAGTGCCATCAAATATGCCATATACTCACTTTGTGTTAATGCTCATGAAGGGTCACAGTGCATAGACTGCCCGTATTCCTCACTGGATACAGCTGTTGAAGATGCTTTGCTTGACAAGGAGTTAATGAACGATCAGCTCTCCAGTTCAGGTGAAAATAGAACATCAGAAAGAGCTTTATAAAATTGCCAATTTTACTTCCCTCACCACTTCCTTACATAAAGGCACTACTACTTGCTTGGATACAGTTCGACGTTGCCAGCCGCACTCTGGTATCTTGCCCAAGGGGCCATTCTTCACTGCTGAGCTAGACAGCAGCATTCAACTTGTGACTAGGGTTTTGCTAGCGAAATGGCTGTCGCATATTGCTGCACTGACAATACAGTCAGTATTGCACTTGACAATATTAACCTACTGAAGCGCTTTGAGTTTTAACATTAAAGTGCGTTGAAAATGTGTGCTATTTCTTTCCTTCTATGCCTTTAATATATTTCAATTACTATTTTAGTCTTCAGCCTATTAAAAATTACACCGAATATTTATTCATTTAATCCTACAGGCTGTTCCAGAGTTTTCAAACTCTACTTCATCAAGTGCCAGGCTTTCCTACGTGTGATCCCAGCTCCTTTCCGCTTAGAGGTATTGGAGAACATCTTCTCTTTGCTGTTCTTGACCTACAGTGACCTATGTGGAGATAAAATAAGGACCGAAGGACAATTTGGCTTTGAGGAAGAGGGGGAGACTGAACAAATCCAAACATTTGAGAGCAGCACAGAGCACCCAGAACAAACAGAAGGACGTACGGTAAATGTTGCCTCCAGTTGTGAGGGCACCCGGACAGATTTGGAAGAGTGTATGCTGCAAAGGAGCTCTAGAGTTCTCTACAATGGCTCAATACTGAATCAGAAGACAGCAAAGCCTGAATCAAAAGTCACTGGATCTGAATCAGAGAGCCTGGAATATCTAGATCTGAAGCATTTTGTGACCAGCACAAAGAGTGGGAGTGACGTTTTAGTGGATGAAGTGACGATGAGCATATTCCTGGAGATGATCGAGGGCCACCTAGTGGAAATGAAGTGCCAAACTCCCCAGTTCTCTGGAATGGTGCCTGGGGAGGATGTGCAGCTCATGGAATGTCTGAGCTGTTCGATTAGCGTAGATGCCTTTGAGAACCGCCTGGCACAGCTTTCCAGGTACATCTCTGAAGCCCTGTGGAGGTACAAAGTCGTGATGAGCAACAAAACTGCAGGTAATACTTGGCGTAAAAAAGATTGTGAAAAAATAGAGTAATAGTACAGCTGAGAACTGTACACCTCCCAAAGCAGCATTTGATTCTAAAAGGTTTATACTTGGCACAAAAAGGCACCTTACAGAAGGTTAGTTTGGCTTAATTGACTTAATAATAATAATAATCCTTGCATTTGATAAAGCACCTTATTACGTCTTTGAGACGTCTCAAAGCGCTTCACAGAATATACTGTAATGTGAATTGATTGTATATTTTCATGGGCGAAATCAAACTTGCATGTGAGTAGGATTTTGTCTTGAGCCTAACACCAGGATTTAAAACTTGTATTCTAAGATGATACCAGCATGCAATTCTCAGGGAGTGCTTCATTGTTAGATGTCCTCCAGATGAGATGATCTAATGTTGTCAATGTTTCACAAGTTATGGGAGACAGGGTTCCTTTGTGGCGGTTCTCTTTGTGTCTAGCAATAATGTTTGTATTTTGTGTCCTGTATAGAGGGAGAACTTTATTGTTCGACTAAAAAATACCCTGTTCCATCACAACCCCCTGCTTCAAAGAGGAGAAGCAGAGCACGAAGAAAGAGGACAGGTAAGATTTTCACAGACTGTGGGGAACAAAATCTGAGCCATAAAATCCAACAGCACATCAAATCTGTGCTGGTGTTTCTTCACATGATCCACCTAGTCGAATCCTACTCGTCCCCGTACCCTTTCAGAATTCTTTGTCTTCAACTTACAATTGACTTCCTTGTTGGAAGAATTTGTGAACTCTGCTTAAACTACCTTACAAAAATAATTGCCTTAAGACTTCACTGAATGAGCGTTTTCAATGGCACTACTGTGAGTGAAACTGATTTGATATTGCCAAGTTAGCTGATCTCCTTTGGGACATCAGTAGGGTTGATATAGTTGTCCTCAATGTCTCGCCTAATTATTTTACCACTGAATCCAGCATGTAAGTAGAGTGCCGCATAGCAAGATGCTATCGTAACCTATTTGCAATTCCCTTTGTTTCTGAGGGAACCTTATTCTCTGAATATCCACAGAGACTTCATGTGTACTCACAACATACAGTGGAATTTGGATAGTTTCATTAAAACACACAGAAGGAGCAGATGTTACTTTGCTCACCCTTCAGGCTCAGGATATTTATCTGTTGTCAAATATCTGATCCATATCCAATCTGTAAAACAGCAAGAAGTTGCCGAGGAAGCTGGAATGTTAGCTGATTTACAATCACTATGATTTTCTCACTCAGCTTCACTTAGGTTTGATTTTCTGTTTTGACAGAATGCAGCAATGGTTCCCATCTAACAGTGGAGAGTATGAGTGGAGATTTAAGTCCCAGCACCTCAGGTATGATCATACTCTGAGCACAGGATGTGCCTTTCAATGTATATCTTCAACGTACAAAACTATTAACAGTGCACAAATGACTTATTTAGTCTTTTTTAAGGAGTGTGTCAATGAGAATTTCCTTTTTCCTCACTTTATAATGGTGGGTCTGAGCTGAGCATGGAAACTCAATTGCAAACTCCACATTGAAATCCACCAGTAGGTATTTTATATTGTAGTTAACAATATCAGCAAAGCTGTTGAAATGTAATCATTTTGAAAAGGAAAAAATAGAACTGTCTTGGCCAAGGCTGTTTTATATACATTGGAACTATCTCATTATAGTTCTCCAGACTTTTTTTATAACTCTGTAAATAATTTTGCCCGCATTATTTGCACATCCTTAGTTGCCATGAGAAAATGGTGGTGAGCTTTCTCTTTTAAACCACTGCAGTGTGTGTTGTGAAGGTGCTTCCACTGTGTTGTTTGAAGGAATTTGACCACTTGATATTTACTGATGTTTAATTGTTCCAGATGGGAGTGTTGGAAACCTGGTCGGCACAACTGAACAGGGCTGTAGGTCTCCAGATCAAAAGCGAAAGCTTCTAATACCATTGATGTTGGCTCCGCCAGAGTCTCTTCTGATTTCCTGTATCCTGCGAGGAAACTTTACCCAAGCACATCAGGTAACCTGACTTCTTGCCAGGGGGGAGCAGGTAATATTTGCCTCTATTGAATTACAAGGATTTGTACATAACTCTCATCAATTTATCATAATAATCCTTGCATTTGGTATAGCGCCTTATCACATCAAAATGCTTCACAGAAATGTTCAGTATAGTTCAGTAGCTGCATTCACATTCCTTAATATAGTTTAATTTTAAAATAGTTTTACTTAATACGTGGCACCCAGTTTGCACACAGCAGGGTCCTGGGAAGAGCCATGAAGTCGATGTCCAATTTTACCTGGAGAATTATTGGCTAAGACACTGGGAGAAACTCCATTTTCTATTCAAATAATATCATGTGATCTTTAAGGTCCATCTGAACAGGCAGACAGAACATTAGTTTTTGATTTTTCTATATCCCAAGGGTTGCAGCACCAACAATGCAGCACTCTCCTAGCACAGCATTGAAGTGATAGCCTGGACTGAATCCAAAGTCCAAACATACGGTTTAAACTCAAAACTTTCTGACTCAGGCAAGATTTTCTTTTTCAACTAGCCAGACTGACACATGATGGTGTGGACATCTGTGAAGCTCCCAATTCACATAAATCCAGTTAGCAAGTAACTGGATTGTATTTGTGCTTCTGGCAGGTTGCACTGATGTTCAATATGCAGTCTGCCTGCTGCTACGGTGAATTGGTATTTATGGAACGCTATCAACAAGTAATCAGTGAACTCGCCAAAGTAGAACAGAAAATGGAGAACACAACGACAGATAACCGCAAGCTAAGTGGAGGCGGCCGGTTTACACTTCAAGCCATCGGCAACGCTGCAGCAGCAGGTAATTCCTTTCGTGGTTTGGCAATTTGATTACGAATGCCTAAATTAGTAACACTTTTGTGACTTGATCAGACTAAACGGATCTAACGCTGCATTTTATAGTATTGGTGGGCACGTGTTTTGACCAGTTCATCCTGATGTCTTCTCTGTGTTCAGGTATGGTGTTTTACTCCATTTCTGATGTTGTGGATAAGCTGATTAATTCATCTGAAGGTGCTAATTCAGCACTGCTTGAGGATTTCTGGAAGAGTAAATTACAGATTGAACCGAGTGATCCTCTCCGTGAGCTACTGGAGGACCTCAGTGCTGCTGCTATGGCTGTCTTTGACCTTGCTTGCACCCAGTGTCAGCTGTGGAAGACCTGCAAACAGCTGCTGGAGACAGCAGAAAGGAGACTCATGGCTACTTTTGAGACAAAAGTAAGAGAACGCTTTGTGCATTTGCATTCCACAAAAATTTTGAAGAGCCCAGGCTGACAACCTTTTTAGATTCATTTGAAATTCTCAACGAGAATAGCTCAGGTGTAAACTGTTCGGTTGAAGAATCCTTGAATGGATTTGATCTTGTGAAGATCAGTGTAGAAGCCTGCTATTGATTTATTTTTGTTTTTTTTTAAAAAAAGGACATCCAATGCTGGCATGTTAGACTAATTTTGAAGTGATTATGTTGAGCTTCACAGTGAGTTTATCTGATGTTCCACTTCCAATGGATGCTTTAATAATAATTAACAACCGTTTGTGGGACATTGCTGTGCACAAATTGGCTGCTGTGTTCACCTCCAAAAAAAATGATAGTCATTACACTTTACAGTTTTGAGATATCTTTCCAACAAGAAGCACACAATATCAAATATAAGGATGATTATTATAATAATTAACAATCTCATTTCACAGCATTTTTCATCAATTTTGAAACTCACTTTATCTAACACGATAATTATTCTCTGCTAGTTTTGTTGAAAATTGTAACCCAAAAGGACTGAGAAAAAGAATTGATATTCTGTTGACTGAGATTTCAGTTTTCTGCAATTCAGAAATCCAGTCCTGTTCACTTGTGTTACCTTGTGTGTTCTCCAGGTCGAAAGATTGATTCTGTTCGGTGCTACCCAGATGGAATTCAAGGTTTTCCTGCCGTCCTTCAGCAAATAAGTAAAATTCTAAACTGTTCCCACAGTTCACGAGGACCATCCAAACCTGGTAAAATAATGTTTGTTGGTCTTACAATTATATAAATCTGGGTATTTGAATGCAGCATTTATATTGCACCATTGATATCAATTTACCACAACCTTGGCGAGAACTAACACCCAATTTAAGAACTCAGTGCACATCGGTGTTGGATAAACGCAGAGCTTCAAAATCGGTGGTAAGCGTATAACAGGGCCTTGTTGGATGCAATGTGCAGCTGGTATAAATCAGGCTCCCTGTGTCATTTACTAAAGAGGCATGTGTGCGTAACCAGGGGCCATAGCCCATGATATCATCTATAGCGAAACTACTTGCTAACATTCAAAATCTCATTTACTGGAGGGCTGCTGGGGCCCATGAAACTGTATCCTAGTCATGCCTTCAGCAGAGATGGAAAGGGAAAATATAGCAAAAAAAAGAGGCATTTGATGTGAATTCCTTGTCAATGTTTGAGTGATCTGAGAACGCTCAATTTAGAATGGTCACTTTGAAGGATTATTGGTATGACAGTCAAACTGTTTATTTTGCCCTCAAAAATATACAGTCAATTCACATTACAGTATATTCCGTGAAGTGCTTTGAGACATCTCGAAGATGTGATAAGGCGCTATATCAAATGTAAGGATTATTATTATTTGGAAATGGTGAGACCGGCTTACATTCAGTGACAACATTTAATTTTGTTTTACGATGTATACACAGATAATAAAAAGGCTAAACTTGTAAATGTGATTCTCTTATCTTGACAGAGACTGAGGAGAGAGCTGCCAGACAGTATAACTGCAGTATAACCGAGCTCCTGCTAACACGGTACCCAGTACTGACTGAGGACTGCATCACAAGCCACCTTATCTTGTCACAGTGTTTGGAGAACATCATGAAGAAGTTAGAAGCAGCAATGGAGCCCACTGGTCAGTAGCAGAAATGGAACACCTCTGGGAAATTCGTGAATGTTTTTGGAGCTACAATACTATCCCACATACAACAGGATGTGTTTTCCTAACTTGTGTTGATTCTCTGTTGAGAGGGATCTCACAAACGAATTCTAAATCATCTAAATATTTATAAATTACATATTTTTGATCTAAGTAGCAAGTCTATGGTAATTCTCAACTTTTTTTCTGACGTACTTTTATAAGTTCTTGGTAACCATTTTTTAGTTGGTGCTTTGTCACATCCTCTGAGCATACTCGTTTACTACAGTAACCTTATGAATCTAATACTTTTGAAACACAAGTGGACGAAAAAAACAAAACAAATCTTATTTGTCTGTTTACAGAGATAAAGGGAAATATACTCACCTGCCTCATGGAACAAACAAGTGTCCGATCCCAGGATTCAGAAGGGCATCCAGTCCGCAATCAAATGAAGCAGCTGTTGAAGAACCTGGATCAGCAGATCCAGACTATGAAAGATAACCACATCAGGGCAGACTATGTGCGGAGCCTGTTTGACTATATCAATACACTAGCAGCAATACTTGTTCGGAGTATGAATCGAGATCTGGGTAAGACATGACAATTATGTATCTGAACATGATGATTACCGAACGTGACAATTGTGCTTCCATTTTGATACTTCACCATCATTTTTCTTCATTATTTTCACTGAAGAAGGAAATCTTATGTCAGTAAGGGCAGGAGCTAAGGCCATTGCCCATCTAGCTTGGCAGTTAGCAAAGTGTCTGGTTGTATTCCAATCTGTATTGAGAAACTGATGCTAACCGATAGTGGCGGAGGGTTTACAAATTGGCCAGAGTGAGCTTGGACTAAGAGTTGTCAAAATGTCATCCAGGGTTCCCACTCCTGATTGATATCCAGTGACTTCCCCTCTCTCTCCCTGCCAAAAATGTGCACATGTGAGAACAGCATTGGTCTTATAGCCAGCCAACGCACACTTTCTGAGCGCATACAGGAAAATGTCCATTTGGATAGGTTTGTGGGGAGGATGAGGGAGAGAAATAAACCAAGATTAAAATTATTAAAACGTCTCAAGACAAACCTGATCGCAACAGCAAATGATCCTGTTGTCCATGAAAGAGGTTTCTGAAACTGGTGGGGTTTGGGACCATATTGTGGGCAATGACCTAAGGCTGATTCTGTTACCTTCATCCTAGATCAATCTGCAGAGGTAAAAGTGGGAAATCCCTTCTTGGTTCTTCGACAAACTCCCTCACAGCTCTTAGCACATTTGCTTTTTGAGAAGCCGGCGTCACCTGACAGGTATGAGCTACTCTTTAATTAATACTGCTATCACTGAAATAAATGGGAGATTTCAACTTTATTGTAATTTTCTTCTGTCTGTTTCTGTTGTTGGTGCTAAATACCTTTTTAAAAAGTGATCTGTTTCTAGTGTTAATTATTAAGAGACTGCTGGTGTGACTCAGCACTCCAGAGTCACACTAGTGGAAAACTGTCACCAGCAATATTACTTTTTACTGTTCGTTTTCTGGCGAGAAGTGTGTTCCTGAGGTGGTTGGAGTTGACCTTCAACATGGGGTACTCTTTCCATATGATCCCTTCGATGAAGTGCGTGTGAATAGTGCTGCCTCTGTCTATCTGTCTGTTTGTTGGGAATGTATGTGTCTATCCTGATAAGTGTATTTTTTTTTAAAAAAGGTAATTGTGAACTTAGTTGTACAAATGCCAAGAGGGTACAGGATAGAGCATGCATTGCTCAACATATCTTTGTGAGAGAATAAAACTCAGTGCTTGTGCTAACCTGATGTGTGTTTTGCTTAGGTTGTTCTGTTTGCTGCAAAAGGAAGAACTGAACTTAAATATACAGAAGATCATTGTTAGCTGCTGCTGTGAGCATCTGCCTCTGTGGAACACTAAAAAATTTGGCCAGTGCCCAGCTTTTCTTGCTGAAGTCACTGAACTGATTGAAAAACACACCAAGGACTGTCTGCCTCATTTGGGAATTGAGTTTCCGAGCTTGTTCCAGCAGACAGAAGAAAATGTGAAAGAAGAATCCCGAGCAATTTTGCCAGGTTCCTTGGGTCCGTATTCTTTGATTCCCTCTGCACTGAGTTTCCTGAAGTCACGCTCAAAGTTGCTGGCCGTCGTTGTCTGCCTGACTGCTACCCGTGGTCAAAAGGCATTGAAACAGAATCTGTCATGGAAGGAACGCCTGAGTGGTCGCACGGAGACCCCATTTGACATGGAACAAATCTCCAAGGAATGTGAACAGTTGATGAAGGAGTTTCCTGTGCTGGAACACTTTCTCGCTGCAATGGCTGAACCCCTTCAAAGGAGCCAGGAAGAAAACAACAGTCTTGTCAGTTCTCTGTGTGGTAACCCATATATCACTCTCATGTTGTCAGGCCTCCACTCCAAAGCGGCTGTCAACACACTCATTGAAGGTTTCAGGCAGGTTCTGTCTGACCAAGACTGGCCTCGTGCATTGAGGATTCTTGATGTGTATGGTGAAGAGATTGCAGAATTTGAGCATCTCAAAGATATTTTGCTCAGCTGTGCTGCTGTACAAAGTAAGTATGGGCTTTAAAGTGCTGATGATCAATATACCATCACATTCATATAGCCTCTGAAGGTTAAAACCTCCCAGCTCTGGGGAGTGGAAGCGGAGAAGAGGAACTGTTTTCCTAACAACAGTTGTCGATTACACATTCTACTGTTAGTGTTTGGTGTTGACAGAACTATTGGCAAATGATCTTTTCCTGTCTGTCACAAGTTGTAGGAATCCTATGGATGTTTTTCACATTTTGAAAATCATTTACTATGTTCACATTAACTTTCTCCGAGAATAGACTTTAGGAAAATTGTTATCTACCCTCTCCTATTTCATCTCTTTGGGATATTCTGCATAAATACATCTTGATTTGTCCCAATCTTCAAGTTTTGATCTGACCACCTCTCCACTGTTCACCCTCTAATAGGTTATGACTCAAAATGTTAGCTTATTCTCTCCTTTGAAATCTAATGACCTGCTGTGGTTTTCCAGCAGTTTTTCTGCTTTAACTGATCATTGCATTGAGTTGAAGGGAACTTCCAAGAATCTAATTTGAAATCAATGCATTGCAGTGACCCTTCAGCATGTCCTGTCCAAAGATTATCCATTTTTGTTTCTTTCTCTTTTAGATGGTGGCTGAGCTAATGATGAATTTGTGTTTCTTTGGCAGGTGAGGAAGGTTGGAAGTATCATTTCCGTGTACAAAATGCTGTTCTCAGAGGTAAACTGACTCTCTGTTGCTTGGAGAAGTGGCCCCTTGATGCTTGCCTGGAGGTTCTGTCGTACTGCCTGAGTGATCCTGGTACAGATGAGGGTGAATTGAAATCAGAGCTGCACACAAAGAGAAAGGAGTTACAGGTTTATGAGAAGGTATAGAGCACCCACTTACAATCAATCAATATGTTTGTCAATGTACAGTAGTGAGAAGGGTTAACTGAATGTAGTCGAATGACATTCGTTCACATAAGTACTGTGCTGAATGCTGATGCATGCTAGAGGATATTGCTTGCCAGAATTCCTCATGGTCTTATCTTAAGATTTAAGATCATTGCCTTACAATTTAGGATGGAACAGAATTTTGGAAAACGCAGTCTTGAGTATGGTTTTCTGAAGTTTTTTAAAAGACTCCCATCGTTTCGAGTTCTTTTTTTTTTTCCTCTCCAATAAGTGTTTTGTTGGTTGATCTGAAAATGGAAAATTGTATGTTGGCAGGTCCTTAGCCTGAAGTCTTTGTTGCTATGCTCCAGCTGGCAAGAATTGCAGAATGAATCCAGTGAGAACCCGCAAACTGTAATGGATGTGATTTTGAGAGCTGGGGTAAGCTGCTTTCTCCTGACACAGATTCTAAAGATTCATTTTCTGTATCTATCGTTTAACTGGTTTTACCACTGATGCATTATATATAAAATGAGCCTGTGACTTACACATTTATTCAGTGCTTGGAAGCCATTTAATGCATCAGCCATGTGGGATTGTTGCTTAAATATATTCTGTTACTTTGAGATTGACAGAGCTAACCTATCAGCTTGATTAACTTTATGATGCGCTCTGATCAGAAGGACATGTGATATAATGCCACTATCCTATGGCACTATTCGAAAAGAGGAGATCCAATGTCTTGACCAACAGTGCCCAAAATAAAATTAGTCATTGGGATGTAGCTCTATGGAAGTTAGCTGCAGTATTTGCCCACAAATGCGCAGTCTTCACTGAACCTTACAGTAAAATGCTGTGATATATTTCGAGACGTTTGAATATGATGAGGTAGGTGCTATATCAAACGTGAATATTATTATAACATTCACATTTCAAGCAAATTTTTACTCTTCCTGTCAGATGAACAGCATCACTAAATGTCACATCTATGAGTTCTCCTAATGTCTCAGTTGATAAAGACTCTGGAGAATATAATTTAACTGCACAGACCCAGAAGTTCCTAGGTTTGATCCCTGGGCTGTGTTAAATTAGACACAGAACCATATAGTACAGTGGACTTTGGTGGTCCTGGATTGGAAAATTTAAAAATTATATTGCTCCTAATGATGGCTATTCTATGATCTCTGCTGTCCTGTTCATGAGTTGATGTTGGCTGAGGACAAGATGGAAGCTTGACTGTGTTGCTTTCATATTGCTGGTTCCTCCTAGCCTGTTGATACTCTACGATGCACCAAATGGTATTGGACTACATCACTCATGAAGTCTGCTCCATTATCACAGATGTTTTGTTTTCATGATCCATTGCTTAACCATTACTTATTCAATAAGAACACATGAAAAACGGCATCTTGGGTGACATGGCGTATTCTGCTTTGAAATTAATGTCACCGGTAACTGAGTAATTCATGCCTGGAATGTATCTCATTGTCCATTGAGATTACTTTTATTTTGTATATGCATCAGGCCCTGTGTATTAAGAGTTGACTGCATTGTTTGTGTAGGAGTTTGAGCTTTGTGAGTCTTGGGTGCAACTGCACCCTGTTTCAACATACTTCACAATGAAACTTCAATGTGAATACCTTCTTCACCTACTTGAGCAAGGAGATGGGGAGAGAGCATTCCAGGCAAGTATGATATGTTAACTTCTTTAAACCAGGTGGGTTTAAACAGTGTGTGATGTAATCCAATTAAGTGATTGAGGTTTCTTTAATGGTAGGTTAGTGATGTAAATTAAAATAGCACTTTGTTCACTTAAACTAGTGTTGCAGGTCATCGGTGTAGTCGGGATTACAGAAAATATTGGCAGGCATCGCAAGTTAGAAATTAATGACTTTGAAATGAGTGTGATCTATATATTAGTGTATAGTATACTTTAGGGGAGAAATATAATGCTTATTAAATTCTCAACTTCAATTTTTAAAAGGATCAAAATGTGTCTGATTTCTTCTCTGTTCCATCAGCTCTTGCAGGGAATATCTGATCATGAGATCTGCCGAGCTGTGTGTGAACAGGCTCTAGACCAGCATCCAGGACTAGCTACTCGTCATTTTCTGGCTAATTACCTTACCACGCACTTTCACAAGAGCCTGTCTGCTGCTCGGTGCCATGAAATACAGGCCATGCGCATAGGATCAAAGGTAAGAAGAGCATTAAAGAACCAGGTTATAATTGCTCGAAGTTCAACCTACTATCTTTGAACATATCTTATCTCTCTCTCTCTACATATATAATGCATACATTATCTATATAATATTTATGCACTTTGGAGTTCCTTTATTATATTTTTTTGCTTTTCTGGTGATAATAATCCTAATAAAAAAATTTGGTCACTCAATCCACAGTTGTTTGTGGGACACTGCTGTACGCAACTGGCTGCCGCGTTTCGCCCACAAATATACAGTCAATTCTCTTTACAGTATATTCTGTGAAGCACTTTGAGTCATCACGAAGACATGTTTATTGACTGTGTAATTTTGTTTTTGAATTTTTTTTCCCTGCACTTAGTTGTTGCTGACGTTACCAGAATCGGCCCGCGACAAATATTCGCACCTGTCCTCCAACCCGCTGCTGATGCTGGAACAGCTTCTCATGAACCTGAAAGTGGATTGGGCCACAGTGGCTGTCCGGATACTTCATCATCTCCTTGTGGGGCAAGAAGCTGGCTTTGCCATGAAAGATATCGATGCTCTCCTTTCCAAGTATGCAGCCAAGGCACTTGAAGTCCCATATGCAGTGCGAGAGAAAACTCGATCCGGTGAGAAATCATTTTTTAAATCATTTTTTTATACAAGAGGAAATGTCAAAATGGACCAACGACAGGACAGTGAAAGCTGCCTCACTCTTTTTCCCCAATAAAGTTGACACAAAGCTGTGTGGAGGGGGTCCTTTTTTCACTGAATTATATTGGAATATTTACTGTATGAATTGAAACTTTGCAAAAATAGGTTGGTTAGGTTACATGGATCTATTTATGAACTGACCTATGTGTGCTGCGATTAAATGACCGTCTCTCTATATCTCATTTCAGTCCCGCACTATATTCTATATCAAGGCTGGAAAATTCCGCTTGCTAACCAGTCGGGGGCAAGTTTAGTGAAGTGAAATGCAGCATCACTAGGAATGATAGTCTGTTTTTACACTGACGTTTCTATCTTTATTGTCTTTCCTTTTATATGCTTATATACAATCAATCTACTTTATAGTATATTCTGTGAAGCGCATTGAGACGTCTCAACGACTTGATAAGGCGTGGTATCAAATGCAAGGATTATTATTACTATTTCTTGGTTGTTGCTCACCCTCTTTGTGTATCCCAAAGGTTCATTTATTCTTCAGACTTTCTTTTGCAAATCATGTTTATCTCTTTTTGAGGATTCGTTTTAAGCAAGATTAAGATTCTGTTTCTCAGCTTTTTCATTCAAATTAAAGTGTTTGTTTCAGAATGAATTGATTGTCAGAATCTTACATTATCGAACACATCAAAATACCTGACTCGTGTATTTGTTTTTCACATATGAGGCTTCCATTAGTGTCAGCGATCTATTCAAGCGTGAGAGGCAATGTATCAGAGCAAATCCTTCTCCTGTCGAACACCCACAGACCTATACTTTGTAGGAAGGGTCATTGGAGATTGATTTTCCTTCCCCACCGTGACCCTTGCTGATTTTCTTTCCCATAGCCACTCAAATTTAAATCTATTAATTAGCTAAAGGTCTGGGATCTTCTGGCTTATATACCTTAGTGGTTCATTTGTTTATTCTTTAACATTCAGACTTTCTGTAATGCTGATCATCATTCAATACACTCTAGAGCCATTTCTTTTTATTGTGCCCACATGTGTTTCCACAGCGGCCCAAACCCTTGCTTACATTTTCATGCAATCGCAATAAGCTTGCCGCATCCCTTTTAATAAAGACAAAAAAAAATTGTTTAGTTTATTTTAGATTTTTGTCTGGGTGTCATCTGTGCATAGGTTTAAAGAGAATGGCAAATTAAAGATTAGTGTCATGTGATATTAAATTTGCATTAAAACTTTTTTAAAATCTTTTTCTGACTAGATTCCGTAATTAACCTGCAAGATTTGCTCACTCAGAGTGCCGGACCAGAAAACCTGACTATATTATCCAGCACTGAGAGAAAGGCCAGTGTAACATCTGGTAAGTGCAGGACAGGTGATGTGCTCAGCAAAGGGATATGTCCCAACTTGACCCCATAATCTTCTGACTCAGAAACAAGAGTGCTGCTACCTGAGCCAGGCTGACAGACTTTGCTTTATGTTTCTCAGGTAACTCATCCCTCCAAGGACCTCCAATTCTACAGGAATGTTTGTTACGAAGATCTACGTCAGTCAGTGAATTTGTTCCTCCTGAAATACCGCCTGCTAAGGATGACTGGGTGCCTGATGATGATGCAGTGCTCTGCATGGTCTGTTGGAAGGAGAGGTTTACGATGGTGAGCAACAGGTTTCCAATCATGTTAACTATTTTCCCTTTTCTAAAAATATTAGGCGTGAACATCAAAACCTCCTTTGAAGACTGTTTCATTTTGAAGCGAATGTTTTCCTCATCTCCAGTGGCACTGAAATGTCCTGCACTTTCAGAACTTCTCAACTTGCTCCCACGTTTAGAAATTTAGCAAAATCCTGTGATAGGCCTGGAATGCAATTTAAAATTCATTACAGGTGTTGTATTGCTTCATTCCCTGTAATTCCTTTTTTTGTTTTAAGAGACAACTGAGATTCATTGATCAGTTTTCCGGTAAAAAAGGCACTGGGTAACTCCTGAGTGCCATAGCAAGTGTCCAGTGAGTAAGCCTCTAAAAGCAGAAGGGAAGTATTTTGAAATGGATATCCTTGTATGTCCCAGAATATTGGCCTTAAAGCTAATTCGATTGCTAAGAATTTTGTGTTCTCTTGAGACAGGCTGAGTAGGATTCTGGTAAATTGGTGAGGAGACAGTATGGGTTGTACTTTGCTTCATATTTAATGTCAGTAACTATGTCTACTTCAGAGAAGTGAAACCCTGTAAGACTCGTGTGTGTGTGTGTGTATATAGTTAGCATTCATGAAAATGTATTGACTAGAGCAGTAAGGAGGAACAAATGATATTTCATAAATATCATTTGGTTTATTGGAGAATTGCTTTTTTTAAAACAAATTGCAAATGCAACCAGATTACAGGTAGGAGTAAACAAATCTAAGCAGCAAGTTTTCAATCAGTTTCATCTTTTGGAAGATTTGTAAATTTTAGATTTCTTATTTTGGGGGAAATTAAAGAAATCTATTCATAATGTCTGGCTTTGAGCCCATCAACAAGCCAGTGGACCTCTTGAGGGCTGAAGTATGTTTGTACAGTAATAAATGGCTGGCAATGATTCAGATTGTTAAGTTTGGGTGATGTAGCCACAAGAACGAAGCTCTGATTCATGAGCCTCAGCAGAACTGAAGGCTTGAATTATTTATTGTCTCAGGGCTGTTGGGGGCTTTGAATGACTCTGACTGAAAGTAATAGTTTTTTTTCCTCTGGTAGAATGCAAATATCTGCTCAATCTCATTGAAAAAAAAGATTTATATTCTAATGAAAATGAAATCTTTTACTGTGGCTCATTATTCAGTGGTCAGTGAACCAGTTGCATCTGTGATGCAAACCTTCAGAACCTGAAAGCTGTGCCCAAATGTGTTGGGCCTTTATACCCATGTGCTGGCATTTTTACACATTATATTGTACATTAATATGTTGATCTTTTGACTTCTTGACCAGTTCAATCGGCGGCATCACTGCAGACGTTGTGGTCGTGTTGTTTGCAATTCCTGTTCAATCAACAAAATGGTGGTTGAAGACTGTAGAGAGAACCCTGCACGAGTTTGTGACCAGTGCTACAGCTACTATCATAAGAAGTAAGGAGCTGTCGAGACAACAGTGATTATTTCAGATAGAATAAGATTTACGCACAGGGTTGAGGAGAAGAACCAGCTTCTCCTGCTTGACTGTGATTGAGCCGAAGGTCAGATAGAGCCGGATGTGTGTTAATTAATGGTTTGTAGACTCCAGGGAACAGCTGTGGGTGGCATAAGGTCCCAGACTGGTGGGGACACAGTGTGCATAAATACTTGTTCGTCTACTTACTCATAAGTATGGGTGCCGTTGGGCTGGGAGTAGGTTTGAACGTGTTATGAATGGTGAAGGGGTGGCACACAGGGATATTATTTTATGATAATTTTATGATCTCTAACATATTTACTTTTCCCTACAGGGAAAGGGAGGGAGACCCAGACCAAAGCGAAGGTGAGCAGTACCAGCTGTTTGGATCATTTTGCAAGGAAGACAGTTGAACAAACCTGTGATTTGTTTCTGCAGCTCATTGAGATTACTTTGTGTGTGTAACTGCTACTTTGTACTAGATGTGAACGGCAATGACGGTGGCTTGGATTTTGCAGCAGCTTTGCAGAATCCCCTGGTGGCAGAGAACCCTTGGTGTCTAACTCTGAATGAAAGTGAAAATGAGAATGAGCGCAGTGAGTTTTTCTATGAACAGGTAAGAAACCTCTGCTACTTTATTAAATGTTCCAACCCCAGCATTAGCCTGATGCTGCACATAACGCTGTTAAACTTTGTTACAGGAATATTTGATAGTTATCACTATAACTATATGCATCAATTTTGGCTTGGTTGTTGGTATTGTTATCTTGAAATGTTGTGAGTGTTATGGTTCACAATCTACACTATAATGCAAGACGGAGGGATTGCTACATTGTTAGCGCTGCCTGAATTCAGATGAGGTGTTAAACTGAGGTCTGATCTGGTCCTTTGTTGAATAGTATGGAATTCTCTGGTGTCCCTTGTGCACATTTGATTATTTATCTGATTCTTGCTTGCAGGATATTGTTGACACAGATTAAGTGCCAGGTTTGCCAACCTAACCGTCTCTGTACTTTGATGCAATTCATTGTGTGAAGCACTTTGAAGCATGTTTGAAATGTGAAGTTGCACATTTAGTTACCATCCCTATTACATAAGAACAAATTTAGCTTGTTTCAAATCGCGCATACGATTCTTTACCTCCTAGCCAAAGTACGAAGACCTTTTTATGAGTTTTCAGATATTGATGCAGTGGATACTCTGAGCGGATTGCTTTTTATTTTTGTTTTCATAATTTTAGCTGGAAATGTTAGTTTCTTTATTTTGTTTGCCTCATGTTTACTTGATGACATTTCATGAATGGCGAAGTGCACATAAATTAAATGGCAGTAAATTAAAAACAAAACATTGCATTGCTTTACAGGCTCCCAGCGCTTCTTTGTGTATTGCCATTTTCAATCTGCACAGTGATAGTATGGTTTGTGGCCATCAGCTGATCGATCACTGCAGCAAGCTTTCACGAGCACTAACTAACCCGGAAATGGATGCCTGTCTCTTAATGGACATCATGAAGCAGCTCCTCTTCAGTGCAAAGATGATGTTTGTGAAAGCCGGCAGGAGCCAAGACTTGGCACTTTGTGATAGGTGACTTACATTTCACTTTTACCGTGTAGTTATGGAAAGCTTGAAATTCGGGCAACTTGGATGAGGCTATTGCTCACACGTCCTTACAGTCAAGACTTATTGAGCACAGTAGGAATAATGAGAAAGAAATTGGGGGAAAAAAACCAAATGGTGGTTGGAATAAAGGTTACAAATTTATGGCCATATTGAAGTCAGCATGACATATTTCTAACTTACACCAAGAATTTATTCTAAAAGTATGACAACTTTGCTTAAGCATCCCATTCAATTACCACCTTTTGGTGTACAATCAAGTTATTTTTTGTTTTGATTTCATACAGTTATATCAGCAAAGTGGATGTGGTGAAGATTCTTGTTGCTGCTAACTACCAGGAAGTGCCCTCCCTCGAGCAAATCCTCAAACCAGCAGCAATAACCAGACTAAGAAATAAGCTTTTAGAAACCGAGTATTATGCACTGGCTGTTGAGGTACGTGGCCATGTCTTTCAATAAATTGGGGGTTTCTAAATGGGTTTAGTACTCAGAAAAACATGATGATCGAGGTGAAATTAAAATGCTGTAAAATCTCTTGTTGACTGCCGGGGTATGATTACTTTTATAAATCAGATCGGAAACATTGCGAAAGTGTCTGCCTGTCTATTGAACCCAACATCAAGCCCGTTCTTGAATCTTCAGAATTGGGGGGTCTTTTACCTCCTGATTACTAGAATAATGGCAGTCGCTCTCCCTATTTGGCTTTCCAATTGGAATGTCAATGTCCTATTTGAGATATTAGATGTTAGTCACCTTGAGAGACACAGACACAATCTGTTTTGTAGAGTTGACATGCATTACTTCTGGTACACTAAATCTTTTGACTTTAGGTTTCAACTAAAAGCGGACTGGATCCAGGCGGAGTATGGCATGCCTGGGGCTTAGCTTGCCTTAAAGCTGGAAACTTATCTGCAGCTCGGGAGAAATTCAGTCGATGCTTGAAGCCACCATTAGATCGAAATCAGTTGACTCTTGGCCCTCCACTGCTGAAGGAAATAGTGCAGCATCTGGAGACCTGTGTTAAACCAGTCCTGACTGCGGTAATAAAACTTTGTTGCTCCAGTATTTTCAGACTAATTATATTTGTATAGCGACTTTCACGTCGGGAGGACATCCCAAGGTGCTGGACAGTCAGTGTTTCGTAACGTGTATGTTTTGTAAGTGTGTTGACTGTATTTCTGACACCTAGTGTGGGTGCTTGTTGTTTTCCTTGATCAAGAGCCCTTTCACCTGGGCAATTAGTCTGAGAGTAACCAGAAAGAACAAAGCAAAATTTAACTATGATGCACAAACTAGAGTATTTGAAAGATCGATCAAAAAGAAAAAGTGAATATATTCTGGGGAATCCCTTTGTTTCTGTCATCTCAGTGAGTACATTATTAAATGAGGATGTGGAGTTGTAAATGGAGGGCATTACATTGAAAATATAAATAATTTGAACAGTTCATACTATGGGGTCTAATATGCATGGATTTAAAGAAAGGATTTCAAAATATCCAAGCAACCAGGTTGTGTGCAGGATTCTACGTTTATTAGACACATTAGATAATGATTTGAGGGGTATGTATTCCTCATACTGAACCTTTTGGTCCTTTTTTTTGTTTCTCAAAAAAAAAACAGCTAGATGATGACATCCTTGCCTCACTCCGAGAACTGGAGGCCACTTTAAACGTCGATGGGTTCGGCCTAGAAATCGTTGGGGATGGAAAGCTAAAGCAAAAAGTCTTCTACCAGGAATGCCTGTTCTACCTGCAGATGTATGGACCTAATCTGGCCATCATTTGCTTTTATATGAGACATAACTGCATGAGAGAAGCATTGCAGCACTTGTTGGATAAGGTAAGCTTTGGCCGACTGTCACTTGTTGTGGCTTTCCTTCAATCTTAACCTTTGTTGGTTAAGGACAACTATTTTTGGGGCTTGTGAAGAAAATACAGATCGATGTACTTATTGAAATATATTTTGGATGATGTGTATTTTTCACTTACAGGAGTGCCCCGATGAAGTGTTCATTGATGGGATTTTTGTACCAAGTTATGAAACTGGAAAACTGCACTTTTTGGAAAACTTAATGGAAAATATGGATTCAAGTCTGGAGAGTTGGAGCAGCTACCTCATTGCATCCTGCAAACATTTACAGACCAGAGGTTTCTTCAACATCTTGTACGATTTGCAGCGTTTTATGAAGGTGAATAAGCAGTACTTGCAGGGCAGTTCCTTTTCATGTTGTTGCCCTTTGTTCAGTGGCTGTTGATAGTAACATGCTGTTATTTGTTTGCTGTAGGACCACATGCGGTCGGCCATGACTTGCATTAGATTTTTCAGTCATAAAGCAGATTCGTATAGTGCTCTGGGGGCTAAGCAAGCCTGGCTGATCGAGGCAAAAGGTCACCTGAAGACGTATCTTCAGGAAGTGTCCAGCAGGTCGTCAGTACGAAAGAAAACCGTAAACTCTTTTCGTAAGAAAATGTCTGCGGCAGATGTTTCAAGGTGAGTAGATGGCATCTTTGGGACTGTTTGTAGAGTGCCATGGCTGGAGGGTTCCTCATAGGGATTCAACAGCAAGCTCACTCTGACACAGACATAAAACAGCTGTAGTATTTTTGGAAGGAATTTATGTAGGGGGAAAAAAGCAAATGCACACTTTTTGAAAAAAACATTAAAGTGATGCAGACCCTCCTGCCTCCAGTACCATGCTTCTCTAACCCCTAACCTCTTGGGAGGCATTTTACCTGTAGTAGTGGTTTGGAAAGCATGGTAATGGAAAGGTCTGCATTATACAATGTTTTGGTACTTGTCATTTAAGCTTGAGCACAATTCTTCAACAATTTATTTACCACAGATACATCAACACGATTGAGTTGCAGATTGAAGTGACCAAGTTCTTGCATCGTTGTGAAAGCTCAGCAACATCTAGAATTACTGGACCCCCTGTCAGTCTCTTTGGGAATAACAACATGAAGATGGCCGTTGCATGCAAGGTATCGCCTCTTGAATCAATCAATCAATTGTGGAGTCCTGTAGCTAAGTGGTTAGAGCACTCACTTTGCAAGCAAGAGATCTGAGTTCAATTCCAGGCAGGGCGAAACCTTGGGCAAGTTTCCTTACTCCACACGCCTAATAATAATCCCTCCCAAACCAAAAACAATAATAAATTGGTCATTTTCAATCTACGACTGTTTGTGGGACATTGCTGTGCACAATTGGCTGCCTCGTTCGCCCACAAATATACAGTCAATTCACTTTACAGTCTATTCTGTGAAGCGCATTGGGACGTCCTCCCGACGTGAAAAGCGCTAAATCAAATGCAAGGATTATTATTATTATTATTATAATCTGTTTTCATGCAGTCCTAATTCCTGACTGTTCAGCACCTTGGGATGTCCTCCTGACGTGAAAAGTGCTTTACAAATGTAATTTTGTATTACAGCATAAGAACAGTGAAATCGGGACCAGTTTGTGTCAGGTGGCTGTAATGCACTGACTAATTCACATCCATTGTTACAGGTTCTGCTCGGAGGCAAAAATATTGAAGAAGGTTTTGGAATTTCTTTCAGAATCATACAGGTAATGAGACGACTTTTGCAGCGTGCAAACACTAATATATTAGGATGACATTTCAGTAGTTCCTGTGATGAGATATACACTGAGTCTTACAGATATATTTTATATATACACCCATCTCTAGCATTTTTACACATCCACTTTTGGAGGGGAGCAGGAGGTACTGGTGAGTGTTCCTGATACTTGCACCTTCAAACAGTTTTTTTTAAAAAAAATGATTTTGTGGGGGATTCTTTCTGGATCAGGACTTCCAGCTGGATGCAGCTGCTGTGTATAACAAAGCTGCGAAACACCTTCTACACGAACGTCAGTTCTGTCAGATCAGACAGCTGTTGAAATGTGTTCGAGAGTCAGGAGTGGCCAGCAGCGAGGACACTGATCACCTCCTCATCCGCTTCATTGAAGGAGGTGACCAACAGCTTTCTCAGGTAAGAGCAGACTGAACTTTCACAACCAAAGCTATGAGTTTTTTTTTACGAAATAAGGTAATTGCATCTAACTGATGACTATTTCATTGACCATGGCAGGTCAAGAGATTACCAATCATTGATCGGGGAATGGTGAAGCATACTTTGTGCCAAAGCAAATAGCAGGCAGCCCATCCTTAGCTCATGGAGATTCTCCTTTTTGATCGGCCAACAAAATACATTTTTTTCTACTGAATATTTCTTGGTTTTTATGCCATTCCATGGGTTGGCCACACTACCTTTGAGAGACCAAGAAGTAAATGTGGTAGATTTGATTGAAGTTACTATAATGGATTTGAACTTGCTGATTGTGGCTGTTTGATATACAGTACATGTAGAGCATGAAAAGTGTGTGATGTCTCTTCCACAACCCCTCCAGCAGCTACCAGCTATTTATGGGTTCAATAAGTGTAAATGAGCTCAGTACAGTATTTGTTTCTGACCCTGCCTGAGCTGGTAAATGGTTGTCATGTTTCGAGGGGTTGAGCAGATGGTGTCCCACTTTGTAATTTCTCTTCCTGGAGGTGGCAGGTCCATTGAAATGAAAATAGTCAGGGAGATGAAAAATAGTAAATTCCCCTGGTGTCAGTGGAAGCATTTTGTTGCGTTTTGATAAACAATCAGCAGGTCTCTGGAGTGTGATTTATCACTTTGTTTTTTCATTCACTCTTTGGTGAATAAGCAATGGCATCCTCTGGTGGTGATAAGTTACAATGTTAAGGAAAAGGTCTCGAGTAGTTCAGAGTTTCTGTTTCAGAAAATACATGTTTCAGAAAGTTTATCCTGAGTTATTGAATCCTAAGAAAAATGTCCTTTATTTAATTCAGTGTAATTGTGGATTTCTTTATTTAAAAAAAGTTGCTGTTTAAAGCAAATCAGATTAACAGCAGATTTTCATGATTGGCGCCACGTTGGATCAGGTAACACCAGTTAAAAGGTAAAATCGTGTAATTCAGTTAGAGAAGGTATTCTGTTGGAAATTTCAACTTGGTTGTAATCATTAATTGTGGAATAAATAGATCTATACAGTGTACAATCAAACCAGAGAATACATTTTTGCTGTGCAAATCCATGAGAGCGTGTGCATAGCTAAATCAGCTTCATGTAATGTCTCAGAGCTCTTTCTGGCCTCTCTCTTCAAAGCAAAGCAGACAAAGAAGGAAATATCTGCATAATTATTTTCTCAATTTGTTGGACATGCAGGAGAATGAACAGGACAAAAGCTCATTTTTTAAACCCTTTGTGCCCAACTCGTTCAACTTCTAGCTGAATTATTCATTGCTGGTTCTGAACAGACTGTCAGCAGCATTCAATGCTATGATTGACGTTGTTTTCAACTCAAGGCAATGTCCTCTCTAGCTTCACTGCTCCTGCTCCACAGTTTTCACAGATCACAGAAACTAGCTGAGACGTATGTTGTACTACACTAAAGAGACATTCACTAACTGGAATTTTTGCATTAATTGTGACTTCGTGCGACTGAATATCAGATCTTGGATCTGGTAGCAAATTCTTCAAAATCATTCGTTAATGAACCACGCAATCAATTGTTAATGTATCACTGACTGACCAGGTCAACAAATTAAAAGCAATGTACTGTAGCCAACTGAGTGCCAAGAATTCCTAAATGGAACAAAACTTCAATAACTATTATATTCAGAACAAATTGAATAATGTTCAGAGCAGTTTATTTTGATTTGGGTAGCCTAATGGTACTCTCAGCAATAGGTTTGATTGGTGCATTGGTCTTTTTGCAGTCTAAAGAACTGGAAAAACTGATTTTGGAAATGAAAAGCGATGAAAATAAGGTAAGGAGGAACTCTTTTATAAGTACCTATAATATCAATGTCTCAATACGTTTCACAGTAATTACAGCTGTGTTGTGACTTTTTGTAGGATAAATGTGGCACATAGTATAAATGATCTGGACTTGGGTATAGCAAGTACCATTTCCAAGTTTGCGGATGACACAAAGTTAGGTAGGGTGGTAAACTGTGCGAAGGATAGTAGCCAACTGCAGGAAGACATAGACAGAATGGTAAAATGGGCAGACACATGGCAGATGAATTTCAATGTGGAGAAATGTGAGGTAATGCATTTTGGTAGAAAGAATGAGGGGAGGCAATATAGGCTGGTAATACAATCTTAAGGGGGGTAAAAGAACAGAGACCTAGGGGTGCAGGTAAGTGCATCCTTGAAGGTGGCAGGACAGGTAGATAAAGCTGTAAAAAGGGCATATGGGATACTAGGCTTTATAAATACGGGCACAGAGTACAAGAGTCGAGATTATGATTAACCTATATAAAACACTGGTTAAGCCTCAGTTAGAATACTGCACCCAGTTCTGGGCACCACACTATAGGAAGGATGTTAAGGCATTGGAAAGGGTGCAGAGGAGATTTATAAGGATGGTACCAGGACTGAGGGACCTTGATTGTGAGGAAAGGCTAGAGAGGCTGGGATTATTCTCATTGGAGCAGAGAAGGTTTCGAGGAGACCTAATAGAGGTTTTCAAAATCATGAGGGGATTTGATAGGTTAGAAAGGGAAAAACTGTTTCCACTGGTGGGTGTGTCGGTGACCGTGGTCACAGATTCAAAATAGTATCTAAAAGAAGCAGGTGGGAGGTGAGAAGAAACTTTTTCATGCAGCGAGTTGTTCGAATCTGGAACTCATTGCCTGAAAGGGTGGTGGAGGCCGATTTGATAACTACTTTTAAAAACGCGGTGGACAGGTATTTGAGGAGGACGGGTTTGCAGGGTTATGGGAAAAGGGCTGGGGAGTGGGATTGACATTACATTGTTCTTTTCAAAGAGCCGGCACAGACTCAATGGACCGAATGGCCTCTTTTTGTGCTGTACGATTCTATGATTCTACGAAGGCAAAATCCCACAAACCGTCATAAAGTTAATAGCTGATTCATCTGGATGGTTGTTGGTCAGGGCAACAGAAAGTCCCTTCTGTTTCACATATTGTCACTGTCTTTAGGAGTGGGGAAGAAAGAAAAAAAAAGTCGATTTCCACTTGACCAGAGTTGGTGCAGATTTGTCTGTCAAAGATTCAACGACAACAATTTGCATTTATATAGGGCACTTCACGTGGGATAGCGTCTCTTAGCACTTAACAGTGGCAGAGCCTGATGCCGAGCTGGGGGAGGAGGGAGGGAGGTGACCGTAAACATAAGAGGGAGGTCTCCAGGTGTGATCTGCAATTCCCTGCGATCTCGAGTTGATGACAATTTATCATCTGGATCTCCAGCAAGTAAGTATCTTGTGACTTGACATTGTGATTGTGTTTCACAGATCAAGGCTTTCATGATTTGTAATAAGTACCGCTCAGCTTACCTGGTTGCTGTGAAGTTTGAACCTCCGCGAGCAGCACAAGTCATACAGGAGGTGTTGGAGGCCGCCGAGAGAGCGGAGGATGATCTGATACCGAAGATTTGTAGAGACTGGCTGAAAGCACACCAGCCTAAGATGCTGCCTCAAAAACCCCACAGCGTGCTCAAATAAAGTGCAACCGGAGGACGATGAGGCACATGGGAACATAATTGCTACTGCAAATGTTCTTATAAAATCTTGGCAGATTCAACTGAAAAGGGTGAGGATAAAGTGGCAATAATTCCTTGGGACAGTCATTCCGTGATCGGTACGTTTCCTGCTGAGAGGAAACAGAATGAGATTTTTTACTAGTCAAACTTTGCATTTTGTTGTAGTTCCTTCTCAGTGCCTATCTGCAGTGGCTCTGACCCTGTTGGTTTGAGGTTGGTTTGAATTGTGACCTTGCTTCTTTTATACTGTAGCCAATTGCAATCAGGCTGAGCCACAGTAGGAGCTCTGCAGCAAGATATCACCAATAACAGCAGTATTATGAGCTCAAGGTCAGCAAGCGGGTTCTACTGGCAACTGACACTCACGCTTTATGAAGGTGTAAATTTATAATAGATTATCTGAGGATTGCAATTGAGATTTGCCAGCACAAGTGAACATTGGCTGCCGCGTTCGCCCACAAATATTTATAGTCAAATTCACTTTACGTGGAGTCCTGTAGCTCAGTGGTTAGAGCACTCGCTTTGCAAGCAAGAGACCTGAGTTCAATTCCAGGCAGGGCGAAACCTTGGGCAAGTTTCCTTACCCCACACGCCTAATAATAATTCCTCCAAAAAAAAACAATAATAAATTGGTCATTTTCAATCCATGACTGTTTATGGGACATTGCTGTGCGCAATTGGCTGCCGCGTTCGCCCACAAATATACAGTCAATTCACTTTACAGTATATTCTGTGAAGCACTTTGGGACGTCTAGAAGACGTGAAAAGCGCTATATCAAATGCAAGTATTATTATTATAACATAGATGGTGCTCTTTTTGACGTTACTTTGGTTGGTCCTTGACTCTGACAAACTGATCAAAATGAAACTGGCTTACTCGTGAAGACCAATCTGAATAAGCCATAATGTGACAAGTGTTTGTGCCAGTAGCTCGGGTCGGTCATATTTATAGAAAATCGGAAGTTGCAGTAGCAACACCACAGATTGGTGTGTTTCTAAAGCAGTTCCCAATATAACCTTAACTTGAGAAGGGAAGATTTCTCTTTATAGCAATGTACAGTTTGTTCTGTTTCCCTTTGAGTGGTCATTTTCATATGTGTGCAAGTTTGGGCTAGTGTGACAGCTGCCCCAATTACATCCAATTTGTTTCACTACTTTTTTTTCAGGAAGATCTTCACAGGTTTACATGGCTGACCATTTATTCTAAAGCTAGATAAATGCAACATGTCACTTTCTCTCTGTTTAAAAGAATTTGAAGAATATTTTGTTTTATTCTCAGATTGAGGTTATGTTGAGTGGTGCTTTAAACAATAAAGCAAATTGTGGTTTTAGAGAGCTGTAAACTTGAAAATAGTTTTACTTTTGTGGTCAAACAGCACTACAAACAAACAAACAAACAAACAGGCTGAGCTTCTTTGTATTCTAACTCTGAAGCTAAGATTGTTTTTGTGTAGATTAAAGTGTAAAGAGATTGGAATTTAACTTTGTGCATTTGTCTCAATAATGAAAAAGATTATATTTTTAAATAATTAGCAGTTTTCAAACAGTAATGTTTTACTACTTGTAAATTCCAGATCACATGTTATTGGAGTGCCAAAGGCATTTGCATTACATGCTTATCAGAAACCTTTGCTCACTTACAGACATGCTGGTGGATCTAATCGTGCAAAAGCAAAATGAAATGATTCATTCCCATTAGCTGACAGAGAGTAAAATTACTGTAGTGATACAGCTGACAGACAAAATATTCAGAAAATCACATACGGCTTGGTTTAGTCCCTCTGAGTGTAAGAGAGAATATTCAACAAGTGTATTGAATTTGTCCTCACAGCCATTTTAAATTGTACATAATTACAAGTGAGCAAGACTAACATGGCGCATGGTATATCTGAAATGCTGACTTCAGCCTCCTTCAGCTGACATTTTATAGAAATAAAAATGTTGAATCCCTATGAAGTGTTTTAACAATAATTGAAGTTCCATTAAGCACTGAATATATTGATTACCTGTTTTTGCTTATCTGCTCGAAGACTGATTAAATGTATTGAAAATGTTTCATTTGTTGCTTTGCACAATCATTGCACTTCCAAATGTGCCATCTGAATGATATTAATGGAATATGTTAAAATAAATAACAGTAAATGTGGAGAGCACATCTTCCTATAATTAATTCACCAACTATGTATTGTATAATGCAAAAAGATCAGTCTAGGTTTTCTTTCCCTTCTGTGTGATGTTTGCTTTAATTTTCAATGCAGATCTTATTTTTATAATATATATTCAATGTTCATATTAGGAATTCAATTTTTCCAGGGACTGTAAATGCCAAAAGATTAGTGAAATACAGGCTTCAAACATAGTTTAATAGGAAATTACAAATCTACACAGATCACATCACTGATAAAGAATGTTAAGCCGCAGGATAGTTATTCATGCATTTGTATTAAATGGTAAAGGTTCCTAAAAGATTCAGCAAGTTATAGCTTACAAGCGAGCGTAAAGGGCATAATAAGCTTATTAACGAACAGAATTTAATGCTGCAATTTTTGAGGTTCTATTTAGATGAAGTATGGTTCTTGTGTTTATAATTATGTTTGAAATACAAAACTGTTGTAATGGGAACTAATTATAAATTTAATTCTGCTCCTATAAGAAGGATTTCCATGACATGAATCAAGTGGTTTGATTCACATGAGGCACCACGTTAATGATATTGTAGTTTCTGTTTATTACGGGAAGTTTTAACTCCTGCTGTGACTTTAAACTATGTTAACAGTCTGTTTCATTTAGAAAAAATATATAATAGTGTACACATATTTCACAGTGTTGTATTCTACAGGTAGCGAGGAGGTCATGTATTACCACTTCCATTTTCCATTGAAAAACACCTACTTTTTACAATTAAGAGGAATTCAGCAACAAACCTATATTTGGCATTTATAAAAATCATGCAGAATTCAATCCTTCCTTTATCCCCTGCCTCAGAATGACCAGTGTTTGTTGTCAAGGTAATCTCATCATCCAAGCAGATAAATTTAAGTGTATTGAAAGTAATTCTTTAAATGCATCAGGTTTTATGAATGCCATAGATTGTTTGATAAAACAAAAATGTGTTAATTTGTGGAATTAAACAGTTGGCACTATTTATAGGTTGATCAGAGACGACTGTTCATAAAGTAGTCAAAAGCAATTACTAGTTGATGCCACTCTCATCAATACCTTGGTTAGGTCTGATATTCAGTTGAGCTTGATTAAAACCCATTGTTACAAGGCTATTCTAGTCAGCTGTTTAATACAAGGATAAGTTGGTATTTTAATTCTGTTCAGCAGAATATTCTAATAACTGGTTTGACAGCTCCAGTGAGTTCTAATGTATGTTCCTTTTTTTAAATATATTTAACATGGTGAATACAAAGAGAATACCATGCTATCCGGCATGTGCAAGGTTTTATTTGTCAACAGAGCAAGGCTGATATTTAACCAGCAGCCAATAGATTATGTCCCAAATATGTGGCAAACAAGAAACTATGAAATGTAAACCACTAGTTAAGATTTTAAAACAATAGTGACTTGTGCTGAAAAAGCATTTGCTGAGTTTTTGCCTCCCACGTTTAGCAAAGGCATGTGCCATAAGTCTCTACAGCTACAACTTTCTGAAGAGTTGACTGATTAACACTTCCTCACTCCCTGAAGCAAATGATTTACTGCACGTTTAACTTTATTTGTGAATCAAAAAGATATTTGGAGAGGAGGGCGCATTATTATTTTGGCATGTTTAGGGGATTTTAGGTGTGCACTGCAAGATAGACTCTTTAAGATTGTGTGGAATGGAGCACTGAGTATTTTGTAATTATACATTTTTTTTCCATTGTTTTCTGAAAGTTCCCTTGGGCCCCCACAGACACTTATGAAAAGAGGTCTTCACAATCATGTTATTTGTTCGTCCTGTGACCCAAAAATATTTTTCACGTGTTTTGGAAGAAAGTATGTCAGTGATTATTGTAACTGATTACATATCTTCCCAAATAAATTGACCTGTAAATGTAAATTTTAAGTTGTAGTAAATCATTATGGCATTTAAAGTGCAGATAATTATTCTCAGACCTGTGGAGATTTTATTTTTATAGTTTTGTAATCCAAGCAGAGGAAATTTGCAACAAAATAATATGCTTTGTGATCTAATGGTCCCAATATTCATAGTTTATGGTGAATATTTTCTGTATTGAGGGTTCTCATGTGCAAAAAGCCTATGCAAAGTTTGTTTTTGCTGACTTAAGCTGGTTATTCGATGTGTCAAACTGCACATTCCCTTTCACTATAAGATTGATTTCCATTATTGTTTGCAAAACTGCACTGTAAAAAGCACTTTACAATTACTTCACTATACTGTGAGAATTATGGTCAGTTTCACATCCAAATTAGCTGGGATTATTTAACCATTCTAATGGTGCTCTCTTGCAACTAACATACATTGTATGCGTAACTTCATCTGTTAACCCATTCAACAATTATTGTAAATGTTTACAAATCAACAGCTAAATCTACATAAAACTTGTATTTTAACATTTGTGTTTGTACATTGACGTTGGCTGTCAAAATATTATCATAAAAATATTGATTTTGAAGTTGCAATTTTCCTGACTATTATGATTGTGTAAATGTTTATATATACATGCGATTAAACATACTTCTCAGAATTGTTTGTTTCTGCAACATAGAATTGACTTTTTTTTAAAACTCTTGTCTCGGGATCTGAGCAAAATAGGCAGCTTATTTGTTACCCATCACTAGTGCCTTTCTCAACTTTGCTGTTTCAATCTGTTAAAATGTCTTGCTTTTAGTGGCTTAGCAGAACAGATCATTAATTGATCTTGTCCAGTGCAAGGATTTCCAGGTTCCTGATGTTTCTCAGATATTCAGACTGAGGTCACTTCATCACAAAGAGGGGAAAGATTTCTTGTGCATTCTCAGTCGGATGATCAATTACCTTGAAACTGAGATTAAATGTCATTTAAAATGTGGGCAACAGAAAGGAAGAGGATTTAGAACTGCATTGTTAGTCTGAATCTGCACAACTCTGATGTTCCAACTGAGTGGCGGGAGTTTTGACTCCAGGATTTGCCCGTCACTTGAATGTACCTACCTCAGGTGAGATTTTGCAGTTGTCCGTATGTTCTACTGGTAGAAGTTCATTAACTCAGCCATTGCAACTCAATGTTGGCAAAGGAAACTGACCTTGATTGGGTCTGACTGACTACGTGTTGCATAGACTCTGCTCTGGCAGCATTTTCTTATGCCACCTTTTCAGTATTCAATGTTTACCAACTCTGAACCAAGATGTGTTTGACCCATTTAATCATGTTTCCAAAATGGCCATCTTACCACCTCCCTAACACGTCATTGAGCTATTTTAGATGAGTCCATTGCCCTTGGTCTCAATCACCCTTCTTGAAATCTGTTCAAGTTTTTAATTACCTTCTGGGTTTTTACAAAATCTTCCTCGTCTCCTGAGAATGCCCATTACAATTTTAAATCTACCTCCTCTTTTAAATAATGAGATGAATTTTAAGGGAAGTAAAATACCTTTGTCATAGTTTTCATAATGACAAGCATGTTATAATAATAATCCTTGATTTGATATAGCGCTTTTCATGTCTTCTAGACGTCTCAAAGCGCTTCACAGAATATACTGTAAAGTGAATTGACTGCATATGTGTGCAAAATGCGGCAGCCAATTGCGCACAGAGTGTCCCACAAACATCTGGATTCAGGTGACCAATTTATTATTGTTTTTTTTTGAGGGATTATTAGACGTGTGGAGTAAAGAAACTTTCCCAAGGTTTCACCCTACCAGGAATTGAACCCAGGTCTCTTGCTTGCAAAGCAAGTGCTTAGCCACTGAGCTACACGACTCTAAATTACATATAGATATGGCACCTTTGTTTTGGCTATATATATCAGGCAGAATTGTAGGACATTGCAATTATTTAAGAGATTGATATACACACCCACAAAGAACTGAATATTGCAGGAGTCTTCCATTATGGCATTGCCAGGCTTGGAAATTCTAAATGTGCATAAACATCTCCAATTGTCTGTTTGCAATCTTCTTCTTGTTCTAGAATTGTATCTTTTTTTAATGACATGTTCAACCACAGGCACGTACCACAAGCTGATGGTTTATTCCTGTAAGAATGGATTTATTTCAGGTAGGCTTTAACAATGCCTAACTTTTAACTTTAAACTGATCCAATTCTGCGCTTTGCACAACAGTAAGCATGTCATTTGCAAATATCAACTTTATAATTTTTATTTACATAAGGCCTATGAATTTCTTTCATGCGTGATGATCAGATTCCCTATGTCTATGCCTCAGACTCCAGAGACAATGGCAGGTGTTCATGAACGTTTGTGGTGTTGCATCAACTTTGGTGAGTCCACAGAATCCACAGTTGATGACATAGTTCCATTAAATGTGAAACCCTTTTGAACCAATTGTTTTAATTTTATTCCCAATATATTGATTATAATTTACTTATTTTAATTGTAGGGAGCCTTTATTAAAAAAAACATAGTGAATTTATATCAAGTAAATTTAGTAGCATAATCCCATTTTGATTTGCCTTCACTCAAAGTTGGATGCTTGGAAGTGAAAAAACAGAACTTTGGGTTATAGCTATTCAGTAAATACGAGTTTTTTCTACTTTGTTGATTCCATGTAAACAAAACTGGTAATTTATTTCTGAAAAATGTCGTGTGTTGCACCAATGTAACAAAAATGCACTAGCCGTGCGCCTGCGTGAAACTTCAGCTGACAACAGTATGCAAATATCAAGTAGTGCACAAAGCACACAAACCTTACTTATATAAGTGATCTGAAAGTCACAGTGTAGCAAAAAAGAAACCAACTAAATTGCCAAAGTGCAAAGAGTGAATGTGAATGTGAAAGAGTGAATAGCTACCATTATTGACCTTAAAAGTTAATGATGCAACATCATAAATCTAAATAAAGACTTAGAGCTCAATGCCTCGGGAAGAAGCATTTTCAAAAGGCTGTAAATCTTAAAATCAATGTGACTAATGATAAAGTTCTACTCGAGTAATGGAAAATTCATGGACAACAGTTAGCAAATTAAAGAACATTCTTCAATCATTTACATCAATAATAATAATAATAATCCTTGCATTTGATATAGCGCTTTTCACGTCGGGAGGACATCCCAAAGCGCTTCACACAATATACTGTAAAGTGAATTGACTGTATATTTGTGGGCAAACGCGGCAGCCAATTTCACACAGCAATGTCCCACAAACAGTCGTAGTTTGAAAATGACCAATTTATTATCAACCTATCCATTATACAAACAATCAAATAATTGCAATGGCTGAGAGCATGCAAATTGAACACTGCTTTTAAAACAAGTTTTCACATTTTTGCACATTCTTTTTTCGTTGCACAGTGTTTCTTTGCCCACTTACAACCCCGTGTTTAGAGTCTGAAAACTTCAGCCAAGTTTCCAAGCTAGCATAGTGTATGGACGATTATTCTAAACATGGCTTACAGCAGCTGATGAATTAATAAACCTTATGACAGCATAATTGTGCAATCAGATTATCATATATCAAATGCAAGGATTATTATTATCATCACAAAGCAACCAATCTGACAACTTGATCCGAAACATTTATCTTTAAAGTCCAGATAAAATTCCTAAACCGTCTTCGCACCTTCAGAAACCAGCTGACATGACCAGCAATTTACTATGTCAACTAGTTGTGTAATCGATCCATTTTTTAATTTAAAAAGTGATCTTGAGACAACTTGCACAAAAAATCTTCAGTGGTCCACACTTTTACAATCCAGATTCCCTTCAATTTTGGTATCAGGCGCTCAGTCCCATTGAATTCCCAGAAGATTGCAGCTTACGTCCCATAACTTCCTGGCTGTTTCATCATTCCTGCCTTGGGGTGCCACAAATGCAGGGGTGCAATCACTGTGTAAAGAAGACCACACCATTTCTGATACAGTAATTGAAGGTTACAAAATGAAGTAGTTGCCGGTTTCAGACTGTTAAGAACCATACCATTTGTTAGTTCAGGAGAACAAAGTCAAAAAGATCTTGGGTGAATACAATTTTATAAATCCTTAAAAAGGTAACTGGAACAGTGAGTCATTATAGCAAAAGGACACCCAAGCAGCTGTCTATTTTTAGTGACAGCACATTGGAAAGGCGTTGGTTTGGATACATCTGACACAAACCTGAAGTGTTTTCCAGAAATCTCTTGCAATTCCTCAGCGACCGCACAGTGTACACTGGTCTGTGCACCCTCTCGTGGTGTTTTCAAAAGAAAAGAGAGACCCTTCCAAACCAGGGTCAGGGCTGAGGAATGTCTGGTTATCTCTGTGAAAACGGTGCCTGGGTGCACAGAATTTACAATCACTTTGGTCCCTACAACAAAAAAAACAGTAAAATTAACATTTCATAACACTGAGAAGGGGTGCAGGAGACTCTTATTTTTGTGAGTTTTGAAGCACCTCCTTCAACTTAATCAGGTGGTCGTGATCAGCTTTAATCGATATTAAGCTCAGAGCTGATTTGTATTGGGGAAACCAGAAACTAGATCATTGACTAAATATCCACTGATCCTCACTTTAAATTAGTTAATATTTTGTAAAACTTCTACTGCACATTGTAATGGGCAGAAAATTAACATAACCAAAAAAAATGCAGAAGTGCAAGTTACTGTTTCCTACGTGTCAGATGAGGAAGCAGGGGAAGAAAACCATAGTTTCTATTAACATAGAAGGTATTTAAGGTCTGAGCAAAGTATGACAATGTTAATAATGCAAGCAGGGGCCACCTTTTAATGCAATCCACCTCACAATCCTTTGATTCTGACTGAAGTATTGTGGGCAAATCAGTCATTGTTCAATGTTTACAAAACAGACTATTTAAATACAAACTCTGGGAATACTTATTTTCATCTCACCTTGTAACCTCTTGGCCAGTTCCCGGGTAAACAGCACATTTGCCAATTTACTTTGGCAGTAAGCTAGGCCCGCTGAATAACTCTTTTCACTCTGCAAATCTTTGAAATTGATCCGACCGAAGTTGTGTGCAAAGGATGACACATTAATAATACGAGCAGGAGATGATTTTTTAATGAAGTCTAGAAGGAGATGAGTCAGCAAGAAATGCCCTGAAGGAAAGAGATGTGAAATATTTCTGAATGGACAAATTTATAATTGGGAGTGTAATTGTTACAACAATTTGTATAGCATGTCAGACCAGTGAAAGGTTCTAATACTTACGTTTACATCATTAATTTCTACATGTGATTTTATAATTCACTGTGGCTTTAAAACTGTTGTGATAATTTTCAATGGTGATAATTATTACATCAAACAAAAATGTTGCCGCAAGTTGTCTAAATAATGTTGTCTAAAATAGACCAAGTTATTTTATAGATGATATAGATGAATTCTTGTTCAGAGGCCCTGACTTTTGGGTAGAAATGTTTATCATTGGTTGCAGAATATCAATGCCAATGACCAGTTCACAGGCAGAAATACACACAAGTATATAAATACAAGCTGTTGATCTGCAGCCTCTTTCTGTATTTAGAAACATTTAAAACCACCAAGATTCTGATAGATCTAATTACATTTGTGCTCTGCAGCCTGGGATATCACTGGAGCTAACTGAAGAGAACTATTTAATATTACAATTATAATCTTTAATTCTTTAGCATTTTTGAGTTTTCTTTTGTGAACTTACCTAGATGGTGTACCCCAAAGTGTATTTCAAACCCATCAACTGTCTTCGTGTAGGGGAGCATTATCATACCAGCATTGTTAATCAATATGTTGATCATTTTTTCCTCTGTGATTAACAAAACACTTTGTAAATGAATGCAGCCATATTTATAGTCATCTTTTTTTTCTTAATAAATTAAATTCTGAGATTAAAATCCCTCTCCTCCTCTAGTTTTGTCCACTTATTGATCTTTACTAGGAAATTGCTGTAAGGGCCTTGTATGATTGGAAATTGGATTACCTTTCATTATATTTTCTGCAAATTGTCGTACAGACTTGGTATCGGCAAGATCTAGCTTCCGAACGATTATTTGTTCATTCCCGGTGTCTGCGCGGATCTCCTGTGCTGCAGTTTCTGCCTTTACCAAATCTCTGCATGCCATGATCACCCGAGCACCTGTGAAGAACAACACCGGTAACAGTGTAAGTAAACAAACTGGTAGAACCAAGTCCTGGAGAAACACACACAAAAATAATGACATAAAATGGAAAAATACATGCTTCGGCAATATACCCTGGGGGTTATTGTGCTTGGAATCCACCCTGTTGTGGTAGAGAACATACCAGCACTTGGGACAGATAAATAGTGCAAGTGGAATGAATGAGGCAGTAGTTTCCTTCATCCCAGACAAGGGAAAAACAACAGCTGTTCCGAAACAGTATCAGTAACCTCTGCTGGAAGTACTTTCCCATGGACTGAAGCTATAGTTGGCAGTAATGCCCCCGCCTTCTTCTCACAATCAAATTCAATGGCCAAACTCTCTGTCCGATCTCAATAAGGACCATAGTAGCTTCAGGTAGCTTTTGGTGCAGTACCAGAGCATTATAGCTTTAGGATCCTAAGATCAAAGTGGAATTCCGATGCTATACTGTACAATGCCTGACAATACATCACCTCTCGCTGCCAGTTCCCATGCTGTCTCTTTTCCAATTCCAGAGTTAGCCCCAGTAATCAACACTGTTTTCCCATCCAATCTTGCACTGGATGTGCACACTCCAGCAGCAGCATATCGCCTGTAAAACAGTTCAAAAGAACATTGCCTGTAAAACAGTTCAAAAGAAAAACAAATGATGTACTGTAAATCTAATGCATTTGTTATTTTGTTCCTGGTTGATTCAGTATAATCAGACCATGTGTGTATGTGTGGAAAAACATCATGTCTTCTCCAGTATAATTGCAGCGGTGACACTGTTCTAAGCAACAGACAAGTCATTGTGCCCTGTCGGATTCTGTTTAAGTTAAAGTCACATGAATTTGATGCAAGTTGCCTCAGATGCCTGTTTCATTCCAGGTTTAAAATGGTTCATTGGATAATTGGACTGCATTTTGTGGTACTGAGCCAGGCAGATCCAATATTCTGTAAAGGAAGTGCTTCTTAGCGATCAATGGAAGGGACACAGTTAAGGGCGAAACCTTGGGCAAGTTTCCTTACTCCACACGCCTAATAATAATCCCTCCAAAACCAAAAACAATAATAAATTGGTCATTTTCAATCTACGACTGTTTGTGGGACATTGCTGTGCGCAATTGGCTGCCGTGTTCGCCCACAAATATACAGTCAATTCACTTTACTGTGTGTTCTGTGAAGCGCTTTGGGACGTCCTCCCGACGTGAAAAGCGCTATATCAAATGCAAGGATTATTATTATTATTATTAACCTCAACACTGCCAAACAAAGAAAAAAAGCTGCCATGGTTTCCTCCACCTGATTACTGACCAGCGATGCCTGTTGGAAAGGTGTGAACTTTGTGTGAGAACACCATCTTGTTGTCATACTATTTTACTTTTTAGTAAAGTAAAATACATATTTTACTTTCTGATGTTTACATTGAGACACAATTCTGGAATTTCATTCACAATTCATTCAAACCTATTCTGTTTTCAATCAAGTTATATTTGAAACTCAAGTCAAATTTCTTTCATGATGGAGGCAGGGATTTATTATAGGAACCACAAAGATAATCGGTTGTCAGTATGAAAACAATTGTCTATGCATAATCCAAATATTTGGCAAAATATTTTTTTCTGCCAAACGGAATATTGTGGAAATCCTGACGTCCTGTTTGGTAAATATTGTACATTGCAGTTCAATAATTAAGGCTTTGCAAATAGAAAATAAACATATCAACCGATGCCATCTGTGACTTGATTTATTGTATCTAAATTTACAAGAGAAAATTACTTTGTTGCTAATTTCTTCCATCCATTGATTTTCGATTTAAAATATATACGCTTTGTTTACTTTCTCTCTTGCTGCAGATTGGATGGCTTCTTGTAGGAAGTCCCAGCAGTTTCTGAAAATCAGCAAACATCCAAACCACCCAATTGTATCGCAGTAATACAGAAGCACTTCCCTACAGCCCATGATCCGATCAGTGACCACAGCAACGATTCCTTCCTATAAGGAAACGTTTCCATGCTATCTTCATGAGAAAATACTCCACTTGTTTCTATTCGGGGACAGAAAGTCACGGATCGTTTTTAAATTACATGCAATTAAAGGAGATGCCAGGTTTCCAAGTGATTAAAATCACTGTGTGCGCAAACACACACGCCATCACACCCATTTTCTTTTTGTTTGTTTTTAACGTGATGGCTTCAATTCTCGGCCTTGGGTTAGCTTCCTCTGTGCTCAGAAGAAAAACGACGCTCTTCAAGCTGGAGGGAAACAATCCAACAATAATAATAATAATAATAATCCTTGCATTTGATATAGCGCTTTTCACGTCGGAAGATCGCCCCAAAGCGCTTCACAGAACACACTGTAAAGTGGATTGACTGTATATTTGTGGGAATATATTGAATGAAACTCAAAAGTCTGAACAGCTCAAAGTAGACATCAAGTCTCCATAAAGTTCCATCTTGGGGGGAAAAAACCACCACAACACAACACAAGGAGGACTCAGAGCTGTGTAGGTCCAGATACAGTAACCCCAGTTCCCCAAATTGTACCGTACAATTATTATTAAGATGTATTTATGTTTAAAAAAAACACACACACGCGCGCAAAAAAAAAACCAACCCAAAAAGCGAACCTGATGTATGGAATCAGGAGAAGAGAAGCGATGACACAGAGCCCTGTGACAGTGAGCAGCAGCACCACCATCTTTATTACCACTCAATCCATCGCAAGGGAACGCCGGGAGTTGTAGTCACACCGCCTCGTTGCGACCAACGCGGGGGGTGGGGGGGAGGGGAGCGGAACTACAAGTCCCAGAATGCCGAGCGAGCCTCCCTTCCTCGCCTGTCAGTGAGCCCGTGCAGCCCTCGCGGCCTCCGGCACGTGACTGGAGCGGGAAGGCGGGGCTGCTTCGGGCCTCGGCGGCGGCGGAAGTGCTGTGTGTGTGTGTGTGTCTGTCTGTGTTGTGTTGGGGGAGTTGTTATTTTTTTTACCGAAGTCGCTGGATCTTTCTTTATTTATTTAGGTGTTTGGGCGGCGGCGGTGGTTGTTTGTTGGTTGGATTGATTGAGTCGCTGTCATGTCGTCCGAGGGGTTCGAGAAGTTGCACGAGTCGTACCAGGCGCTGTACCAGGAGCTGAGGCACCGGTGCCAGCGGCTGCCCAGATGTTCGGGAGGTGAGTGTTTACTAACCGGGTCTATCCCTCCCTCCGGCCTCACCCCCTCTCCCTCCCTCCCTCCCTCCCTCCGGCCTCACCCCCTCTCCCTCCCTCCCTCCCTCCCTCCCTCCCTCCAGCCTCACCCCTCTCCCTCCCTCCAGCCTCACCCCCTCTCCCTCCACCCTCCCTCCGGCCTCACCCCCTCTCCCTCCCTCCCTCCGGCCTCACCCCCTCTCCCTCCCTCCCCTCCCTCCCTCCGGCCTCACCCCCTCTCCCTCCCTCCAGCCTCACCCCCTCTCCCTCCCTCCCTCCCTCCAGCCTCACCCCTCTCCCTCCCTCCCTCCCTCCCTCCAACCTCACCCCCTCCCTCCCCTCAGCCGCCCCTCCCCCCCACCCCCTCTCTCTAACCTCCAAGCCTCAGTCCAGCTTCACTCCCTCCCTCCCTCAAGTCTCTTAACTTAGCCCTCACTCACTCACTCACTCGCTCACTCCAGCCTCACTCCGTTTAGGAAATAGAACTGAAAGTGAAATGTGCTTTACAAAGTTTCTCCCACCAAATATACGCCGTCAATTCACTTTGCAGTGTATTCCGCGAAGCGCTTCGAGACGTCTGGAAGACGTGAGGATGATGATGATGATAATAATAATAATAATCCTTGCATTTGATATAGCGCCTCATCACATCCTCCAGATGTCTCAAAGCGCTTCACAGAATATTACTGTAAAGTGTAGTGACGGTATGTTTAGTGGGCGAAACGTGGCAGCCACGTCCCGCAAACAGTCGTGCATTGAGTGACCAAATTATTATTTTTTTTGAAGGGATTATTACTCCTGGAAAAGCGATCTGCCAATCGACTAACAACCAGGCTCCCACTTACTGCTAGGTAAACAGAGGCGTGTGGATTAAGGGATCATATCAATGCAAGTTGTCGTTGTGTTGATGGACACAGCAAGCACAACTCTTCCTCCTGTGCCATACATTTGTGCCCGGTCGACACACTGATAAAGCGCTATATCAAATGCAAGGATGATGATTTACAAGATTGGTTTGGATGAAGAATGTCCTTCAGCCCATCTGATCTCATCCTTCCAGATTGCCCATACCATACACCTATAACAGCATCAAGCAGTTTTTTTTAAGTGAGTCCACTGCCCTGACCTCAACTGGCAATCTGTTCCAGTTGTTAATTTCCTTCTGGGTAACGAAAAACCTCCTGGTGTCTGTCCTGAATTCACTCTTGCTAACAATCTTAGTGCATCTTAAAATGTTGTTATACTCTTTCATTTATAGATGGACATAGATTGTACAGCACAGAAACAGGCCACTGGCTCAGCTAGCCAATAGTTATGCTCCATACAAGTCTTCATCTGCTCCTCACTCCCTCCTGTATATTCTTTTATTTCCTTCTCCCCGTGTTCATTTTGACTCGAAGACCCACTGAGTCTGACTCTCGCTAGTAATTGGGTGGAATTTAGTAGGGTGCTTGGATTCCTTTGTTTTTAACATACATAAATCCATGGATAGAATACAGCTAGGCAGGCGAGGATTTGAAATAGATCTCGGAGGCTAGTTGACTCTCTTTACTCACCATATCCAAACAGTCTGCAGAGGCAATAAACAAATGGAATACAACGGTGGGCTTGGATCATACAGGAAAGGATGATTGCTCACAAGTGGGAATGGGTTTTCAAAATGTGTGCATTATATATTCTAATACTGTGAGACAAACCAGACAGTTGTTGAGATTATTGAATAATGAAAGTCATTCCACTCCCAGTTAACTTCTGCTTTTAGTCTAGTGACAGCGTGTCATATGATTTTTGTTAAAGAAAATACTGTGTTCTGATGCACTTCCTGATAGTTTTACTAAACAAAACCCATATAGTTTATGTAAAAATATTACACTTTGCATTTATCATGTAAAAGGCTTTTATTGTAATCATAAAGCAGTAAACAGAAGCATTACGATCTCCATTAGTTGATTTAATTATACTTTGGTAATGTTTTACAGAAGAGCGGAAGCGGCTTCTGCGGGATATTGAAGCTAAAATTGAAGAAACCAATGAAGAGGTAAAGATGACAATATATTCTGCCATTACTGATTGAATTTGTTGGTATGATGCATTATTGATCAGTCGAGGGATTGTGTTGGAATTGTAATTCATTAGAAAGAATGCATTGGGTCTGAATCAGAAAAAAAGATACAATTTCTGGGAATAGCGTGGTGCATGACTTAATGTCTCCTATTATAACTTATGGAATGTGTAATCATACCAAGTGGGTCAATTTTACATATTCGTATCTTTGCATGGTCCGAGTTAAATAACTATTTGCTTGCTTATATATTTCCATATAAAGCAGTTTCTCACATGATCACTGAAGTAAAGCCAAGCGAATTAAGCAGTATGATCCTGCTGCTGAAATCAATTTGATTCACTTAAATTGTATTAACGAAAAGATAGTGGCCTAACACACACACTCTGGAATAGAAGTCACTGAATAGCAATTGAAACCAGGAGCCTTGGCTGAGAAATACCATGGGCGATTGTGTACAGTTGTGAATATTACATAGTTGCAATACCATAGGAACCATCACTCAATTATCTGTGTATGCTCCTGCAGGGTACAATCTTCATTTTCTATCTGGTTTTGCTTCTAGTTGGACGAAATGGAAAAAGAACTGAGAAATGCACCTCAGTCATATCGTAATCAGATGACCAATAAAATACGATCGTATAAAAGAGACGTGAGCAAGCTCCAGCGTGACGTGAGAAGCAGTGATCTTGGATATTCCGCACCCAGGGACTTCAAATACAATACGTACAATGCTGAGAATGAAGAAAGTGTAGGTACCATGACTAACCTGCATTGGTGTGACACCTCAATCCTCTTGCAATCTAGGACACTTAAAATATATTTGAAATGTTGTGAGTTTTTTTTTAACCATTTGTTGCTTTAGAATTTTAAAGACCATTTCAAACAAGTGCATTATTGTGCATCACAGGTAGACTATTTGTTAGGGATTTTAATTTTTAAACCACATGTTTAAATGTAATACTCAGTTGGTGTTCAAGGTGTGTGATATGAGTGCTGGAAATGGAATGTTGCTTGATTTTTTTTCCATTTAGTTATTTCATACTTAATGTATTTTAAATTGAAACAGCTTTTCCTTTACCTCCTCTAGAATCAGTTAGCATCCCAGCGTGCTTTGCTTTTGCAAGGTACTGACAGTTTAAACCGAGCCACTCAGAGTATTGAGCGTTCTCACAGGATAGCAATAGAAACGGATCAGGTTGGTGCAGAAATCATTGAGGAACTTGGAGAGCAACGTGAGCAACTGGAACGATCAAAAGACCGGGTGAGTTCTCATTTTTAGATGCCAGAAGTAGGAAATAAATTCTGAGAAGAAAGCTTACTGGGTGAAGACTCTTAAAATGTCATTGTCATTAATTGCAAAAGACACTTTAAAGTATATATATTCTATGCTAACATTGCAGGATCCCAGTATACTTGTGCATTTATGTTTGGGTGTAGCATTTCACTGCAGAATTACAATTTTATGGGTGCAGTGTTCTATTACTCTTACATTATAAATCATTTCCCATCTCTGATATGAAAATTCTTTGATTAAAGCTCAATCCTTTGATTGTACAAAATTGTGGGCATAAATGTTTGTATTGTTAACTGAGTCCATCAGTACTTATTTTTCTTTCTTGCTTATTCCCAAGTTAATAAACACAGGTGAGAATTTGAGCAAAAGTCGGAAGATACTTCGTGCCATGTCCAGAAAGTAAGGTTATTTTCAGAAAACATTTTTTGCAACAAAACACACCATATTAGCTTCCAAATCATTATTTTACAGTGAAGCACTTTGAGAAGTCTTGTGATAATTATTGTTAAATACTTGTGTGTGTTTGATTTTGAGCAGAGTAAAATATTAAGTGAATGATTTAGACTGTAGAAATTTGTTTATGATTTTATTGATTTTTCTGCTTTATACTCATTGGACTTTAGTACTTGAAAGAAACATAGCTTCCTAAGAATACAAAACCACATCTTAGTTCAAAGTATATACATAATCATAGCTTGCATCTTTGAGTAAAAATGCACTTTTACATACTTGCGTTTCCAACTAATTCACTGTAAGCAGCTTGAAAAACTAATGTGAACACAGATCCTCAGTTTTCTAGCAATAAATCAAACAATACAAATCTGGATAAAAACCAAGTTAGAAATGGAAAAGGTCAAACACAGGAAATGTCTTTGGCATTTTCTCAAATGCACTTCTTATACATTTCATATCAAGCAACTTTAGCTGTAGGACCTCACACATAGTGCCCAGTGGGAGTGCACAGACACTGTCCATGGAAGGAAGTTTTTTTGGGGGGACAATCACAATAAAAAAGGAACTCGAATCAAAATTGAAGTTTGCAGTGTGAAAGTCACCTTTGATATTTTCAGTAATTCTCATTCAAAAATAATTAGTAATTGCTTCTTTACATTGAGATGAGGAGATTTTGGCTAGAGAAGGAAAATTGTATGGTCAACACTGAACCGAGACAGAACAGGTGGGAGTCAGATTCAAAGTTAAGCACTATTAAATCACATCCACTCCACTGTTAGTAACAAGTCATCAGGTGGTGGGTGGAGCAGATGCAAATTCTGCCACTGATATGCTGGATCTGGTTTTGCTGAGCTAGCAATTAGCAGAAAGTGATAGTTCCTGGATCCAGCCAACAGCTTAATAAAAAGGTGGATCCATTGCCATATAACAGTAAAACTGCTAGTATACAATATGCAGGATGACTCTGTACATATTCCTAACATCACAGACCACTGTGGTTGGAGGGCAGGGTCTGTTCATTGCTAGCCACCTGCCTCAAACCTGAATGAATCATTGATTCATTTTCAGAATTAAGATGCAGTTCTTATCACTCACATTAGTAATTTTAGTAGATGTGATCATAAATTTATAGTGGTCAAGGAATCCAAGTCACTTGAAAGTTTCATCAAGATCTCTGGTCTCCTTGATCCAGTATTCCCAGGAGTGGAACAAAAAGTACAAGTTTTTTTTAAAAAAAGCAAGTGTTTTTTTTTAGCCCATTTACCGCGATCAAAAATCCAGTGAACGAGCAGAATTGTTGCAAGTCACTCGAATTCCAGGAATCAAAGTTTAGAAAAAAAAACTAATTCTGGTTCCAATCTTTCCAGGATTGTAACAAACAAGCTGCTATTGGGCATCGTTATCCTCTTTGAAGTAGCAATTTTGGGAGCGGTTGTGTACTTCAAATTCTTTCGCCATCACTGACGCCTGCCTGGACTGCATGGATGGACACTTGTATTGCAGAAGCAACTTTAGTACCTGCAGCTGATATGCTTTTAATGGATTTACTGGACCCAGAACACTGCTACTGGATTAGCCTAAAAAAGGTGAAGCTGAAAATAGCTTCTTTCTGCAAACCCCTCATTATGCTGCACTGCAGTCTATGAAAACTGATATCTTCTCCCTGGTTACCGATGGTTCTTCTGGATGAAGCATGCCTGACCAAGGAGAAAATCATCTTACTGAATGAAGTCACGTGATCATTTTCCTATTAAATATTCCTACTATCTACCCAGGTTGTCAAACTACTCAATTGTAGTAATGTGCAAACTTTTAATAAAGTTACAATTAATATATAACAAATGCTACCCTGTTGGTTTCATTAAAACACCAGAAGAGGAACAAAATCTCTGTATGCAGAGGACAAGCTTAATAATTAAAGGGGAACAATACGGTTTGGAGGATACAGAAGAACATCTCCCAAAAAGTTCAGCTTTGTGTGTATTAAAGCAAGCAGCTTTGTAGAAACTTCCTGCACCCTTATTATCACTTTTCCTGCCAAAGACCTGATAAGGCAACCTAGGCAGGGCCATTTCCAGCTGAATTTCAATGAGTTGATCAGGGAATTTTCATCCTTCAATATTGCTGTTGAAATATATAGCACTGGAAAGGTCAGTACCAATCAGAACTAGTCAACTTGTGGTCAGCATGGAGTGATAGATGAAGGTCTGGGAGCAGGTCATCTCTACGCTGTGGGCCCTGAAGAGAGTGAAAAAGGATGGAGCTTCCCCCTTCAAGTACTATTCCTCCATAAATTGCAAGGTTTGGAGCTGAACTCTGCATACACTTTGGTATCCAAATTCTTAAAGCCGTACAGTTTGCTCATCCTGTTCATATGTTGCGCTGGGCGATGGTAACTCATCAATGCCACAGTGGGATCCTTCTCGAGTCTGTCCCAAGGAGGCAGTGGTAATATCGATTGCTAGGTTTACAGTAGCACGAATTTCCTCATCTGAGGCTGCAATTGCAGGGTTAACTTCCACTACGTCCATTACTGACAGCATTCCTGTGAAAAGAACAAAATGTTATTCTAATGTTCAGCTGGCAGCCATTTGACTAAATCCATACCTACATTTCATGAAAGCCAGTAAGTTTGTTGCAATACAATGGGAATAAGAAATAAGAAATTAAAAGATCACTATTTGAAGATAAACAAAACTAGTAGTCACTTATTTGCTGTGCCTTTCAACTACCCTTATGCTTTTTGATGCACACTTTTTAACCTTGAAAACACTGGAATGAATAGTTCACTCACTTTCAAATATCTTCTCCTTAACACTAACTACTAAGTTCCATGTGCATGGTCTACAAATTTCTTCCCACAGCTAGCCTCTGAAAATCACTTAAAAGAACATTCTGAAAACAGCAAATCTATTTACAGTTTATAGCATATGTGATAAGCTGACCAAGCACACACTGCTTGTTGTTGTCAGCCTCACTTGCTTCATACCTGAGTTATGCACTTCCTCTGCAATGTACATTCCTTCCCTGTAAGTTAATCCTCCAATCACTGGAGTGCCAGTAGCAGGAGCCAACGTTGGATCAAATGCATCTATATCAAAGCTCAAGTGGATTGGCCTTTTTCTTCTAGAAACAAAAATTCCAGAACATTCTTCAATTAGTTCATACATCTTACCTCAGCACAAGTAAACCGCTTCAAAGGGAGCTTGCATCTTAATTATACATTTTTAATTGCTGTGGAGGTCTATATAAACAAATATTGAATGCCAAGACAGAGGTATTCGTTAGGTCAGGGTATTAAGGGATATGGGGAAAGGTGGGTAATTGGACTTAAGGTATAGATCAGCCATGATCTTACAGTATGGCAAATAAGCTTAAAGGGTTGGATAGCCTACTCCTGTTTCTATGGAAATGAACATTTGTCCCCAAAAACGTTCCCTCGCATGCCCCAACAGTCAAAGAAACAGATTATGTATCTCATTCTTCAAACTTACCTTCCAATCAGATGATCAAGCGTTCTTTCCATCACTTTCTGTATTCCAATTTGATCAATTTCCCTCATTGAGAAATACTGGATGCCAAAGTTTTTCATAATGTAGCTGTTAGTGAGAAATCAAAAACTTTTGATTTAGGATTTTAGAAAAGTTAAGCCCAATTTGATCAATGGTTATGTGTGCAGTTACTCTCTAGTCTAAGTAGTCTTCATGTACAATTAAATACAATTAATGGAATCATTCCCCATGGTGGGACTTGGAACTGTCTCAGCTGATTCTCCAAAGCAGTGCTGTGGGTGTGCTGTGTTGTTAGAGGTAATACCTATTAAGGTTGTAGATATTTTAGTTAGCTGCGGTTTTGATAAAAAATACAACTTACTATTCACCAGGATCAACATCCCGTAGACCAATGTAAACTACATCTTTCGCTGAGATGCATGGAGTGAGCCAAGAGAACCCAGGCAGCAGGGGAATCTATATAAAATGTCAGATATTCAGTTTACAAAGATCCTTAATAGCAAAAAAAACATTTGCACATTCTCAAACTATTGAACAATAAATTGTTCAGATAGGCCAATGTCAGGAACTTTATTTTAGTGACCTGGCTAGTTTGTAATTCAAAAAGTCTTTGCTCAATGATGCTTGCAGATACCAAATTTTATTAATGCACAACAACTTGCACTTATATAGCGCCCTCCACACAGGGTAGCGTCTCAGAGCGCTTAACAGTGGTGGAGCCTGACTCCGAGCCAGGAGGAGGTGGGAGGTGGCCGTAACCATGGTCAAAGAGGAAAGCTTTCAGGTGGTATAGAGGGGGCAAGGGAGAGGGATTAAGGGAGTGTTCCAGAGTCTTGGGGCATAGTGGCTAAAAGCACGACCTCCAATGGTGGGGCTGGGACTGCGAGGGACGAGAAGGAGGCCGGTGTCAGTTGAGTGAGGAGGTCAGAGAGGTAGGGAGGTGCCAGGGAGTGAATGGATTTGAACACGAGTCTTACATTGTTATGTTAATAGCCTATCAAGCATAGTTAATGTATGAATATGCAGCCTTTTAATAAGGGTTATGGAAGTCATTCATATATTCAAAGCTTATCTTTACAAGACAGGTTGGATTATTGAAATTCTCAGAATCAAACTTGAACTGTATATTAATCAATGTATTTTGTTGCTAATATTATATTCTTACCTTGTGTTGAAGCTCTCTCAAGAGAAATGATACAGATTGTCCATGCAGATTGCCAGATGGTGATGTAAGAGGTGTGTTAACATCTGCATGTGCATCCACCCAGATCAAGCATAAATCAGGTTGCTGCTGTGTATTTCCATAGACTGAACCAATCCCTAAACTGGGTATTTAAGTCAGAATATTAGGAGGTGGTGGTTACCATTGCAGTGCATTTCTTAGAGTTAGTGTCAAAACAGGTTAGTCGTAACTAAAGAACTAAATTTTGGATCAGACAATTAACGGCTTTAGGAATACCAACTCATTACATTATGACCAGATTGGCCAAACAGTCTCAGGATTTGTGATTTTTACACCACCCAACTTATACACTACCTAGTTCAGAGTTGAAGTAGATATTCAATGAACAGGCTATGGAGATTCTTGCCATAAGATGAATCTTAGTTTAAGAGTTTCCTGGAACTAAAGCATAGTTTGCTGTAGGTGGCCTCACCTGTGATCTCCTCCAAGCATAACGCATAGATTCCCATCACCAACTGCTCGGCTGACAGATTCAGCCAATATTCGATTTGCAGAACCCACCGTTCTTGGATGGTGGACATGATTGTTGTATGGTTTGTCATTTGGCACAGTTGTCAAATTCAGGTCTCCATAGTCATACACTTGGCAACCTGGAAGTGGGAGTAGTATCAATTCAAATCCAATTCAACTCTCAAAGCAAAACAGAGCACAAACCCAAAGATGCAGGTAAGATTGAGACTCCACTTCAGTCATGTCATATTCAAAGGATATAGAGGGTTAACAATAATTAGACAACAAATTTAATACAAGTTTACCAATTTTAGCAATCTCAAAGGTTATGACTCGAGTTTATATTCAGAGGGAACATGTATGTTTATTTTAGAATGCAAAACAAGCACATTATTCTCTACATAAAGACCACAAACGGGTTTTGTTGCAGAGGTTGATTTAAATCTAAAAGTTGCACAAAAATACATGGAGGAACTAGAAGCAGTGACCCCCCCCCCTTTAGATAAAGCAAACAAATGAAAGCTCCCACCTCTCTTTGCTCATCTTATTTTTATTTGGTCAGCTGGGTACCTGACACATGTGGAAACCTATCAACAAAACAATTTTTGTTTTTTTTAAAAAAATGAAGCATTGCATTTGTGAATGGTTTGTATTTTCTACAGTTTTCTTTGCATAGGAACAACTTGCTATTAGATAAACCAATGTGCCCCAGTTTTCAAAGCTCTATTTTAAGCATAACACTGGAATAATTCACAGCTTTGTGGAAGATTGAATTTACTAACAGTGACAAGGTTATTTGAGAGAAGCACCCTCTAATTTTTACAAGAATCAAAAAAACAGAATACAGCACAGAAGAGGGCTGTTCAGTCCATCACATCTGTTTAGGTGTAAGCTCCTCCCCCTGTGCTCTACTCTAATCCCTACTTTTTAAAAATATTTCTCCCTCTAGCAGTTAATCGAGAGAATTTTATGCTCTAGCAGTACAAGGAAATTCCTAGTTTTAGTCTTCTCTGCGTGGATGAGAGAAAAACTAGGGACAGATTGATTTGTTTCAAGTCTTGACATTATTTATTCCATCGCTGTATCGATTTGGTCAATTTTATGCCTGGTCACGTGGCAATGAACCTACTCGTCACACAATAGCCTCCTAAGCTCCAAGGCTATCTTCTTTCCTACTTCATCACATAAGCTTTCCAAGGCTTTTGAGGCTGAGTCATATCTGATATAAATCAGGCCTTTGCACCAGGCTTGCATCAAGGCACTAGCTACCGTGAATATTACCGTCTCACCAGCAAACAATGTGGCACCAAATTTCCAATATATCATTGCAAATTGACAACTGCTGTATGGAGCGTTTTGAGTGGGTAGCCTAAAGCACCACATTGACTGTTCTGGTGTGAGAGAAAGCAGCACAAACAACTCGCTGCACACTACCTTGTGTAAACCCCAGCAAGCTGGAGGTAGTAATTCTACACATGTCAGCGAGCGAATGCAAATATGTGTTCTCACTTCCAACCGGTTTCACACACAGCAGCTCAGCAAACTCATTGGGTACACAAATTAGCACCAACAGCTGTATTCAGGCCCTCAAGGAAGTGACTCAATATATGATCCAAGCTCAATTTTACAGCCAGCAGATAAAAGTTTATCATGAAAGGTTTTGGGGGGAGGGGAGAGAGAGAGAAACAGGAGTGGGTGAATTTGGATTAAGTTTTACTAATAAAATAAACCACCTGCCAGACGACTGTGTGCTATTTGCATAACCATTAACCTTTTTCTTCCTCTTGTAACCATTAACCCAAGACACAGTAAGCCGCACTCATTCATAGAGCTGATGGAGAGGTTTAATCGAGCGATACGTAGGCATCGGGCCATAACTTAGAAGGAACCACTATTTTTTTGGAAAATAATTATGACTTGGGTTCTTTATTAACCGTGGTTCTGGCAAGATTAAAAATAGAAACTCACAAGTCGTGCGCAGCTGAGCTTTGTACGAGAGGGAGGGAGTGTGTGGGGGTGTGTTGTGTGGGGGGGTGTGTTGTGTGGGGTGGTGTTGTGTGTGTGTGTGTGGGGGGGGTGTTGTGTGGGGGGGGGTGTTGTGTGGCGGGGGGTGTTGTGTGGGGGGGGGTGTTGTGTGTGGGGGGGGTGTTGTGTGTGGGGGGGTGTTGTGTGTGGGGGGGGGTGTTGTGTGGGGGGGGGTGTTGTGTGTGGGGGGGGGTGTTGTGTGTGGGGGGGGTGTTGTGTGTGGGGGGGGTGTTGTGTGTGGGGGGGGGTGTTGTGTGTGGGGGGGGTGTTGTGTGGGGTGGGTGTTTGGGGGGGGGGGTGTTGTGTGGGGGGGGGGGGGGGGGTGTTGTGTGGGGGGGGGTGTTGTGTGGGGGGGGTGTTGTGTGGGGGGGGTGTGTTGTGTGTGTGGGGGGGGGTGTTGTGTGTGGGGGGGGGTGTTGTGTGTGGGGGGGGTGTTGTGTGTGGGGGGGGGTGTTGTGTGTGGGGGGGGGTGTTGTGTGTGGGGGGTGTTGTGTGTGGGGGGGGTGTTGTGTGGGGGGGGGTGTTGTGTGTGGGGGGGGGGTGTTGTGTGGGGTGGGTGTTTGGGGGGGGGGTGTTGTGTGGGGTGGGTGTTTGGGGGGGGGTGTTGTGTGGGGTGGGTGTTGTGTGGGGGGGGTGTTGTGTGGGGTGGGGGGTGTTGTGTGGGGGTGTTGTGTGGGGGGGGTGTTGTGTGGGGGGGGGTGTTGTGTGGGGGGGGGTGTTGTGTGGGGGGGGTGTTGTGTGGGGGGGGGTGTTGTGTGGGGGGGGTGTGTGGGGGGGTGTTGTGTGGGGGGGGTGTTGTGTGGGGGGGGGTGTGTGTGGGGGGGGGTGTTGTGTGGGGGGGTATTGTGTGGGGGGGTGTTGTGTGGTGGGGGGGGTGTTGTGTGGGGGGGGGGTGTTGTGTGGGGGGGGGTGTTGTGTGGTGGGGGGGGTGTTGTGTGGTGGGGGGTGTTGTGTGGTGGGGGGGGTGTTGTGTGGGGGGGGTGTTGTGTGTGGGGGGGGGTGTTGTGTGTGGGGGGGGGGTGTTGTGTGGGGGGGGTGTTGTGTGTGGGGGGGGTGTGTGTGGGGGGGGTGTTGTGTGGGGGGGGGTGTTGTGTGGGGGGGGGTGTTGTGTGTGGTGGGGGGGTGTTGTGGTGGGGGGGTGTTGTGTGTGGGGGTGTTGTGTGGGGGGTGTTGTGTGGATCCAGTTACACAGCCTCAGCACTGAGGGCTGTGTGGGTCTCGGTTACTCGGCTCTGTGCCGAGGATTTCCGATCTCCTTACCGAGGTTTGACAGCCTCTCCAGCAAACCGCCGTCCCTGATGGCCTGAGGACCTCCTTCCACCCCGCGCCGCTTCTGCACAGAAACACAGCCTTAAACACACAACACAGGGACCGACCGGTCTCATAAACAGCGCCGAGAAGGAACATTATCGGCTCAAACGGAAAGAATCAGACACAGACACAGATAGACACAGACAGACAGACACAGATAGACAGACAGACACAGATAGACAGAGACAGACAGACACAGATAGACAGAGATAGACACAGACAGATAGACACAGACAGACACAGATAGACAAAGACAGACAGACACAGATAGACAGAGATAGACACAGACAGATAGACACAGACAGACACAGATAGACACAGACAGACAGACAGAGATAGACACAGACAGACAGACACAGATAGACACAGACAGACACAGATAGACAGACAGACAGACACAGATAGACACAGACAGACAGAGATAGACACAGACAGACAGACAAGGACAAGGCAGACATACACACACACAGACAGACCCCGAGTCCGGGTCCCGTTGTTTGTTTTCGGGGGGAAAAAAAAGGGGTATTTTTTTTGTTTGGAGGGGAAGTAAATGCAACAGCAATTTACAACAAACCTCAGTGTGTACCGACATTGCCCGTCGCTTACTCACTCGGTTGTTTTTGTCTTTATATATATAAATATAAATAAAAGCTGAGGGGGGGGTTTGCTCTCATAGACACAGACACACACACATATATATAGAGAGAGAGAAATTGCACAGTGAATTGTTAACGCAAACGCCAAACCTGTCCATAGGAGAAAGGGGCTCCGATGATACCCACTGAATGGGCAGATCGTTTCTGTTTGAAGAAGGACTGGAGCTGCCGCTCAAACAGACGCGAAGCTCTGACCCTCACAGACATCTTCGCGGCGATGGGGGAACAGTGAGAGAGAGAGAAAGAGAGAGAGAAAAAAAAAGGATTGTGAGCCCTGGTCCCGAGCGCCTTCCGCTCCGCCTTTATATAACTCGCGATTTCATCATCTGCTCATCATTGGCTGCTCTCTGAACGCCTTCGGGGGAAAGGAAAGGGAAGGAGCGACACCCCCTCCACCTCACGGTAACACACACACAATCTCTCTATCTCTCTCCCTCCCTCTCTCTCTCTCCCTCTCCCTCTCTCTCTCCCTCCCTCTCTATCTCTCTCTCCCTCTCTCTCTCCCTCCCTCTCTCTCTCTCTATCTCCCTCTCTCTCTCCCTCCCTCTCTCTCTCTCTATCTCCCTCTCTCTCTCTCTCCCTCCCTCTCTCCCTCCCTCTCTCTCTCTCAGCCCCACGTTGAAGCGTATCGCACAATACCATCGCTTTTCAAAGCCGCAACGCAAACTCCACTCAACTCACTTCACTCCACTGACTTATTTTTCTTGTTAAAAAAACATCTTCCTCCAGCGAGGGGGGGCCTCGGGTACTCACTGGGAATGGGGCGAGTCACAGTGGGGGGGGTTGCTGGCCAGGTGGGCTGTGGGGGGGTGGGGGTGGGTGTCTGTGTGGGTGTGTGTGTGTGGGTGGGTGGGGGTGGGGGGTGTATGGGGTGGGGGGTATGTGGGGGTGGGTGTGTGTGGGGGGGTGTGGGTGTGTGTGTGTGGGTGGGTGGGGGTTGGGGTGTATGGGGTGGGGGTGGGGGGTATGTGGGGTGGGTGTGTGTGGGGTGGTGGGGTTGTGTGTGTGGGGGGGGTGTGGGGTGTGTATGGGTGGGGGGGTATGTGGGGGTGTGTGTGTGGGGGTGTGTGTGTGTGGGGGGGGTGTGGGTGGTGGGGGTGGGGGTGTGTGTGTGGGGGTGTGCAGTAAAAGGAGAGGGGAGAAGCAGGGCAGGGAAGCTCGGGAATCCTGCTAAGGTTCAGGATGGTGCAGTGGGATATGCAGCGAGGAAATCGGGTTATAATAATCCCTCCCAAACCAAAAACAACAATAAATTAGTCATTTTCAACCGACCACTGTTTGTGGGACATTGCTGTGCGCAATTGGCTGCCGCGTTCGCCCACAAATATACGGTCAATTCACTTTACAGTGTGTTCTGTGAAGCGCTTTGGGACGTCCTCCCGACGTGAAAAGCGCTATATCAAATGCAAGGATTATTATTATTATTACAGGGTTGTCTTGAGTTCCACAATAGGATGAAATAGGAAGTTTCCTAACCAAATTGTTTGGGGGTGGGTGGGATGGTTGTGATGAACGCTTGCGGCGACAGGTTTATAAGAACACAAGAGTTTCTCGGGCTTTAAAATGTTGGCTTTGTTCATCTTTGTTTTTGTTTGATGCTTCGCCAACAAACTACAGTCATTATGCTTTATAGTACCGTATATCCCATGAAGCACTTTGAGGTGTTCTCCCAACGTGTAAGGTGTTATATCAAAAGTAAGAAACGTTATTATAAATGTTTCCAATAGAACCAGGCAGCCAAATGATAATAATAATAATCCTTGCATTTGATATAGTGCTTTTCACGTCGGGAGGACATCCCAAAGCGCTTCACAGAACACACAGTAAAGTGAATTGACTATATTTGTGGGCGAACGCGGCAGCCAATTGCGCAGAGCAATGTCCCACAAACAGTCGTAGATTGAAAATGACCAATTTATTATTGTTTTTGGTTTTGGAGGGATTATTCTAATTTGAGTCTATCAGAATGTAACCCAATCTGCCTCAATTATGGAGATCTTTATCTTTTTTGCAATGGTCTCGAAGTAATGTAAAATACTCTATAAACTCTAATTTGAGCTCTATTCATCATAATCACTAACGAAAAACACATTCAATTTAACATGTGAAGATAATCCCATCACTGTTCAAAATGTTTCTACTGCTCATAAGGTTACCAAAAAGACTCATGGATGTCTTTATCTCAAGGGGCCTGGAATATAAAGGAGAGGAAATGATTCCTCAAACGTATAAAGCCTTGGCCAGACCCCTTCTGAAGTACTGCTTTCAGTTTTGGGCACAGCACCTCAGAAAGGATACATTGGCTCTGGAGGGGGTGCAGCGCAGATTCACCAGAATGATACCAGGGCTTAATGAGGACAGGTTGCATAAACTTGGTCTCTATTCCCTTGAGTTTAGAAGGTTGAGGGGTGATCTCATTGAGGTTTTTAAAATAATAAAGGGATTTGATAGGGTAGATATATAGAAACTATTTCCTCTGGTAGGGGAATCCAGAACATGGGGATATAATTTTAAAATTAGAGCTCGGCCATTTGGGAGTGAAATCAGGAGGCAACTGATTTCACCCAAAGGATAGTGGAAATCTGGAACTCTCTCCCCCAAAAGGTTGTAGATGCTGGATCCATTCATATTTTTAAGACTGATGTGGATAGATATTTGTTATGTCAGGGTATCAAGGGATACGGGGCAAGGGCGTGTAATTGGAGTTAAGGTACAGATCAGCCATGATCTTATAGAATGGCGGAGCAGGCTTGAGGGGCTGAATGGCCTACCTGCTTTTTCTATGTTACAGTAAATACTGTGACTTTGTGAAAACAAAGGAATAAGAACTGGCTCTGCTTTCTATGAAATTACATAGAAAAGACAAAAGGTTACAAAAGGCAATTTATCTTCATAGCTCATATGCAGTATTGGGTAAGGATAACATGAAAGGTTTACGTGAGAACAGTTATTTGTTCCATTTGATCTCATCCTTCTTAAAAAAACAACTCTGCCATCTTTTTACAACTTCGAAATGTGGAACATAACAGCACAGCTGAAGGCTATTCAGCCCATTACACCTGTGTTGACTCTTTGAAGAACAATTCTTTCAGACCTATTTAAATAAATAAAAATCTGGTCACTCAATCCACAACAACTACCTCAAATCCAATTATTCGCCCTTGCCCCATATCCCTTGATACCCTGACCTAACAAATATCTATCCACATCAGTCTTGATGTGAGCAATTGACTCTTGTCTTTCTAAATTATTATTAATAGTTTAATTTTGTATATTTCTGAAAACGTGTACAGACATCTGAATCTGCTTCAGATAAACATTCAGGATATGGGCAGCTCCCCTTACAGAGACAATATATGTACTGCAATTGCCTGAGTTTTAACCAGCAACAAAACTGAAATGATTGAAAGGCTTGAACTGAACCTGGTTCTTTTTATATTAACTCATTAAAGGGAAACTAACTTTATTGATGAACCTTTTCTGTTCATTTTAAAATTGAGAAAGATGAGTGATGGATGAAGGTCCATAGCCTAGAATAATACCATGGTTGAAAAGAACAAGAGAAACACTTGATCAACTAAATATCAAACCAAATATTTACACATTCTCAGCATGATAATAGAATTTGCATTGATACACAATGCATTGCAAATATGCCCACTGGCCTTTTTGTAATGCCACATATGCTTCTTCTCCTCTGATAAAGATAATTACCTTTGAAATAGAAGCAATATTGCTTTAATTCATCAAGGATGCCACATTTGAAGAAATGCAATAAAATGTGCATGGTCAATAGTTGAAGATTTCTTTTGTTACTTTAACAGGCAGAAGAAAAAGCACAACGAAAGCACAGTTATAAAATCCGAGAAATTACAACAGAGATCATATCCTAAATCTATCTAATATTTTTTCCCTTAGTGTTCTATATGGTTTCTCTTTAAAAGTGTATGCATATGTATTATATGTAGTTATGGTTGCAATTTCTTCAGCTGTGCAGAACGTATTAAACAAAATATTAAGCAACATATTAAGTTTGATCAATTCACATTATGGTTTGTACAACAACAACAACAACAACTACTTGGATTTATATAGCGCCTTCCATGCCAGACAGCATCTCAGAGCGCTTTACAGTCACGGATCCCGGGACTGAGCCAGGGGGAGGGGGAGGAAGGTGACCAAAGGCGCTGTCGAAAAGAAAGGTCTTCAGCAGAGACTTGAAAATGGGAAGGGAGGGAATGAGACAAAGGGAGTGAGGAAGGGAGTTCCAGAGCCTCGGGGCATAGTGGCTGAAGGCACGGCCGCCGAGGGTGGAACGGAGGACTCGGGGAACGAAGAGGAGGCGAGACCCAGAGGAACGAAGGCAACGGGTACTGTTTTGAAGAGAGAGGAGTCAGAGAGGTAGGGGGTGCAGAGGAGTGCAAGGACTTGAATACAAGGGTGAGGATCTTGAAATCGATCCTCTCTGGGATAGGCAGCCAGTGCAGTCTGGCAAGGACTGGGGTGATCGGGGACCAGAGTTTTGTGCAGGTGAGAATGCGGGTGGCAGAGTTCTGAATGAGTTGGATTTTATGAATGGTAATGGATGGGAGACCGGCGAGGAGGGCGTTGGAGTAGTCCAGCCGAGAGGTGACAAAGGCATGGACCAGGGTTTCAGCGGCTTTTGGAGCGAGGTATTGGCGGAGACGGGCGATGCATTGGAGGTGGTAGAAGGTGGTGCTGGTGAGGGACCGGATGTGGGAGAGGAAGGCTAATTGGGGGTCGAACCTGACGCTTAGGTTGTGTACGGGTTCAGAGAATCTTAGGGGGAGGTCAGGTAGGTGGAGGAGGTGAGAGCCATGAGATTTTAGACGTTGACGAGAGCCAAAGAGTATGGCTTCCGTCTTGTCAACGTTCAGCTAAAGGAAGTTTGCGCTCATCCAGCCCCTGTGATCTGACAGGCAGGCTGACAGAACATCAGGGGACTGGGGGTCGCAAAGAGAGGTGGAAAAATAGAGTTGGGGATGTCATCCGCAGACATGGGGTACATTTCCCTGCACTATGGGCAGGGCGGAAACCGGACTGGAGGGGTTCGAAGAGGGAGTGGGAGGAGAGGTGAGCGCAAAGTTGGTTGGCAACGACGCATTCTGGAACTTTTGAGAGGAAGGGCAGGTTAGAAATAGGGCGGTAATGGCTGGGGTTTGAGGGATCTAGGGAGGGTTTTTTCAGGAGGGGAGTGATGACAGCAGTTTTGATGGAGGCAGGGACTGATCTGGAGGAGAGGGACTGGTTGATGATGTC